GGCTTCCGGACTCTAGTGTTCAGCTCGGCTTCGTACATAGAGGCTTTGTCCCCTGGTCCAAATCTTTTGGTTAAGGCCTCTAAAAGATCACCATAAGTGTGTCCTTCTTCTAACTCTTGGACCAGCTGCTGAGCATCACCCCTCAATTGGTTGGTGAGATTCTGCCTCTTTTCCTCGTCATTCCATCTATTGCTTTCAATACAATTCTGGAAGTGGGCTTTGTAGTCAAGCCAGGGAGTTTTGCCATCAAATAGTTGGGTTGGCTTGATTTTAGTCTTCCTTCCCTGCTGCGCTGACTCCAAGGCCTTCCCACACATATCCATAGCTTTCTCAGCTAATTTCACCATTGCCTGCTCATGGTTACTATTGGAGCTCTCTGCTCTCCTTTCCTCCGCTGTAGGATGAGCCCCAAGGCTCTCTGGAGGAACTTCCACTCTATGGGATGTGGTTGGTTCTTGTTGAAGTCCCCCAGTGGTAGCCCTTCTATGAGTATTGGACACATTGAGCTTCTCTGGCTCTGCCTTGACATTAGGCTCTGGAGGTAATCTGGCTCCAGATTGATTCCATCGACCAGTAAATGGTTCCTCTCCAGACATGCGAGGGAGCTGGTTTGGATCCAACCTTGTGAGCTGAGGAGCCTCATGTCCTCTTGTCTCTGGAGGCAGAGCACTTCTATCTCGCTGCAAATCAACATCTTGACTCCATCTAGTCATCGAATGTGGATCATCTTCTGGAGCAGGCATTCTCTGCTTGTATCCAGATTCATCTATTATATGATCACCATTACTCTTCAGAAAGACTCTATTGGGCTCTAGCAGCATTGTCGCTTCTGGGAGCAATCTCGGCTCTTCACCTTGTGACCATCTAGGTTGCTGTATTTGGACATCTGGTTCCAGATGGAATCTTGGGGAATAAGGAGGCATCCCTGCTCGGTTAAACATCTCTCTTGGACTTCTTTCAGGTTGAGTCAGAAGAGCTGATCTCGGATCGCCTACCATCTCAACCCTAGAGGGATTCACCATCCGGGACACCGGTGGAGGAGCTTGGCTCATCTGCCCTAGGGTAGCATTCATCTCTTTCAAGAAAGCCTCCATTCCTTCTCTGCTCTTCTTAGCCTCCTCTTGACCTTGGTTCACCACGTTCGCCAGTTTACCGAGTTCAACATGGAGACTGACCATCTCTTCAGATTGAACTTGCAGCCTTCTCCCAACATCTGATCTGAGCGTTCCAAGGCTCCCCTGTATAGCCATAACCTGGGATTGTGTGGAGTCCAACTGTCTCTCGAGGAGTATTTGTTCATCCTTCTGCCTCTCTGGTATCAGTGTGGAGGTAAGAGGATACTGCCCTCTATGTCTCAGCCTCGCTCCCTCTCCGAATTCTCTTCCAAGGCCAGGGGGTGTACGAACATCTCTCTGGAGCTGAGTTGAAGACCAGTACCCAGTAGTCCCTTCAAGACCAGGATGCATCCTCATCTGCCTCTCTGTGGGTAGTTGTTGGAATCTTCTCTCTGGAGTCCGCTCAGCTCTGGGGTCATCTGGATCCAAAGGAATTGTGTCATCACCTGCATGCACATAAGGAGCCAACCCGTCTCCTTTGAAGAGCACTGTAGACTCCAATTGAAACTTGTCGACTGGTGGGGTTGTCCTCACTGCTTCCTCTTGTTCCCTTTTTCCCTGAGAGCCAGTCATCATCATCTCAGTGAGCTTGGAGTTCTCTTGACCCCTTATCTCTGGGGTACGCTCCAACTTCTGCGACATCTCAGCCATCTTTTAAAGACAACAGATCCCACCGCTGCCACCAATGTCGCGCCTGGGCCGTCTCACCGAGCACCCTGTATACTGGGGAAAGGCCTGGGACGACGAAAAGGGATCTTTGGAGGTGTTTCAAGGGTGTCGACCTGGTTTGGTGGTACGACAGTTACCAATAGAAGATGGCTCCACAAAACAATTATGTACAGGGTTTTTATAATCTATTCTAACATAAGTTTTTACAATATAATAACAAAATGTCCATATAATATACAAGTTTCTCTTCAAGAGTCGTCTCTGCTCTGGAGCTTGTTTAACACTAAGAGTCACTGCGTCTCTCTATGTTCTCCTCCTGTAGTTTGTTCAGCTCTAGGAGTCACTACGTCTCTTAATCTTCTGTATGGAGTTTGTTCAGCTTAAGGAGCAACCTCAGCTCCGGGAGTCACTTCGTCTCTGGGGAAACCACGCAAACTCTCTCTCTTGGAAGAGTACCAGCCTCTAAAGCACTCTCTGCTTGGGAGTCGCCACTTCTCGATAAAAACCTCTGCTCTTGAACGATTCACACGCTCGGAGTATCTCAGCTCGGAGTCGTCTCGTCTCAAGAGAAATCAACGCAAACTCTGTGTCTCTTGGAGCACCTCAGTTCCGGTAGTGTAACTATGGCTCCAATCACAACTCTGTCTCTTGGAAGGGGTCCAGGCTCTGGAGCAACCTCTGCTCGGGAGTCGCCACTTCTCGATAAAAACCTCTGCTCTTGAACGATTCACACGCTCGGAGTATCTCAGCTCGGAGTCGTCTCGTCTCAAGAGAAATCAACGCAAACTCTGTGTCTCTTGGAGCACCTCGGTTCCGACAGTGTAACTTTGGCTCCGACACAAACTCTGTCTCTTGGAAGGGGTCCAGGCTCTGGAGCACTCTGCTCGGGAGTCGCCACTTCACAGGAGAAACCTCGTCACCCTCTACAGAGAAATAACACCTCTGGAATGTCAATCAGATGGTGAGATTAGACCAGAGCTGCTACTTCTCGATCTCGGAGTACCTTAGTTCCGGTGGAGTAACCTTGGCTCCAATGGAATAAACCTTGCAACACAGAAATACCTTGGTTCCGGTAGTGTAACCTCAGTATCTAACTTCTGGAGGAGTCAAATCACCTCGGAGGGTACGTCAAGTTCAGCAACTTGTATCAATTTCGGATCATCAATAACTCGGAGGAGGAGAAGAAGCAACTCACGAATATCGATCATTAAACTGAGATTAGACAGAGTTGTATTCTCAACCCTCGGAGCAGATTCCACTCTAGAATAGATGGAGGAGTAAGCACTCGGAGCAGTGAGTCCTCAGAGTAGGTATGGCTCTCAACTAGATGGAGGAGTAATCACTCGGAGCTGGCAATCCTCGGAGTAGATACAACTCTCGAATATCAATCACAACGGAGATTAGACAGAGCTGTAACTACTCGGACCAAATATAACTCAGAGGAGATATAACACTTAAATAATTGGAGGAGTAATCACTCGGAGCTGGCAATTCTCGGAGTCAATGGAGGAGTAATGACTCGGAGCAGTGAGTCCTCGGAGCAGATATGACTCTTGAATATCAATCAAACTGAGATTAGACAAGAGCCATAATTACTCGGAGTTGGCGATCCTCGGGGCAAATGGAGTAGTAATGACTCAGAGCTGACAGTCCTCAGAGCAGACACGACTCTCGAATATCAATCAAACTGAGATTAGACAAGAGTTGTACCTACTCAGAGAAGGAATCACTCCTTAAAATGGCGTCACTTCCGTAAAAAATAAAGATGGCCGACCGCAGGGAACTCTGGGAAGAAGAAATCAAAATGGCGGACGGCAATATGGCGTCAAACTCAATAATCAAATTGTCACTCACCAAAGAACTATCTATTGTCTTGTCTTTTCCCCAATTGTCGCAACGCACGCAATTTACATCAAGCAATAGCAGCAAATAGTCAAATAATATCCAAATATAATCCACAGTTGTAATCAGCCACGCTCGCACATAAAATGCCCCAAACTGACGAGGTCCTGCTTGTACAAAATCTTGGTAAGCTCTGATTTACAGGTCACGATCTCACGCTAAAATCCAGACACCTCAAGTTGCATCATGGGAAAACTACAACTTAAGTTGGCGGTAAATTCAAATGAAGCAATCTGATTGGTTGAGCTCTGTTGCTGAGTGCTTAATTATTCAAATTTATTCCACTACAGTCTGCTGATCAAGTAAACATCCAAGTGCCTAGATGAGATTCTGCACGTAGACACTTTACAATACAATTCTTTAATTACAGTGGACAGAACATGAAATAAAGATGAAATAACATAAAACCCAGTAAAATAAACGTTTCACAAACCCTAGTACTACTCAGGGGGAATTAAAAATTCCCACAATATATACAATGCTGTACTGCAATGAGGAAAGCGAAATAATCGTCACACTCGAAAGGTCAAACCGTGATGCTGGGTAGGTTAGGGTTTTTTACCCATTAAATGAAATTCAAAATCGATATAATAATATAAGGCGTGCTTTTTTATCTATTTGTGATTCATATAAAAATATTTCATGTATCTGATGAATTGGAGAAATTTATAATACGAAACATTTTTCATGACTCGATGTCACAACTGGTATTTTTCATGATTTACATCACGTTCTTGAGGTTTACGTAACAAATTAATGCCACACAATATAAGTTAATAAAATATTAATTAGATTGAGATTTTCTTTTTCTTATTTGTCTAATAAATTTCAAATATATTGATGCAATAGTACCAAAGTTACATATTTAAACATTTTCATGATGAAATGTCACAGAACGTGTTTTGACATATTTTTAATAGCACATAACTATTGTCTGTACCTTGCGATTACGTCGTGATCTGTTGTCAAAAAGTCAACCAGATTTCTGTTTTGCACATGTATATAAACAGGTTATACCATTAATGATGGAATAAACTATAAATAAAAAGTAAGATATTTTCATTTCAAAATCAAAATACAGAAAAATCACTCGTGTATGTACCTAGGTAGATGTGGTGTTTGCTATGCTGTCAATGTTTCGAGTGTTATCACCGTGTCTTTCTGTAAATAGCCGATTACCTCACTGGTCGATCGTGTAACTAGAGAGAGCAGGGTGCCCAAAACATTGTCAAATGCTTCTTTAGAGTCCCTTATTTGTCAAACTTTAATTTATAGGCTGCAGTATACAATAGACTTCTAATTTATTTATTTCAGAAAGCCTTCTACAAACAATACTGCGGTGATGATATGGCTTGTCGATGGACCGTTTGTCGGTGGCACAGCAACCCAAATTCTAAACTCAATTGCTTCAGAGTAAATAACCTGTAAGTAAATAGCCTAGTCTTCAGATTGAGAGTTTAATTTTGCCAACATGGTTTGAAACAACATAGAGTCGGAACTCTTCATTATTGATACGACGTCAGATACTGTACATCACGGCGTAAGTGTAATTGTTCATTTTACCGACAAAATGCAAAGATTTACGCGATAAATATGCGCAATGCTCCTCCAAGTAATTGCAAACGTTTTAATATTCGTGGAATCTTCTTAAAAACTTCAAGTTTTGTTCAGATTAATGTGCGCTTCAGTACAATTCTATATTCAAAAAGGTTGTGTCACGATATACAGAATTAGAATCACCAGAAAGTAGACATTTCAAACCCTACCCCTTTTCTTCTTTGTCGCGCTTTTCGGCCCTGCGCTCTCGTTGTCGCACCGTCTTTCTAGACTCTTTCACAATGCCCCTTGTCATATTCAACTGATAAACACAGACGGGAAGATATTAAGGATTGTTAAATGCATTATTTGTAATATATTCTAACTCGAATATTTAGTTTTATTTATTTAAAGCAATGAATAATAAAGGAGAACATATGATACGCTAACGGCGTAACGTCTTATTTTGTAAAGGCTTCACTTGGGGTTGCGGTGATAAAACGATGTCTATCTCAATTATATACTGGTTCAAATTAAATGAAATTAATTGTATGTAGAAAGGGGTATATTTAAAAGAACATGCTGAAACATTGGAAAGTTTTGAATGTTTATCCCTTAATTAGAAATATTTGAACTCAAAAAATGAAACGTAATTTTGTGAATTTTTCACATGGCTTCACTTCATATTTCTTTCAATTTATAAACTAAGACCCTGTTATAAAACTAAGACCCCCACGTAATAAAACTAAGACCCTGTTATAAAACTAAGACCCCCCACGTTATAAAACTAAGACCCTGTTATAAAACTAAGACCCCCACGTTATAAAACTAAGACCCTGTTATAAAACTAAGACCCCCATGTTATAAAACTAAGACCCTGTTATAAAACTAACACCCCCCACGTAATAAAACTAAGACCCTATTATAAAACAAAGACCCCCCACGTTATAAAACTAAGACCCCCCACGTTATGAAACTAAGACCCTGTTATAAAACCACGACCCCCCACGTTATAAAACTAAGACCCTGTTATAAAACTAAGACCCCCCCCACGTAAAAAAAACTAAGACCCTGTTATAAAACTAAGACCCCCACGTAATAAAACTAAGACCCTGTTATAAAACTAAGACCCCCCACGTAATAAAACTAAGACCCTGTTATAAAACTAAGACCCCCACGTAATAAAACTAAGACCCTGTTATAAAACTAACGTGGGGGGTCTTAGTTTTATAACAGGGTCTTAGACCTGTATGTTACTGGGGAACTCGAGGGATAGAGCCGAGACTACCTTAAAATTATGTATATGTGTATGTTAGGCCATAAGAAGTAGGTTATTTGTTTTGCGTCATGGCAAAATCCAAATCATGCAAGGGTACAAGGAAAACAAACACAAACTCAAGAAAAAACACAAACTTGTTTATGGGCATATAAAGGGATGACATGCCAATTTGCAGTGATTACAAACACATATCTATACATCCTATACAATACATTTAAGCATAGCTATTATTCAAGGGTACAAAATAAGAAAATACACAGTGTATGCTAAAGTAATCAATAACACTGTCAATTTTGACGCACATCAAATGATCTGCCATTTCGTCCGATTCTGATTGAATGAAATGCGATGGTACTTCCAAACCCTTGTAATTGCTATTTGGATGTGTTTGTTTTTTCTGATTTACTCAAAATCGTGCAAGCAAGGGGACGCAAAACAGAGAATGTACTTCTTATGGCCTTACTAGGGAAAACAAGGGTCAGAGGCAAGACTACCTTATGTATATGTGTATGTTACTAGGGAAAACAAAGGTCAGTGGCAAGACTACCATATGTGTATGTTACTAGGGTAAACAAGGGCCAGAGGCAAGACTATCATGTGTAGATTCTGTATGTGAGAAGGGAACACAAGGACCAGAAGCAAGACTACCTTTTGTAGAATCTTTATGTTAGTGGGGAGAATCTGTATATTAGAAGGGAACACAAGGACCAGAAGCAAGACTACCTTTTGTAGAATCTTTATGTTAGAGGGGAGAATCTGTATATTAGAAGGGAACACAAGGACCAGAAGCAAGACTATCTTTTGTAGAATCTGTATGTTACTGGGGAACACAAGGCCCAGAGGCAAGACAACCTTGTGGCGAGCAGAGCAAGGCACGGTGACTGATTCTTATAACAGGGTCTTAGTTTCATTACGTGGGGGGTCTTAGTTTTATAACAGGGTCTTCGTTTTATTACGTGGGGGTCTTAGTTTTATAACAGGGTCTTAGTTTTATAACGTGGGGGGTCTTAGTTTTATAACAGGGTCTTAGTTTTATAACGTGGTGGGTCTTAGTTTTATAACAGGGTCTTAGTTTTATTACGTGGGGGGTCTTAGTTTTATAACAGGGTCTTAGTTTTATAACGTGGGGGGGCCTTAGTTTTATAACAGGGTCTTAGTTTTATTACGTGGGGGGTCTTAGTTTTATTACGTGGGGGGTCTTAGTTTTATAACAGGGTCTTAGTTTTATAACGTGGGGGGTCTTAGTTTTATAACAGGGTCTTAGTTTTATTACGTGGGGGGTCTTAGTTTTATAACAGGGTCTTAGTTTTATTACGTGAGGGGTCTTAGTTTTATAACAGGGTCTTAGTTTTATTACGTGAGGGGTCTTAGTTTTATAACAGGGTCTTAGTTTTATTACGTGGGGGGTCTTAGTTTTATAACAGGGTCTTAGTTTTATTACGTGGGGGGTCTTAGTTTTATAACAGGGTCTTAGTTTTATTACGTGGGGGTCTTAGTTTTATAACAGGGTCTTAGTTTTATAACGTGGGGGGTCTTAGTTTTATAACAGGGTCTTAGTTTTATAACGTGGGGGGTCTTAGTTTTATAACAGGGTCTTAGTTTTATTACGTGGGTGGGGGGTCTTAGTTTTATAACAGGGTCTTAGCTTTATAACGTGGGGGGTCTTAGTTTTATAACAGGGTCTTAGTTTTATTACGTGGGGGGGGTCTTAGTTTTATAACAGGGTCTTAGAGATATTGCGGTTTTAAAAGTAAGTACGCATTAAAAATGCAGTAAAATGCCGCGATGTACAGTATCTGACGTCTATTACGATATTTATTATCACCTGGTTACCAAGACGTTCCATTGGATACATCAGGACGGACTTGATTTTCACGATCATAGCTGCTAGAGTTAACTACTAATAGGGAAATATTGGGAAATTGTGATTCACATCTTTACTGGAAAAATGAACATGAACGGGTTTTTGATCCATTACTCCTAAGAAATAAAAACCTTTTGTAATCGTTTTTATTATTAATTCATATAGGCCTTGGCATTAAATTGTACAGAGAAATATTCCTATGTTGGTCCTTAATGTTGGTTGCATTTCATGATACTAATAATTATTATCTATTTGTAATTGAATCCGAACCACATGGGGCATATTTCAGTATTTATAGTATCTAGATAGCATTTACAGCCCTCGTGATGTCGTGTCGTCTCATCATTTTGAAACGTTGATAATTTACAGTTCAGCAAATTAAAATATTATCGTATAAATACTTGTTTAGATCTCTCCTCTTCATAACATTATTGAACCACTCGTGTTGTTACCCCTAGAAAATTTTATAACATTGTTATTAACAATACGAAACTTTTAATCACGAAATGTGGTCAACGCCCAAAGAAGCTCTAGATATTTACCTGCTCACTTTAGTTATCCGTGGTCAAAGAAATTTTCTGAATATGATTAATAGAAAAGAAGCCTCGACAATGCAACGTTTGCGGTTCTTTTTAACATTCTATCGGTCAAAAGAATAGGAAAGTGTGCTAGACGTTGCTGCATTGTGTGTTACATTCATATTTTTACTCGCGCAGAATATCAAGGTGTATCAAGAAAACGTAACAAATAGATTGTAAAACCACAAAACCAGAGATGACTTCATTGGTTACATTCAATGTACCATGAAGCCACATCATTCCCCTCTTCAATGAATGTCATATATTTACATGGGCAAGGGTCATGGTTGGTAGAATAATCATTGTTTTCACACAGTGGACCAAAATCAGTTTGGGACCATGTTTAAAAAGAGTGCATGGGCCTGGTATGACATGATACATGTGATATGTGATTTATTCACATGGGGTCAGGGTTGGCTGAATCCATCAACTGGTATTTGAGTTCTAAAACATTTTTTTTACGATATTGGCGGCCATTTTGAATGAGCAGCCATAGTAAAATGGCTCATGGAGCAGAGGTTCTTCTCCCATAAAATATTAGACTAGCCTAACATTTGGACCAAATTCCATTATTTTGTTCCATAAATGGTTTATAAAGAGTACATTTTTTTAAATCAGAGACCATCTTGAAAATGTATTTCTAAGCTGGATAAGGCATCAGCATATGAAACCAATTCCGTCGAGTGATATTTGAGTTATCAAAGGTTGCATTTTTTACAAAACATGGCGGCCATTTTGAATTGAGCGGTTATTTTGAAAATTCCTTCTCGAGCAGAAGTCCTGTACATGTGCACATTTAAGCGTATGAATGTTGAATCAAATCCGTCAACTTGTATTCGAGTTATCGTCTGGACAAACAAACGAACTGACGGACGAAAGCACGAATTTCGTTCGACGGGACTAGGAAAATATTTTCTTCGTAATGATCAGCTACTACAATGAATAATTGATATGTAATTATGTACTTTTAAATGGATAGACAAAGCTAAAATAGAAACAACGTAGGTTTAAAATAGTGCATAAAACACACTTTCGACATTTCAGCAATTCAACTAATGATTATAAAGAAACATAATACTACGCGGTTTTAGTTGGTGGCCTGTAATGTAACAAACGCTTAAAATAAACAAGAAAACAGCAACGCCACGGAGCAGCAAAGCCCATCGAACAAACATGTTTTGATAATTAGCGACCATACTGAAAATGGTTTCTTGGACGAGCTCCTTTGTCCTTAGGTATCAGCACATAGAATTTGAACCAAAAATCCGTTCATTGGTATTTCAAAGACTATGTTTTTCTTACAAAAATGGCAGCGATTTTTGAAATTGAACGCTCTCTCCAAAAAACTTCTCCATCACTGTCCAACCCAAACGCTCTTACTTGAACGACGGAACTCTTCGGTTTAATAAAGAAAATATTATAACGACCCTTAATTGGGCACGTCCGTCGGGGAGCGTACCAAGCCAGATACTAGACTCGAAAGAAAGTGTGCTATATTCAATGCCCCGTGCGGGAATCGAACCCAGGATCTTCCGCTCTCGAGTCACTACCGATATTTCCTCCACTTGCTCATCATAATCCAAGAATTGATGTGTTTTCAGGAACTGCGATTGTCATGCTGGAGAAAGTTGTGTACTGCGAGAAGATTTAGTAAGACCATCTGAAACCATGGTGAAATTCCAACATAGGTGCATGAAAGTCTAACCGATCATGAAACTCTGAAAACATAGCAGTGGCGGAGAGTTTGAACTACTAGTATCAGATGAATTTCAAAAAATGTGATGTTATCAAATATGAATAATTTACAAATATTGTATTCGGAGATGCAATTGGAAAATAAAATATGTTCTTCTTTCACTATAGAGTATACATTGAATATAGCCCTATGTCTCATTTTTTAAATTCATAACAAAATAAATCGACGAATGCTACAATGTTCGTAAATTACAGTCATAAAAAGTAACAAAAGCAAACACTTGAAAATCAAGATCTTTCAAAGTTTTACAGTATACCCCTACAGATGTATTTACACTGGACGGTGCACATTTAAAAATGAGATGCATCTTCTAAGCAATTTCTGCTAGAAAAGTCAACAATTTTGAACCAATACGCTTGTATGATATGAGATCTATCAAAAAGGCGCAACGTCACTAACGTGCAAAAGACAATGTCTTTGCTATAAATCAAGCAACAATGATCTGCACAACCGGTAATAAATACTTAAAATTGACGGGAAATAATCGAAAATACTCAAAATTGAACGGAGAAAGGTTGAGTCGAAAAAAATTACAAGAATTAGTACGGTGAATTTGAAAAATGAACTCGGTAACTAAAGAAACTACATGTTATACCTCTAGAGAGTAGAAAATGGGGACATTTGGAGTTATATGAGAAATAATGATCTTATGATGTCTCATAGACACTTCACTCCCCCTCCGATCAAATTTGATTATTTTCGATTATTTCCTATATAACGTATGTTTATGCAACTTATGTTGAAAAGCCAGTAATGACATTTATTTTGTGATGGCAACGTCACTTACAAGTACTAGTATTTCAAGTTGTGTATATACCCCCTTGCTTGATTTATAGCAAAAATGACTTGTGCACGTTGGTGGCGTATACACTAACCCATTCTGATAATGTACTCAGGCTTCGACTTCGTGCATTATGTGTATGGGTTACTATTTCTAGTAGTACATACACTCTAATTTTATATTTCCAATAGAGAAAGATACATGATTCTTTATTCCTCAAGTAGAACATCGGGCGCAAGTTCGAGACAGTGAACGAAAACGTACACTGTAAGTCTATCAAACCGGAAAAGTAAGCAATCTCTAATAGGCTACGATATTAATAATTAAAAGGAAATGCATTCATTCCTTTCAGTTAGCCTAAAAAATGTATGGCATCTGATGCTTTCTGACATGTTATGTTCGAAAAAATCCGTTACTATAAGACTACATGTTAACTGCACATAAAACTAATTTGTTTATAGTTATACCAAACGTTATTTTCTAAATATATCTAAACATGAATGTATTTTGGTTGAACTGGGGTCCTTTGATTGTTATTTTAACCACATTATACAGATTGAAGCCTGGATTGAAGCTTGATCAAGAATTACAAAAAGCAATCAAGATGATGGAAAATCTAAACAAGGCATTAACCTGCAAAATGTCATCACCACCTACCATTTGCTATAAACGCCAACCGCCGAACACAAAAAAAAGTGGGAGAATTGATGGTGGTGACATATAAAATGAATCTGTTATCGAACAACTCTCTGGAAACTCGATCCTATTTCAGGAATAGGCCTACTTAGAAAAATAGCTTAATGTTAGGTAACGAGAGGAATTTGAAGCGAATCTTGCGAACAAAATGGGCTAAGTAAGGCATGCGAGGCTCTGGAAGACTCAATTGCTTCAACAAAACTTAATGGATTTTTTTTTCAAATATATTAAAATAGTGGGAATCGAAGTCCAATGGTTGGACTATATATTTGTAGAGTGTCCCCATCCCTGAACATGCTGGAAAATGACTGATTTCGTTGATCTATTGCGAATACGTTTATTTTGCACACAAGACACAGGGTGAATAACATCGCACCTTGAATTTCAAAGTACATACATTTCGTAATTCATGTCATTATAGCTAATTTGATTAGCATTGCTTTACAACATGTACAATATACACTATTGCGGTATCACACCGGAACACCTCGACAACGGTTAAGTCAGATACCGTTGTCACAAATGGCGGACTTACTATAATCGTGATTCCCAACTCGTTAATCACTTGGTTCTTATTTCATGGGACATTATCGTGTTAAGCTCTTGTTTTGAGGTGTTATATGAAATCCCAATTTCGATCAAATGAGGTCGTGAATATCGTCACAATATCGTAACATACCGTTTTCCATATTGGCAATGACAACGGAATCTGAATTTCTAATATTAACCGCACATGATAATATGTGACTATGTGACTATGGTGCATGCATTGCGATAGAACATAGGAGAAATGACAACGAGAACTAGACACATAACCGTGATCTTTTTAAATATATTTATGTTCATGCCGTTATCATCCCGATTTTACGGCAGTAATCCGTAGTCTAGTGTCATATTTTTATTGGTAAAATTAAAGGCCTTATTTCGAAGGTAGGACATATTTAACTATATGACCAGCAAGTAGAAAGACACTTTGAGGGATTGCTGTATCAAAGGAATCTAATCTAGGCTCTATCAAACATGCGCTTAATGAAAGTCGAAGCGAATACGAACCCATGGCCACCATTTGTGACAACGGTAGCTGACTTAACCGTTGTCAGGGTGTTCTGCTGTGATAATAGCGCCAATGTGTAATGAAAATACTCAAAGACATAGTCCTACATATAGTGTACCGATGTGGTGCTCTTGTTATATGAGACCAAGCCAAACAAAGTATTTTTGTTCGATTTGAATACAGATTACACGACACTGACAAACGTGATAAATCGGCTTTTACTTGCATTTTTATTGGTTTATATTTATCAGATATCTCAATTTCCCTTTCAAAAAATAAACTTCAAGATTATTCTCACACGTCTTCAAAAGATTGCTGATATAAATTTAAACACTCTGTCCCTTTTAATTCATATAAGTCTAATTGTAATGCCGTATAGACTATTAATTTATCAAATCATACAATTTACTAGATAGCAACTATGTGATATTAATGTATTCACTTATCTTCCAAATGATTTACAATACCAATTATCATTTATTTCAGCACGTGGTATAAAGAAAAGATTCCACTACCCTGCGCACGGGGTCTAGTTATAAATTTCTGACGACGGAGCTCTCTTTAAGAGGCGAAGTCGAACGGATGCAAAGGCTAATATTCCACAGCATCATCCATGAAAGCGATGCTTGATTTGTTATGTTTTGTCGATGGATTTTAGAAATAATATCTGAACAGTGCGACTATTTATAATCAATGGCATTTTTCAATATGCAATAAAGTTCCAGGAATAAATTTCTGTATACCACAAATGCCTCTAGTATATCATTGCTTGATCCTGCCATGACCGTAATCTTAATTGATATGGACTACCAATGTGGTGTTTCGAGAAATATTATTAGTGAATGTTCCAATAAAACTCCTTTGAGGCCTACAAATTAACATACACGACGTAGACATTGATATACATGTAGACTCGAGTCGAACGCCCCGAACCCCCCTGGCTAGGGACCTGTTACTGCTGTGTCAATATGAAGTAAGATCAAATAGCGATGGCATTACATAAAAGGCATGACATTATACAACACTTGGAGTGTTATGATGTCATGTATCATATGAATTAAAGGTAATTAATTATTTTGAATCTCGAATTGTCTCTTAGTTTGATTGAATATTTTCACCAAGTAATATCGAAATGGTTGAAGGTGTTTCTTTTTCTGAAACAAGTGACTGTCCCCTCATATCTGACTTGCTAGAATTTGCACTAAAAAAATCCTCGTTGACACTGATGTCCACTCCTGATTTAGATTTTCTGAGATCGTTTGTATGGCTGAACTCACTGTTTACTTCGTCAGCTTCAGCCAAATGTTTATCTAAAGCTACCTTAAGTTCAGTGAAACTTTGGTTTCCCAAGTTTTCGATCAATATTGCAGAATCAATGTTTGATAAGTCATTACTCTCATTGAGTAGTTCTTGAATCTCATCTTCAATGTTGCTAATTTTACTAGTTGCGTTACTAATACTAAGGTTGGTAGTAGAAATCCCCGATGAATCTGAGAATGTGTCGGATACATTAGACAGCTTCTGTTGAACTTTTGTTTGCCACTTGTTGAAGATTTCATCTGGAAGCATGCGTGGAATCCTCCAGTTAGTTTCTCTATTCTCTATACTTCTAATGTGGTAAACATTACCATCAAATGTATCTTCACCATTTTTCACTTCATCATACTGAGATTGATTGAAATGCGAAAGTTCATAATCAGCGTTTGGTTCATCATATTGCAAACGATTTGGATCTGGCCGTCTAAAATCATCATTGTTTGGTTCATCATACCGGGTCTCATTTTGACCAGGCAACCCATAATTATCATTGTTTGGATCATCATACTGGGTCTCATTTTGACCAGGCAACCCATAATCATCATTGTTTGGTTCATCATACTGGGTCTCATTTGGACCCGGCAGTCCATAATCATCATTGTTTGATTCATCGTATTGCAAATGATTTGGATCTGGAAGTCTAAAATCATCATTGTCTGGTTCATCATACTTGAATTGCTTTGGACCAGGCAAATCATTATCATCATTGTTTGGTTCATCATATTGCAATTGAATCGGGTCTGGCAGACCATAATCATGACTGCCTAGTCCATCATATTGTGATGGATTTGAATGTGGTACTCCATAATAATCATTGTCAGGTCCATTATATTGTGATGAATTTGAATGTGGCAGTTCATAATCATCATTGTCTGGTCCCTGGTACTGTGATGAATTCTGTTGAGGTAGTCCATACTCACCATTGTCTGACTCATCATAGTGGGATGGATTTGTATGCGGTAGCTCATGCTTTACATCAAATGAAGCAGTATGCTCTACATATGTTATGTTGTCAACCTTGCTACCATCTCCATCAGATGTTTGTTGAGTTATTTCAGCAGGTGTTGAGCTAATGGGTTTGAAATCGGAGAAAATATCTCTTCTAGGGGAAAGGTCTGGAGACGTGGCCGTCCATTCTTGTTCTGTTGTGTATTCATCAGAGTTCTCTTTTGATTCATTTTCGATTCTCAACAATTTGCGCTGTAAAACAGGGCTTTTCATCAGTTTTTCCAAGTTCATGTTGTGTGTGAATGTTCTGCGTTCCCCATCTGGTGTCTCACCTACAAGATGTGATTCACTTATATTTCTTGGTGCATGAGGATCACTCATAAAAATACTGTCTGTGCTTGCCTTGGGGGTTTTGAAACCACTGGTTGATTCTTTACTTTTGTCCAAGTTCATTTTCCTTCCTGTGTTTTGAAGGTTCTGCTGATTTTGCACCACTTTTTGCTTATCTGGGACATAATCAACTTCTTGGTCACTATCAGAATCACAAATTACATTAGAGTACCACTTTTTATATGCAAATTTAGCTAAGTGTTTCTTCACACCACCTTTCGGGAAATTTAAAGTTCTTGATGAAATATGATCAGCAATTTCATCACTGTGACTTGATGTTGATTGTTTAACTTCAGATTTTGCTGGATTTGAATTCACATTGTCTCTGCCATTCTTGATTGTTTTATTTTTGATTTGCCTTTTTGCCTCCAATTCATCGATTTTCTTCTGTAATCTAACACTTTTCAGGACCTCACTCCAAGCACTGTCAGATTTAGAGTCAACTTCATTCTCGGTTCTAAGTTTGTAGAGTTGACTTTGATCTATTTTCTGGATATTCATTTGACCTGTAATTTGATCAAAATTAGTGCTTCGGGTCGAACGTCTATTAACCATACTTGTAGATGGGCTATTTTTACTCTTAATCGTATGAACAGATGTGGGTTTTTCATGCTGCTTTTTACTAGATACACAGACAGGATCTTGGTTTCTAATCGTCTCATTAACAACAGCTGAAGGACCATGTCTGATTGTTGAGGGTAAGATATTTGTAGATGGCACTTTTTCATAGAATTTCTTGACCATAGGGACATATGTGGGTTTTTCACGCTGATTTAAACTAGGCACATGTGTAGGATTCTGGCTTCTGGTTCTCTCATTTATTACACCTGCAGGACCTCGTTTGGTAGTTGATGGTAAGATATTTCTAGATGGCACTTTTTCATAGAGATGTTTTATCATAGGGACATATGTGGGTTTTCCATGATGTTTCTTACTAGACACATGGACAGGATCCTTGCTAATTCTTCTGTGATTTACTGCAGTTGTAGCCCCTTGCTTGGTGTCAGAGGGTATATTGTCAAGGACATAGGAATACTTAGTGACCACTTGGGTTGATGATGTCTCATCTTCATTTTCCATTAATTTGCTTCTGACACTGTTGTAACTGTCAGTAGTTTCAATACCAGTGTTTTCAGGTGAAAGTCTTTTAACGGTATATGTAGATGGTGCATTCTTTTGGAGACTCTTGATATTATGGACAGATGTGGGGTTTTCAGGGTGATGTTTACTAGGTACCCCTAGAGGAGCCTGGCTATTGGACTGTTTCTGATTCCTTAGAGTTGACATTTCAATGTAATCATCTGGTTCAATATTGGTGTCCCTGAATGAGCCTTTATTAACCGTATTTGTAGATGGTACATTTTCATACACATGCTCGACCATGTGCGTGGATGTTGAGGTTTTATGTTGTTCAATACTAGGTGTATTTGTAAGAACCTGACAATTGGTAATTCTCTGATTCGTTAGACCCGACATTTCAAGATAATCATCAGCTTCCATCTTTGTGTCTTGATGTGAACTTTTATGAATCGTATTTGTAGATGGTACATTTTCATAGACACCCTCATTGATATGAGTAGATGCCGAGTTTTTATGGTGCTCCTTACTGGCCATATATTTAGGATCCTTGCTATTAGTTCTGTCATTTACTGTTGCTTTGGACCCGTGTTGGGTGGCAGAGGGTAAGGTGGCAGGGACTTTAGATTGCTTAGTATGCAATTGGGATGATGATGTTTTGGTATCTTTGACAATTGAGTTAGTTTTGCCACTTTCATTGTCATAATCACCAAGTTCAACACTGGTGTCTTGGAGTGAATGTCTGTTAACCATTTTTGTAGGTTGTACATTTTCATTCTCGATTGTATGAACGGATGTAGATTTGTCAAGGTACTTCTTACTAGGTACATGAACAGGATCATTACTATTGGATCTCTCGTTTATCATTGTTGTAGACCCTTGTTTTGCTGAGGATAAAGTGTCAAGAACTTGAGAATGCTTTGAAAACATTTGGATTGAGGATTTTTTCTTTGCTTTTTTACCCATGGAGTCAACTTTCATATTGTTGTTTTCATACAAAGATCGAGTGTTTTTGCTGTCAACAGACTCTCTTGATTTTCTACTCTTCTTTGTTGCTGATGATCTATTACCTAATGCACTCTGTGTCTTGACATCTGAAATCAAATTCATAATATTATTAGATTATATCTTGTAATGGATAGATCATCTTTTATTGTAGGATGCATAAATATCCATTGCATCAAGTGTTAATAGACACTAAATAATAAAATGATGGAAGTTTAAATTGGCTATATTGTTAGAGTATCTTAGATTCCATTCTCTTGGCTAATGGATATCAAAGTGAATTAACAAAGTGTCAGCAAACAATAAAGCTTTCATCACATCCTTTGTTCAGGATTTATGTTGTATCTTTGGACAAAATAAAATTCCAAAAGGAAAAAGCTCTCTTGAAGGGAATTATGGCAGAATAGGAAATCCTGAAAGTGAAATGTTTGCCTTGAAGCATTGTGGCAAAAGAGTTACATGTACATACATGTACATGTAAAACATGAGGTCTTCTCTGTAAATAGGAAGAACATATTGTCATATAAATATCACCTTCTTTGGAGTGGTAAGGGAGGGATGTATATGAAATGAAATTTTTTACACCAAATAGCAACATGTTTTATAACAGGGTATAGGAATGTTATGAAACAATTTTCATTTATTCTTTGTTATCAAAAACTAAGTGAATTAAATGTATCCTGATGGTGTTTTGTTACATCTATTATCAAGTATTAGGTGTAATGATTCAATATCCATTTCCCTTAACTATTTATGGGACAATCCATTATTATAACATTACTGTTACAAATAGAATTAACCTAACTAATGTGTTAGCAAAATACAAAGAAATAACATTAATACGATGTCAATATGCTTCGCTATGTTACTGTAGTTTTCAATTAATTTCTCAAATTACTTACCCATGTCAGGAAAATCATCATGAGGGTCTGAATCTTCTCCAGTAAGCGTGCCAAAGACAAGATTGTTCTTTGTTTTCTTTGCCACAATAAATCTATAGTGATACAAAAGCAAAACTAAACACATATTCACAAAATGCTGAACACTGATGGTATATGTAAAATTCACAAAAGTGACTTTTTATAATAATTACAATTTCACTACTTCTTGGCTGAATATGTTTGAATATCCAACTATAACATGAAGAACTTATACAAATCATAAAGCATTCAAATAGAAACAATCTGGCTTATTAGTACAGTAGACTCTAAGAGTCATGTCTCCCTAGATTAGACATTTTGCAGTATCGCATACAGTTAAACCTGTTCTGAAAGAAACACCTCTCTATGAGGATCAGTTTTGAAAGGACCAAATATTTTTCCATTGGATTACATGTCAATGAACCTTCTTTGTTAGGAACACCTGTCCACACAGAATAGTGTTTTCTAAGATTAACCTGTCCACAAAGAACATAAAATTATGAGTTGAACTGTAAATCTTATTGTTTTTGGAGGTGTGAATAGCCTAAGCCCATATCTGATTCAAGAGGGATTAGATTAATAAAAATGAGATTAGGATAAGCCAATTGTTAACAGGACATGACATCCCACATCCTACTGTCATTTTACCCAATAATTTTGTAATCATAATACTGTTACTATTAATAGAGAAGCAAGCTTGAGTGCATCAGTTAAGTCAAATATATAGACTAACAATATTGTTTTTGGAGATAACAAAAATGAATATGTGTGATGTTGAATTAAGGTTTATCAAATCTTTTGATAATCAGATTCAAGACAAGAAGAACAAGAAAAGGATGGTACATGTACATCTCTATTTTGAAGAGTGTTCAGAACCATTCAGAAAGTTAAATGTTTTGAACCATTCAGTAAAGTTCTCTTGGAGGTCATGGTTTAGGTTACCTAAGTATGATCCCAAAAAGACACACGGAATATTTTTCAAAAAGTACTCTTGCATGATAACAGTAAAAGGTTTATGAATTTCCAGGTCATATTTGTTAAATAAAAAAGCAAAATAGTTAATTCCCACATTCTTTTCATAAGTACAACCGTAATTGTTCCATTCAAAAGTCGAATATTCCAGTTTCAAGCAACATCTCTTGAATAATCATAATTTTCTCTCTTTTATTGTTTTAGTATTAAGAAAATATAAAATGTAATAAACATCATGGGTTGGATTGGGTAGGTGAAGGGAACACTTGTCTACAAGCAATCCTTTTGGGAAGTACAGAGGACGTTCCCTGTACACAGGTTTTACTGTTGTACACAAAGGGTTGAATTTCATGTAGAGTTCATGTAGAATCCATGGAGTAGTAAATCTCAATGAACAAATTATTCATAAATCTGAAATATGTTAAAATGAATTCACTGTTAGCAACTCTTGATTTGGACATAAAAAGGTGACATTGGTGAAATCTAAGGATTTCTGTCAAATTAAATTTTGGATGGTATGACCTATCACGGTATTCGGTAAGGGTAAGGTATTAAAGGAGTTTCAATTTCTGAAGATATCTGATCAAATGTGCAATTGTAGAAGTCATTGAAGATTCGGAAATATCCTAGATGTGGTGCAACCCACCCTTTAAAATTAGGCACACATTCAGGAGCTCCAAAATATAGCAATTTAAATCAATTTGAATGCATATATGACAGGTAACACCCTCTACCCTTACCTTGACATCCACCATGACACCATAGAGCCAAACATAAACAGTAACAAGGCAACTAGCACTATGATTACCAGCAGTAGTGTATGACTATGATTTGCTGAAATAGAGCACAAATACAGCTACAGTATCATAAAAGGTAGCAAATTACTATATTTGTATGAAAGAATGCAACAATATGACTGCAGTTACATGTTACACTTTTGGTGGTGACATAAAAGGTAGCAAATGACTATATTTGTGTGAAAGAAGGCAACAATATTACTGCAGTTACATGTTACACTTTTGGTGGTGACATAAAAGGTAGCAAATGACTATATTTGTGTGAAAGAAGGCAACAATATGACTGCAGTTACATGTTACACTTTTGGTGGTGACATAAAAGGTAGCAAATGACTATATTTGTGTGAAAGAAAGCAACAATATGACTGCAGTTACACGTTACACTTTTGATGGTGACATAAAAGGTAGCCAATGACTATATTTGTGTGAAAGAAAGCAACAATATGATTGCAGTTACATGTTATACTTTTGGTGGTGACATAAAAGTTAGCAAATGACTATACATATTTGTGTGAAAGAAAGCAACAATATGACTGCAGTTACATGTTACACTTTTGGTGGTGACATAAAATGTAGCAAATGACTATATATATTTGTGTGAAAGAAAGCAATAATATGATTGCAGTTACGTGTTACACTTTTGTTGGTGACATAAAAGGTAGCAAATGACTATATATATTTGTGTGAAGAAAGCAACAATATGATTGCAGTTACATGTTACACTTTTGGTGGTGGCATAAAAGGTAGCAAATGACTATATTTGTTTTGAAAGAAAGCAACAATATGATTGCAGTTACATGTTATACTTTTGGTGGTGACATAAAAGGTAGCAAATGGCTATATTTGTGTGAAAGAAAGCAACAATATGATTGCAGTTACATGTTACACTTTTGCTGGTGACATAAAAGGTAGCAAATGACTATATATATTTGTGTGAAAGAAAGCAACAATATGACTGCAGTTACATGTTACACTTTTTGGTGGTGACATAAAAGGTAGCAAATAACATTATTATATCATTGCTAGCATTTGTGTCCTTTGATTGGCTGATTCAGTACCATGTGATCAAAAATACCAAAGCGTATTTCACAGCTCCCTTAATTTTTGAATTATAAAAGACGTATTGCCCGGCCTATTGCCCGCCCGAGAATTCTGAATCGCCCCGTTTCGTCCAGTACAGTTGTGACGTGCATTAAAATACAGACGGAAAAAGATTTAAAAGTCTGAATTCCGATGAAAAGAACGACAACTTGAGGGATGTTCATTCTAAAAACACCATTAAATCAATGGAAAAGTCTTGGAACATTTTCACATATCGAACATATCGAAATAGACGTCTAATCTATCGATAAAATCGTTCTGGATTGAATTTTAGAGGATTTTTTTCTTGAACGCGAACGAAGGATGTGGAATATTACAAGAGTGCCAGTCTGCAAAGTATTCGTCATGGACTCAATGGGCACATACAAAGTCTACGCAATGATATACATATCATCAATGACTCGAGAAAGCATTTGAAATCATTGGGAAAAGGAGACACTAACAAAAGATGGGGAGTATTACAAGAGTGATTTTTTTCATGTGTTATTGATTAAAAATAAATGTTCACAGGTTAAAACAAATATTATTTATTTCTTTGAAATGCATTTATTGATCGTAGCGAATGCCTAGCAATGATATAATAAAACAAATATTTCATTCTATGTTCGGGCAATACCTGTTGCACTTTTAATGATTTGTGTGAAAGAAAGCAAAAATGCAGTGTATTTTTGCATCTGTCAAGAAAGGTAGCAAAGGACTACAGTCATGTACATTATATTTTTGTGAAAGAAAGTTGATTTGGTTGCAGTTACATGTGTCCTAAAAAGTAAAAAATGGCTATAGTAAGTGTGAAAGATGCAAGAACAAAGAAATATACGAATGTGTGTCATAATAAGTAGCAAACAACTATATTGTTTGTGTGATATTATTCATTAAGCAGAATATAGAGGTTCTTGTATGAGTACCTGTGCTTGTCCATTCTTGATGAGCTTTGATAATCTTCTACTCGATAAAGAAACATTATCAAAGCAATTCAATAATGGACAACATTGCACTGGTACAAGTACAAGAAAGTTTTTCTCATATGACTTCCTAAATTATGCCATATCTTCATCATTTTGTGATAAAATGAGTAAAAATAGCTTCAAATTAACGGAACTTCATGTTTCAATTGATGATTTGCGATCACTGGATTGATTCAATCTTATAATAACATCACAATTAGGCAACATTGCTATAGCTGTTTGATTTTGAGAGATTATCTTCTGTATTTCGTACTTTATTGAATTAATTTTCGCGAAAGTATTCGATTTGACTAGATCAACATTCATTCTAAGCATATGCCAAGTCTAAGAGCACCCCCAATTTTGAAAAAACGGGGGCGTTTATAGGCAAATATATTTAGTATGAACTTCACCGAAACTTCACACATATAAAGAGAAACTCATGATCTAGTCAAATCAGCATACCTGGTAAATATTCGACCTATGGTTTTCAAAAAAAGAAACGATAATATTTTCAGCTCAAAACTGCCACATGTCCGCCATTTCATCTCTCCATCATGTCTAATATCATTTTTATGTCACCACCAAAAGTGGTGACATATTGTTATGGTCTCCGTTTTTTTGCGACGGCGGTTGGCGTCCGGCGGTTGGTGGTTGGCGTCCGGCGGTTGGCGTCCGGCGGTTGGCGTCTGTAACAATTTCTTACAACTTCCTATAACTTAACAAATACTGTTTAGACTGACTTCAATTTTTTTCTAAATCATCTACATGTTCTCAGAAGTTCAAATCTGACTTTAGATTTGACATTTGACCTTCAATGACCTTCTCAAGGTCAAAAAGGTCTTTTTTTAACTTGCTTCACATTGACTAATTTTTTTTCAAAATCTTCTACATGTTCTCAGAAATTCAAATCTGACTTTACATTTGACATTTGACCTTCAAATATGACTTTAGATTTTACATTTGACCTTCAATGACCTTCTCAAGGTCAAAAAAGGTCAAAAAGGTCTGTTTTGAACTTGCTTCAAATTGGCGTCCGGCGGTTGGCGTCCGGCGGTTGGCGTCTGTAACAATTTCTTACAACTTCCTATAACTTAACAAATACTGTTTAGACTGACTTCAATTTTTTTCTAAATCATCTACATGTTCTCAGAAGTTCAAATCTGACTTTAGATTTGACATTTGACCTTCAATGACCTTCTCAAGGTCAAAAAGGTCTTTTTTTAACTTGCTTCACATTGACTAATTTTTTTTTCAAAATCTTCTACATGTTCTCAGAAATTCAAATCTGACTTTACATTTGACATTTGACCTTCAAATCTGACTTTAGATTTGACATTTGACCTTCAATGACCTTCTCAAGGTCAAAAAAGGTCAAAAAGGTCTGTTTTGAACTTGCTTCAAATTGACTAAATTTTTTTTTCAAAATCATCTACGTGTTCTCAGAAATTCAAATCTGACTTTAGATTTGACTTAAGATTTGACATTTGACCTTCAATGACCTTCTCAAAGTCAAAAAAGGTCAAAAAGGTCTTTTTTCAACTTGCTTCAAATTGTCTAAATTTTTTTTTCAAAATCATCTACATGTTCTCAGAAATTCAAATCTGACTAGATTTGACATTTGACCTTCAATGACCTTCTCAAGGTCAAAAAGGTCAAAAAGGTCTGTTTTCAACTTGCTTCAAATTGACTAGATTTTTTTTTCAAAATCATCTACGTGTTCTCAGAAATTCAAATCTGACTTAAGATTTGACTTAAAATTTGACATTTGACCTTCAATGACCTTCTCAAGGTCAAAAAAGGTCTGTTTACAACTTGCTTCAAATTCAAATCTGACTTTAGATTTGACATTTGACCTTCAATGACCTTCTCAAGGTCAAAAAAGGTCAAAAAGGTCTGTTTTGAACTTGCTTCAAATTGACTAAATTTTTTTTTCAAAATCATCTACGTGTTCTCAGAAATTCAAATCTGACTTTAGATTTGACTTAAGATTTGACATTTGACCTTCAATGACCTTCTCAAAGTCAAAAAAGGTCAAAAAGGTCTTTTTTCAACTTGCTTCAAATTGTCTAAATTTTTTTTTCAAAATCATCTACGTGTTCTCAGAAATTCAAATCTGACTTTAGATTTGACTTAAGATTTGACATTTGACCTTCAATGACCTTCTCAAAGTCAAAAAAGGTCAAAAAGGTCTTTTTTCAACTTGCTTCAAATTGACTAAATTTTTTTTTCAAAATCATCTACATGTTCTCAGAAATTCAAATCTGACTTTAGATTTGACATTTGACCTTCAATGACCTTCTCAATGTCAAAAAAGGTCAAAAAGGTATTTTTTCATCTTGCTTCAAATTGACTAAATTTTTTTTCAAAATCATCTACATGTTCTCAGAAGTTCAAATATGACTTTAGATTTGACTTTAGATTTGACATTTGACCTTCAATGACCTTCTCAAGGTCAAAAAAGGTCAAAAAGGTCTTTTTTCAACTTGCTTCAAATTGACTAATTTTTTTTTCAAAATCATCTACATGTTCTCAGATATTCAAATCTGACTTTAGATTTGACATTTGACCTTTAATGACCTTCTCAAGGTCAAAAAGGTCTGTTTTCAACTTGCTTCAAATTGACTAAAAAAAATTTCAAAATCATCTACGTGTTCTCAGAAATTCAAATCTGACTGAAGATTTGACATTTGACCTTCAATGACCTTCTCAAAGTCAAAAAAGGTCAAAAAGGTCTTTTTTCAACTTGCTTCAAATTGACTAATTTTTTTTTTCAAAATCATCTACATGTTCTCAGAAATTCAAATCTGACTTTAGATTTGACATTTGACCTTTAATGACCTTCTCGAGGTCAAAAAAGGTAAAAAAGGTCTGTTTTCAACTTGCTTCAAATTGACCAAATTTTTTTTTCAAAATCATCTACATCTTTTCAGAAGTTCAAATTTGACTTTACAAGTTCTCAGAAATTCAAATCTGACTTAAGTTTGAACTCATAATATTGTGAGCAACTAGGTGGTGACATTTTGTCATGTTAATGCCTTGTTATATGATGTCATACCAAAAAGATGAATAACATAACAACAGTATCCATAAACAAAATTCCTGAATTCTGATCGCAAAAGGTCAATTGTTATATCTTGCACATGTGACTTTTTAGGATGAAAGATGGCAATATCTTGCACGGGGAAAAGAATGGCTGTATCTGATAGTCATATAAGAAATAAAAATTCAATTAAGTCCAAGGAAAGAATTTCAACAAGAATATTATATATAACAGAGATAGATACATGTATCTGTATGCACTACTAGTAGGTGATTTTCCATATTACAGGTATAATGTTCCTAATATATTTGTCTTTGAGCGGCAGTTTTGAAAAATATTTGACTGAATCATATTTCTGATGAAACACAAAAATATGTCTTAACTAAGCTTTACTTACCAATTTCACAATATTTTCCACGGTAGTTTGGTGGGCACTCACATCGCAATTTGTTGTTCATTATGTGAGAATTTTTGTCAAATTCGATGCATTTTCCGCCATTTAAACAGGGACTACTGTAGCAGTTCATTACACCTGAAAAAGTATTACATCATAATATACAGTAAATAATAGTTATAATATCTTAAAATGAATTTCTTTTCTAATCAAAATATAATTTACATATGACAAGTTTACAAGGTCCTTTTTAAAGCTGGTATCACATGTTAAACAAGGCATAAACATGACAAAATGTCACCACCTAGTTGTTCACAATATTATGACTATGAGTTTAATCTGAAGTCAGATTTGAATTTCTGAGAACTTGTAGATGGTTTTAAAAAGAAATTGGTCAATTTAAAACAAGTTGAAAAGAGACCTTTTTTACCTTGAGAAGGTCATCGAAGGTGAAATCTCAAATTTTAAGTCAGATTTGAACTTCTTAGAACATATTGTTGATTTTGAAAAAAAAATGAAGCAAGTTGAAGAAAGACTTTTTTAACCATTTTCTTTTAAACCATAAGAAGGTCATTGAAGGTGAAATATCAAATCTAAAGTCAGATTTGAACTTTTGATAACTTTTAGATGATTTTGAAAAAATTGGTCAATTGGAAGCAAGTTGAAAAAAGACCCTTTTGACTTTTTGACCTTGAGACAGTCATTGAACTTCTCAGATCTGAACTTCTGACAACTTGTAGATGATTTTGAAAAAAAACTGAAGTCAGTCTAAACAGTATTTTTTGACTTGAGAAAGTCATTGAAGGTCAAATATATTTTTTGACCGTGAGCAGGTCACTGAATGTCTAATCTCAAATATATAGTCAGATATGAACTTTTGAGAACTTGTTGATGCTTTTGAAAAAAAGAACTTGGTAAATTTGAAGCAAGTTGAAAAATACCTTTTTGACCTTTTTTGACCATGAGAAGGTCATTGAAGGTCAAATCTCAAATTTAAAGTCAGATATGAACTTCTGACAACTTGTAGATGATTTTGAAATAAAGTGAAGTCAGTCTAAACAGTATTTGTTAAGTTATTGGAAGCCAATCGCAAACCACTGATCGCCAACTGCCGATCACCAACCGTCGCCACAAAAAATGGAACAAATGTGTTGAAACCTTATATCTCAAATGCTTTAACTTAAATTTTTAAGTGAGTTGTAATTTCTTGTTTTCTTTTTCAAACATCTATTATTAGTAATAGTACTCTTAAGTCTCCATTTGAGAATGTAGCTATATATTACTTTACATAATCATTGACCTTTCATACAACACCTACAACATACAACATTTACTTCTAAGAAAGAAGAATTACCAAGGTTTTCATGATCATCTTAATTCACACAAATACTAGAATATAGTAGTACTGTCATGTTTTGTAAATTGTAAGGTGTTTCAATAAAATTTATGACAATGGGCAGTATGATGAAAAACAAGCAAAACCATTGGAAATAAGTATAATCATGGAAAATATTGAAAAAATCCTCAAAACAGGCAATTTCTATAAAACAACAAGCACTTATCTTCAGTTGGCAGATGGAAATGAGATCACTGGTCATTTAGATAATTACATCATTCAATATTCTGAAATATACCAGACTATGGTTTCTACATTCAACCAAACATTACATGAGACAATAACTGCTATCAGATTGATGGTTGTTTTTCTTAAACTTTTGGATACAATCAAATTGTAAGAAACTAATCAAGCCTGAACCACAGAAATGAAAAGAGCGCATCAAGTAGAGGTTTATTCCTTCCTATACACATTAACAGAATACAATAAATTAACAAAACACACCTACACCTGACAATGATACGTAACACAGATGAAATAGAAAGTAAATTGATTAGACTAAATGAACAATCCTATAATATCAATTGCAATCTTAATGGTGTTGGTGTGAAGGAATCCTTTTGAAATAAGCCTTTTTTGATGCAGAGATATTTGGTTTGTATGAAGTATCCTGAAAACTATTAAATCATATGAAATAGGTGGAAATATAAAAGAGTATGGTAGAGTATAGCCAGATATATTCTTTGTTAGTATCATTTGAATCCAACTCTGAGCCTATACAGATCACTTACATGTAGATGTCACTCATACTTTTTCTTTAAAAATAGTTTTAAAAATGATAAGGCTATGCTTTGAATTTAAAATCCCAAATGGTACATTTGTTTTATCTCCTGTCACACCCTATTCAGACTGTGCTATATACAGACAAGCGTTGCGGATATCATGTGCGCAAGGTGAGGATATTAACAGTCATTTTTGAATTTGAATCTATTTCATAAACTAGGGCATGTTGAGTACTCAATTATAGTCATCCATTTGTAGAGGAGACCCAATAAAAGGGAAATTTTGTCTATAGTTGTATTCTTTATTATTTAACAATGCCCTAGGCATTCATCCTTGTTCCATAGCAAAGAATTTGAAATTGCTGCTTTATTACACAGTTTACATTCATTCAGTATTGGTGATCAAAATGACCAATCGATATAAATTATTTTTGCATTTTGAAAGTCATTAACTTTTTGTGTGAATTTTTAAATAAAAATTGTGTGGTTTTATACGAAATGGGAAACATTAAACAAAAATGTGCTACCTCTAAACAAGTGATGTGGATATCATCACTTTACGTATATCCGTGGATATCAGCACCGCTTGTTTAGAGGTAGCACATTTTTGTTTAATGTTTCCCATTTTGTATAAAATCACACAGAAATCTTTCAACTATCAAAATGTAAATATTATTTGTATTGACAGGTCATCTCGATTACCAATATTGAATGAATGCTGTTTACACTGTCTGACTGTAACAGCTGCAATTTCGAATTATTTGCTTTGGAGAGAGCATTATTGCTTGATGTGTCGCTATAGAATGGACTACACGCCTATTTGCACAATTTCCTTTCTTTTAGAGAACCTGTTGACATATATGAATATAATTGAGTACGCAACATGCCTTACTTGGTGAAATATCAAGAAATCAATTTCAAAAATAACTGTTAATATCTGCACCTTGCGCACATGATATCCGCACCGCTTATTTTCATATCGTGCAGTCTGGATAGAGTGTGCCATAGCTAGTCCAAAACCAATGGCCCAAAAACATTCTATTTTGCTTTTAATTTCCAATTTTTTGTTGGCGCCTGAACTCATCCTTATAGAGAGGAGAGACTATTTTTGTGAGACATATTATTTGAAATCTCTAAAGTACTTGAACTTTAAAGTTGCTTTAATAGAAAATATAATATGTACCCAATTGTGCATCTCCAGTTTCTGATCCCCCTGCTTCTCCTAGCACTACACAGTGGTACATTCCTTCATCTTCTCTGGTGGCATTTAGGATATACAGAGTGCTACCATCAAGCCTATGCCTGTTAAAAATGTACATAAAAATGCACTCTGCCAAAATGAAATGCCACATGTAATCCAAAATGTATATTTGATGAGTACGTATCATAAAATTTTTTTATAATTGTTTCGTTGAGTGCAATGTTTTGATGCTACTTAATTGCCAACAACCTGTATGATTACCAACCTTCTCAAGGGTTTATATTTCAATAACACATAAAGAAATAATTATAACACATACACCTTTCCTTTCGCTAAACTGACAAAAATAAGAATTAACCAATTAATTATAATTTCAAAATGAGACTTAAATCATGAAACTGTTTGGGTAAATGAATCCAGTTTCAAGAAGCTTTGATTAAATCAATTACTCAGAGGAAAACTGAAACTAAATTTAAAGTCAACAGTACATGTACATAGATGTTTATCTATATAATTTGAATTCAATGATCTGCGGAAATTAATATTTTGCATTATGCAATTCTTAATTACATAATTTGTAAATGTTTTCATTTCCTGCACACTACAATACCATTTTAATCATAACTGAATTGAATGCACAGATCTGCGAAAATTAATATTTTGGATTGTGTAGGCTAATTCAGAATTTATAAATTATCTTTCCGTTTCCTGGTAAAAATCACAGACCAAATGGATTTTTTTGTTTTTGAAAGGTCTTTGTAAAGGTAATGCCATTTGAAAGTTCAATGGACACTAGCATGATAAAATGTCGCACTTAGTACTATATTAAGTTAATAGGCTCAATTTGCCATTGTATTAATTATATTTCAAATTCAAATACTGTACTCCCAATAATTTCCGCGCGCTACTATATTTCGCCAGTTTTGGAAAATTCTAACGAAAAGGCTTAATAAGCAGCCAAAATCATTGGGTGGAGGAACAACCATGGCTGATATCAAAGTCGTAATCTCCGCGGATTTGTCATACAGGATCACTATTACTAATTAATATTAATACTATTAATAATAGCCGCGAAATTTCAAAAAAACTGAAAATTAGCGAAATTTCAAAGTGCCAAAAACGCAAAATATAATAGTGTCAAATATTAGTGGGAGTATAGTATATCTGTTGAAATACACACCTTTTGTCTTGCGTAGACTTTGTGAGTTTTATACCCTTGGGAGACACCCAGTAAACCTCAATGATATTTGGTATACTATGTTTACACACCAGTTTAGTTTCTCCACCTTCCTCGATAATCCGAGAGGCAGCTACATGACCTGCAAAATATATTTCATTTAAATCAAAAATGTTTTTACACCTAGGTAGCATTAAACCAATCATGGTCTTTGACAATTGGTCAAAATTAAATCAGGTTCATATATTTGCCATCAAACATACAATTTTAATAAAAGGAGGAAAGAAAGAAGAAAGTAGGGACATTTTCCCACTTCTGGCCACTTGTCTGTTGGTGTATGAGAAGGGATATCCAGTTATCATTTAGATTTATATGCATATCAAAATCTCTTACTTTGGTCACAGGCATGTCTGATACATGGTTTTGTTTCTCTCTTGTAATTTCCATCACATAAGTCATGGCGGAGAGCATGGCCTTGTTTGCTGTAGCAACCCCTGGTTCTTGTCTCTACAGCTGTACCACATGTCACTGGACAAAAACTCCAGGCTAGCCAGGATCCCCAATCTCCTCTTATACCTTTGAAATAGAACATTAAAAGTGAATATAAATACATGTACATGTAATGACACATTTTATCAAACAATTGGGAATTGAGGACTTGAAGTCGGCATGACCTTGAAATACCCTGACCTAAATAGGTTTTGACAGCAAATTATGTAAATCTACATTGTATAGATAGATGGTCAGACAGGAAACATCATGCCTTATAATAGAATACACTTTTCAAAGAATGAGTTTATAATTACAACATCCGTTCCTATTCTATTCAAAGATCATTAAGCTGGTTTAATTAACAAAATTATTATGCAATAGGTTTGTTCTCCCAACGATAATGGATTTCATTACTGGTAATTTGTAATTGAACAGGTGTAGGCGGCATATAGAATAGGCCAATTTCTTACATGTAACCGAGCCATGTATTCATTGGATATCAAAATTAAAATAACTAATTGGTTGTATAACACAGAATTATCGAATTGCATATCACAATTGACATTTTGAAGCTCATTTGTTTTGTGAATACATTTCTTAACAATGTGCGATTCATAACAATAACCATAACTGTGAATGAGAATTGAAGATTCATGATCTAATAAATAATACAAATAGACAGCATTCAAGTTTCATGACACTGACACAAAAGAACAATTGGATTACATTCATGTTTCCATCTATCAATACACAGGAAACACAGAGATGATTTAATTACCTGAGCTTGAAGCAGTTGTTGCTGTTGCAACTGACAGTGTAGTTGGTGTAGCACAGGATTGTATGTTACAATTAGTATGTTCTACCTCGTCTCCTAGACATCTCTTGTCTTTAGATGCATTGTAGCATGTCCGTCTACGCTCTTTTGTTCCATCACCACAGCTATCTGAGCAACCACTCCATAATTGCCATTCACTCCAATTTGTAACTAAAATTGAGATCGAAGGATAAATTGCTATACCATTTCACTTAAAAAATATTAATGACAAGAACCAAATAATTTCCAAATTGTTAATTGATATTTTCACATAACTAAATTAATCAAATTCCGACTTTGACCTCTGAGCATAACATTTTTGGGGTAATTGTACTGAGCATCATTTTTTTATTACATATCACTAAATCACATATAAAGCAAAAAATAAACATCTACAGTACATCTTTTACTGAAAGTCCAAACTTGAAAAATAAAATGACATGAAAAGAAATCTTTTTGCACAAATGAACTTCTGCCTACAGTTATTTTCCTTACCTGGACAAACCTGCAGGACTCCACACCTTTTAATTTGTTCATGCTGCCCATGGCAACCCCTAGGGTGGGTGTCAAGGCAGTATCTCTCCCTCAGCCTGTGTCCCTTAGATCCACAGGTAGCAGTACATAGACTCCATGCTCCCCAGTTTGACCATCCTCGTGTTTCAGCCTTTCTTACATCATTAAGAATTTTGGCCTCAATATTTTTATCAAGTTGAATCTTATTAAGCACATTAATGTCAGTATCTTTGTTGATTTTCATGTCAAACTTGTTATGACCAATAATAACATTTTCCTCAAGTGATGTGTGATTAGCTTTGGATTTATCTTTGTGGTCAAAAAATTCATTTGCCAATTTGTTTTCTATCATTTTAGAAATATCAATCATATTGTTTACCTTCACAGCAGTTTTACCAATTGTCTCCATATTAATTTGGTTCCTCGCTGAATGAGTATCTCTATGCTTCATTTCTTGTTTCCTTTCAGATTTCAACAGTTTTTCAAACCTATGTTTCTTTTTCTTATGCTTCTTTTGTTTTTTATTTGATTGTGTTCTTGTTTTATGAACATTGTTTTCTGTATTTACAGGAGGTGTTTCCTTTTCAATTATTTTAAGTGGTGCATCAGTAGTACTCATATGTATAAGTTTCTTGTAAGGATTTGCTTCACTTTCTGATACATCAGCAGAGAGGTCATCATCCTTAACTAAAACATTATTCAATTTATGTTTTCTTCCATACTTCATTAGTTTTTTATATCTGGGTTTCTTATGATGCTTCATAGATTTTCTTTCCAACTTTTTCTGTTTTTTATGCCTAGGTTTCTTATTATGCCATTTACGTTGTCCATTTGTTTTATGAACATTCTTCTTTACGCCTCCAATTAAAGCATCATTTGACTGTCCATCCATGTTTTTCATAAGGTATTCTTGGTCATCATTGGGAAGAATTTCTCTTCTTTTTCTTGATTTGTAAGGCTCAATTTGCCTTTGAGTTACATCGCCAGAGAAGTCTGCATCACCAACTAAAACATCATTTGATGATTTATCCAATTTTTTTACAAAGTGTTCTATGTCATCATCAGGAAGAACATCTCTGCTTTTTCTTAATTTTGCTTCAGAAGGATTATGCATTTCATGTTCTCCCATATTATGAGTATTTTGGGCTCTAACTCGAACACTGCCTCTTACAAAAAGCATGTGGTATTGAGAATGTAGATCAACCCTCATTTGCCCATGCCATTTATGATTATCATGCAAAAGACCTCTCAATTTAACAAACATGTTTCCCTTCAAAGTCATTATAAGGTGAATGGGTTTAGTTTTAAATGTGTTCAAGGACCTACCGACCAATGCGATATTCAACCTTTTTTCTTCATTCTTTACAATTTGTTCAAGTTTTAGAGACTTATTTCTGCCATTAGGGTAATGCAGGGGTACATCTCTTCCTGTTCTAATATATCTATTTGTAACATTAAGTAGAATATTACTTGGGTTGTAAGGATCCTCATCAGCCATAACCTCAATGTTTCCTTTTAGCACAAGGTGATGAACACTAGAGTTGAGTTTAACTTTCATCTCGCCTTTCCATTTATGTTCATCATGGGTGATATCTTTGAGTTTTAAGAACTTATCTCCCTGGAGACTCATTATAAGATGTACAGGCTCATATAGAGATATACCTTTTACTGTTTTATTTTGCTCATTTGTGACATTTGTGATAAGATGTTTTATGGAGTGCTGCCTTGATCCTTCTTTAAGTTGGAAATGCAGATGACCTAGTAATTCTCTTGTATCAGGAGATGTGACTAGAGGGTTCTGGTGTCCTCCTTTCAAATGTTTTGAGTGTTGAGCTAAATAGTGCATTCTTTTAAAATGTCGAAAACTTCGAGTTGCAGGTGTACTACCACCACTTTTGTCAAAAGAGATTTTCACAGCTCTTCCCTTTGACTTTTTCCAAGAAATCCTATTATTTTCAAGTTGCTTATTTGTTCCATTTCCTTGGTTGCTCTTTGGTTGATTAGCTTCCCTTGACTGCTTTAATATTTTACTGAACAATTTTTTTCTTTTATATGCATTTTTATTCCAAGGGATATTTTTTTCACTTGGCCTAGTTTTGGTTGAGAAACCCATGTCTTTCTTTGTCTTTTTGGATTTGGATTTTTTCTTCAAATCATTAAGAATAATGTTAATATTCCTTTGTACTAGTATGTTCTTTGATTTCTTGCCTTTTTTGGCCCTCTTCCTTGATAAATGATTTCCTTTCTTAAACAACCTGTTTGTCATTGACAACTTAGTCAGGTTTTGGTCATGTTCTGTTGCATTTCCAGTTCTATTATTGTTGTCCAGTGTGATATTTACAGGTTTCCCTCTTAAATGGTTTACTGCGGTACTATTGCCAAAATTCCAGTTTTGTAAATGTGTATTCTTTGAAAAGATTCTTGATTTGTTCTTCCTAGATCTTGATTCATGTTTCATAACATTTAAAGTACTATTGCCAAAATTCCAGTTTTGTAAATGTGTATTCTTTGAAAAGATGCTTGATTCGTTCTTCCTAGATCTTGATTCATGTTTCACAACATTTAATGTAATGTTTATATTTGTTGCTTGCTTTGATTTCCCTTTGCTTTTCTTCCTTGACTTTTTGGCCCTCTTGAAAGATAATCTTTTTAGTCCTTTGGATGTTGACAGAACATAGGGGTCTAGGCTTTGTTTTGTTCCATTCTTGTTCCTTAATCTATGCCTTGTTTCTTTCTTCAACTGCTTGACTCTTTGCGCATAAAATCTTTTTCTAGCTTTGGACTTCTTTTTCTTTTTGGATGGTCGTTTCGCATTAGTATTACTCTTCTTTCTCATTCCCTTGTTTGAGGGAAGTTTGTTTTCTTTCCTTGATTGGATGGATCCCTTCCAAGACAGCCTAGTTCTAGCTTTAGATGTTTTATTTTTCTTGGATGTTCTTTTAGATCCTTTAGGCTTCTTGTGCTTGGATAGTATGTAATGTAAAGTATATTTTGTCGATGGCTTCTGTTTCAAGCTGGGTCTATCATCAGTAACATTGTCGCTTTTGGTTCGGTTAATAGTTGAACGACTTTCTACACTTGGCAGTTCCACATTGTTAACTTTAAACATTTCTGATTCCCTGGTTATGTTTCTGGTATTTGGTTTGTTAAATAATTTTTTAGTAACATTAATATATTTTGTTTTTTTCAATAATACACTTTTTGCTTTTTTCTCCCTTGATTTTGATTTATTTTCGATAAGATTTACTGTAATGTTTATATTTGTTGGCAATATCTTTACTCCTTTAGACAACCATGTCATTGAAATATCTTTCAGGTCTGGGTTATGTTTTGGCTCATTATTGTTTTGTGACTGACCTTTTGTTCCTTTAGATAATTTTCTTATCTTAGACATCCCTTCCACATTCACATTGTCCCTATGTTTGGCAACATGTTTTTTACTTGTTTTATTTGACTGATGTTTGGTTTCATTCTTTGAGTGTCTGAATCCTTTCTGAAATAATCTTTCAGTAGTTTTGTTCCTTTTAGATGAAGATGTTCTTTTCAAATTATGTTTCTTTTTTGCCATGTTACTATTTCTTATTTTCTTTTTAGCTCCGTGATTGATTTCTTTTTCAAAGGGCTTTGATTTTGTTGGTAATAATCTCTCTCTAGCTTTAGATATCCATTTCTTCAATGTTCCTTTCATATATTGCTCAGAATGTTCCACATTACTGGATCTGGATTTCTCCTTTGATGGACGTTTGGCATTTTTCTTTAAATGATGGGATTTCCTTGGTAATACTGTATTCCTATCTCTAGCTTTAGATACCCTCTTCTGAGATTGTCTTTTCACATTGTGCTCAAGATGGCCCAGATGACTGGTTGTTGATTTCTCCATTAATGGGTGTTTGGTCCTTTTCTTTGAATGATGGAACTTCCTTGGTAATAATTTGTCTCTAGCTTTAGATATCCAATTTGTTAATGTTCTTTTCATATTGTGCTCAGGGTGACCCATATGACTGGTTGTTGATTTCTTATTTGCTTCATGTTTGGTTATTTCTGTTGAAGGATTGATCCTCCTTGGTAATAACATATTCCTCGCATTACTCATTCTGTTTGTCATAAATGGTTGCTTCACACCATGTCTCTGTTTGGACTGATTAATCTTTCTTGATTTCTTTGATAGGCGTTTGGTCTTGTTCCTTGAGTGTCTCGTTTTCTTTGGTAATACTCTTTTTATAGCTTTTGATATCCCATTCTTAGATGTTCTTAAACTTTTCCAAGGTTTGGCTAGCATAGTTGTCTCTCTATGTTTAGTCTCTTTCTTTGAGTGTCTGGATTGCTTTGGTAATACTATATATTTAGCTTTATGTATTCCATTCTTCTTTTTCATTCTTTTCACTTTAAGCCTAGGTTTGGCCATCTTACTTAATTTTGCTTTCCTTGGTCGATGTTTGTTTTCTTTCTTTGAGTGCCTTATAGATTTCTTTGGTAATAATCTATTTCTACCTTTAAAAATTCCATTTCTCTTCGATGTTAATTCAACTTTATCGCTGTGTTTGGCAATCTTACCCTTTCTTGTTTTCTTTGATTGATGTTTGGCCTCTTTCTTTGAGTGCCTGGGTTTCCTTGGTAATAATCCATTTCTTACATTTCTACCATTAACACTTCCCTTCTTCTTAGATATTCTTTTTGCTGTATGCCTATGCTTGGCCACCTTACTCTTTCTTGATTTCTTTGACCAATGTTTGGTATTTTTCTTTGTGTGCCTGGGTTTCCTTGGTAATAATCCATTTCTTACATTTCCACTGTTACCACTTCCTTTCCTCTTAGATATTCTTTTCGTCGTATGCCTATGCTTGGCCACCTTACTCTTTCTTGATTTCTTTGACCAATGTTTAGTATTTTTCTTTGAGTGCCTGGGTTTTCTAGGTAATACTCCATTTCTACCATTACCACTTCCCTTCCTCTTAGATATTCTTTTCGCCGTATGCCTATGCTTGGCCACCTTACTCTTTCTTGATTTCTTTGACCAATATTTGGTATTTTTCTTTGAGTGCCTAGGCTTCCTTGGTAATAATCCATTTCTTCCATTTCTACCATAACCACTTCCCTTCCTCTTAGATATTCTTTTTGCTGTATGCCTATGCTTGGCCAACTTACTCTTTCTTGGTTTCTTTGACCAATCTTTGGTTCCTTTCTTTGGATGTTTGTATTTTGTAGGTAATAATCCATTTTTACCTTTACCAGTTCCTTTCCTCTTTGATCTTCTTTTCACTTTATGCCTATGTTTGGTTATCTTACTCTTTCTTGTTTTTTCATTATGCCTATGTTTGGCAACCATACTCTTTCTTATTTTCTTTGACCGATTTTTGTTTTCTCTTTTTGACTGCATGGATTTCCTTGATAATAATCTATTTTTACTTTTTAAAATCCCCTTCTTCTTAGATATTTTTTTCTTTTCATGCCTATATTTGGTGGCCACATTCTTTCTTGTTTTCTTTGACGAATGTTTGTTTTTGTGCCTTGGTTTCCTTGGTAGTAATCCATTTCTACCTTTACCAGTTTCCTTCCTTTTTGCTTTATGCCTATGCTTGGCCTTCTTACTTTTTCTTTTCTTTGGCTGATATTTGGTTTCTTTCTTTGAATGGTTGGATTTCCTTGGCAGTAATCTACTTCTACCTTTATGGATTCCTTTCTTTTTTGATCTACTTTTTAAATCATGCCTATGTTTGACGATCTTACTCTTTCTTATTTTTTTTGATGGATGTTTGGTTTCCTTGGTTGAGTGCCTTGATTTCCTTGGTGACAATCCATTTCGACCTTTAAAAATTCCCTTTCTTTTCACTTTATGCCTATGCTTCGCCTCTGTACTTTTTGTTTTCTTTCCCCGATGTTTGGTTTCGTTCTTTGAATGCTTTGATTTCCTTGGTACACGTAGTAATCCATTTCTACCTTTGCCAATTCTCCTCCTCTTTGATCGATTTTTTACCTTATGCCTATGTTTGGTCACCGTACTCTTTCTGGTTTTCTTTGATTGATGATCACTTCTTTTCCTTGAAGGTCTGATATCTACACTTCTTTTAATTCTTTTTCGTGTCTGTAATTCTCGCTGTTGTTTTGGGAAGAAAGGTTTAGCTTTCAATGGATGTTGTGAAACGACCAATGTCTTTGTGCTCTGACTGATGCCGTCATCTATCAAATTTGTTACATTTGAATTTTCTTTTGAAGAGATTTTTATGTCTGTCTCCTTGGGATCATTTGAACGTATTTTCACTTTTAAAAACACCTTCTTGCCAGCTGGAGTTATTTTCTTTATTGTCTTGTTTATGTTTTTCATTTTAACTCTTTTTGAGTTCATCAACTTTTCTTGCTTCGCTCTCTGCTTCAACATTGGTTCTTTAATATAATTGAGTTTATGTTTGACCAAATTATCCTTTCTTGTTTTCTTCTTGTATTTTCTTTTCACATCATGCCTATATTTGGCCAGATTACTTTTTTTTGTTGCTTTACTTAATCTATGTTTAATATGTTTTCTTGGCAGTCTACTTCTCATCTTGGATAATGATACTCTACCTTTGGTCATTCTGTCAATTCTTTTATGACCAAATTCATATTTGGTTTTAGTATTTCTCTTTTGTGAACCCTTAGTTTCATTTTTTAGGACATTTGGTCTCTTCCGAGGTATTCTATTTCCAGATTTATTTTCTCTGTATTTATCAGCCACAGCATTATCATTGTTGGTGTTCTTGAATTGATCTTTAGTTGTTGCCACTGACGTCAAATTCACCTTATTTGTAGTTGGGATGCTGATTTTTAAACTTGTCAAAGTTGAACCTTGTTTTGATTTCATTTTCCTCGACTCTGTTATTCTGTTAAAAGCTTGCCTTATTTGCGTTAATTTTGAATTAAACTGCCTATTTAATTGATTTAGTTTTCTTCTGTGACTTCTTTTCTGTGTTGGCACTCTTTCATTTTTCCTCAATGACTGTTTGTTACTTCTATATTTCTTTAACCTGTTGAAATATGACTTGACTCTTTTTTGATATTTTATTCTATTTTTCTTTTCTAATTCTGGTGTACCATTTTTTCGTCTAACTGTCATTCTTTTAATACTTTGAGATACCTCATTCCTTCTGGATTTCCTTCCAACAGTCCTTTGTCTTGATAATTTGGAACTCTTTCTTTGTTTCCCATTCTTATTCCTTTTAATATGAGATAAGTCTTTGTTAGTTTCCTTAATTTTTCTTCTAGAATTCTTATATGTTGAAGTACCTTTGGTTTGTTTTGTTATTTTGGGGGGTTTAGGACTTATATTTAGAGTAAGTTCAACATCAGAGTTTGCAGGATCAATTTTCTTTTGTAAAGAATTTACTAATTTGGTAACGTCTTTTGATCTATGATTATCTCCATTTCTTAATTCAGTATCAATTTTTCTCTTCATGGAATTTAGGAGCTTGATCACATCATTTGTTAAATCAACCGCCTTGCCTTTTATTCCTAGAGAGGTTGCAGTTTTCTTTTTTACAGGAGGATATTCAATGTCCTCAACAAGAGAAGTTTGAAGTTTGATGATATCCTCAGATAAATTCTTGGTCACTCTGCCCATTTTTTCTGAAGAAGATGCAATCCTGTCTCTTATGGTACTTCCAGTAATATCCCTCCCTTTATAATTACTTTGACCTTTGAGCAATCCAGACCTACTTTTTCTCCAGAGTCGTTGCCTATTCCAATATACTTGTTGTTTAGGTTTTTTCCAAACTGTTTTTCTGTATTTATTGAATCTTTTATAATGTTTGCCTTGCTTCTTTAATTTTCTATGTTTTCTTTTCAAATATGTTGAATAATGTTTTTCCCTATCTGCAGTTCTTTTAAATCTTTCTGGAATGACATGCCATCTATCTTTGAACGAGTACATTCTCATGCTGTCATTGTTGCTCAAATGTTCAACATTTTGCTCTGTAATCAAAGATAAAATTCAATAAAAGTGACATATATCATTTAAAAACAATGGTAGCAGAACTAACTGTTTTACTAAGAAGTTTTATTGTCAGGTTCTTTTGACCATCATTAGAAACCTTTAAAATACTAAAATCAATGTAAAATTATGTCCTCATACCAGTCTGAAATTATCTTTGTAAAGAAAACATGACTGGCTACAGGCTAGTTTTCAAGCATTTTTCATATTAAAAGCATCAAGAAAGGTTTTATGGTTGCTTTTATAATAAATGACACATGGTATTTGATATCAGTGATGTGTCTTAGTATTTGTTCTGCAAAAATCAGTTGAAACAGGGTGTAGTATTGCTAATTTTGCTATATTTTTGTTCTCTTGCTTTTTTTGTAATGAAACTCTGACAACATAAGGAATATATATCAGACCTTATTCTAAAAACATTAGAGAATTTTCATTATACGTATTGATTCTACTTATACGGATATGTATACGTATGTTTATAAGTATAAGTTACAGATTAAAATCATGTTTTGTTATAAGTATAACATTAGAAACTTATATCAGGTTTGACCTACCGTTGAACCTTTGTATTCCGATTAAATAACATCAACAACGGCCGGTATAATGGACATAAAGTTCTAACACTATGTCACTGGGTGTTATGAATATCAATAATGTATGCGAGACAATGAAAAAAAAGATAAGGTAACTTCTTACTTATAAACCCTGTTCTAACTGTAAAAAACGTATAGCCTAACGAATAGAGAGCGCAAGTTGTGATGACGTATTACACAAAAGCCATACGTATAAGTATAAGTATAAGGGGGCCAATTACGTATAACGAAAATTCTCTATTTCCTGACAATCAACTTAGTTTTGACAAAGTTATGGTTATTAGGGTAACCACTATCATAGGTATGCGGAGCAAAGTTCTGACATCACTTTAGGACAACATTTTGAATGCTGAAAGCGCTATCATGCATTACTGTTTAACTCTTGGAATGCAGTACAGTTACAAATAATCCATTCCATTCCAGAGTCACTTTCTGATCCATCTTCATTTCACAGGCCCAGGAAAAAAAATTATTTCAAAATCATGCAGTTTTTCGCCATTCTGAGGACATTTCAAGTGATTTGGGCCAAAGTTCTGTAAAACCTCTTTAATTTTGGAAAAGTGGCACGGGCTTGACTTCAAGAGATGCTCAAAGTAGGCAGTATATTCCTGTCAGATGTACTTTTCATATTGAGATGGCATAGCTCTTGATTAGATAATACTCACGGTGTTATAGCATGACAGATACGACAAGGCAATTGGCCAAATTTTGCGGTAACGATAACAAAACATGGCGGACGGGAAAGACAGCATGTCCTCTTTTTCGCCTGTAGGCAAGATTCACAGGTAAGCTTTCCTTTTCAACTAGTTCCATTCGGTGATGCATATGTGAATGGTTATAAAGATTGAGTTAAATCTGTCGTGTGGTCTACAAGAAGCAGAATATAAGCTGTAAACCTACCCGGCTGAGATTTCGAAGTTCATAATTTTTAGTCCTTTTTCGTGTTTTCTTAGTATATGTGCCTCAGAGCCACTCACAATACTAACTGTACGTAAACTGTGTATAAACAAGCCATAAAATGACAAATGCAGAACAGAAATGTGGTGAATATTGTAGATAATAAGGTTTCAATCGCAAGGTCGTTAGACAGATACGTATGTATTGCATGATTTTTTATGGACAGCAACGCATTGTATTAGTTTTACATTAGATGTTAGCGGACGGTTACATGCAAGTTCCTGTCAAGTCGTAATAGCGGGCAAAATAGTGAAATATTGGACCTTGGGCCTGCGCCCCTTGGTCCAATATTTCATTTTATTCCATAGTTAGCATGATATTCATAGGATAACATGTGAAAATAAAAACGGTATTTTTGTAATCAGTGGTAAAATATGATATTTTTGATAAATTTTCACTTAACCATAGCATACGGTTTTTTAGCCATGACATACGACGTCGTATGCGATGGTTTATGGATTTTTGCTACTTCAGACTCAAAACGAGGCTAAGTGTCAACATCGCCGGATCGTTTGGAAAATTCGAATTAAATGACTTAATTTCCGACGATTCTGATGATGATTTTAACTATGGAATAAAAAGAACATCCTGTGATTTACTCGTGATATTATTTTAATCCACTCATGGTTATTGATATCTGCACTCTCGCTACGCTCGCTCGTGCAGATATCATATCCATTCGTGGATAAAAATCATATCACTCATAAATCATAGGATATCCTATATTTATTATGCACCTCATTAAAATACTCAAATCTGATTGGTTCTTAGTTGCTTGTAATTTGGCAATACTCTGCTCTTTTCTGAAAACTGCCGGATATTTTTTTAATATCTGACCCTTTCGAGAAAAAGGGTCGGATATTTTTTTCAATGTTTATGCAACATTCCCACTTCAGAGTTTTATTTCTTAATAACTGGAGTACTACTTAAAGCTTACATCTGAAACTGGCGGAAAATAGAAGAAAAAAATGCACTTAACCAATCACAATTACCCTTATCATTCAAAAGTTACATATAATTCTGCAAGAACGTCTCGAATAAATAAAAATTAAATTCCCGGGGCAAATATTTTCGTCCAGTGTAAGAATAAACTGGCCGGAAGTCGTCTGAGTTTTGTTGAAAGAAAAAATAAATAAATGTCAAAATAATGTCAACTAAACGACAGTTTAAGCCTGTACTCCAGTAAGTACTCCACTTAACTTTGATTGAGAGGTGCATAATAAAACAAATACTGGATGATCAGGAGCTGGATATGGCCAGAATACCTATCCTCGAAAAAATATTGGGCTCGGCTTCCGCCTCGCCCAATATTTTTTCTCGAATAGGTATTCTGCCATATCCAGCTCCTGATCATCCAGTATTTGTTTAATATTGCCCTTTGAAATTACGTTATTACTATTATTACCACCGTTAATGCCCAGGGCTTAAATAGCAAATTTGAAATAGAAAATCTCACGCAATGAACGATACTGTACTCCGGGTAATGTTCGCGTGCGATTTAATTTCGCTTTGTTCGCTAATGTAGTAAAATCGCGAACATTTATCGTCGCAAAATTTGTCTTAAATCCCCGGGGATTTGACCCGGGCCTTTTGATATGTTTCGTTTGGTGAGAAACGTTTCTTCCAGTGTTGTTGGGCGAAGGCCTAAAAACATTTTGAGTTGGCTTATTAGGCCATCAAAGGCAAGAACTGTTGACGACAATGATATCCTACGAATTGAAGTTGAAAAAGCCATTCAAGAATATTCAAATAAATGCCCTAAACGTGGGAAATAAAAAACATTATTCGGATTCTGAATGGGCTAAAATAGCCCGAATTGATTCACGATAATCGGAAAAAAATTTGTGCAATCTACGAAATGTCATCAACTCAAATCCGCGAAATTAAATAGCCGCAAAACTGCAATTTTGAAAAATCGCGAAATTGTATAGCGTCGAAATTTACCCGGAGTACAGTATCACTTTTCCCGGGAAACATAGCCGGGCGGATAATGTCATTATTGCCCGACTAAAGTCATTAACGCCCGACACAATATTGCTCACGTCAATATAGCAATCTAAATGCCTTCTCAACTAGTACTAAAACCCCTGGAACAGACCCTGCAAGGTGGTAATCATACGATTTCATCTATTATAGCTTACAAAACTCAAATCCGGCTGAAAAACATCTCAATTTTGGATCACAAGCGATATAAAATGATTCGGTGTTACATATATGAACGAGGTTCGCGTAACTGTCTATCAATTTTTGGCGTATCCGCAAATTCAAAATACATTATTATGGCTTGAGTAGAACATATTAAGTGGTTTACAATGCTTAATTGGCTTTGTATGATCGTATGTAGGTTACATTTATATACACCAAGGTTGTTGCGCAATGTAGAGCATGCCCTAACGAGGAAAGGAAACCAATTACTAAATTTTATGAAGTTTTGAATTTCAAACTCGACAGTTTTTCGCTTATTTCATGTTATCCATGGGCGTCGATTTGCAAAGACTACATGTACGTTCAAAATAAACATTACTGAATGCATCACCGAATGCGACGCTTACATAAATCTTTCATGCTTTAATTGATACGCAGTAGTAGAAAATAATGCACCTACCTTAGCTTTCTGTTTCATCGTGGCCATTTTATTGGATAAATCAGTGATCGTATTCGACTAACCTCGTTTTCAGAGGTGGCGTATCCGTCATGCTATAACACCGTGATACTATAACACAAACTGACAACATTAGATTTTGACCATATCAAAAGTTTTTGTTCATCAAAAAGATGTTTATTTGATGTGTAACAATAATTCATCATGTAAACCCTTGAGGTTGCCGTAACCATAACTTTGTCAATACTGAGTTTATTGTCGAGATGTTTGAATAGATAAAGAAGGTCAGATTATGTTCATTATGTTGGGAATGATTCATGAGGAACAAACCAAGAAAACAAAGTTATAGCAAAATGAGCAATACTTATTGAACAACCTGTACTTGGTCAAACAAGAAATTTTATGAGTCTGAAGAGAACTAAAAATGCATTATTTGAAGTTTAATCACATCAAACCAAAATCAAGACTTGCATTGAACAATAGGATTAAAGCCAAACGCCTGAAAATAATAGAATCATTTGACCATATTGAGGCGGAATAGCTCCAAAAATATATATTGAGAATTAAACTCTTAGGTTGCAATATGGAAAGGAAACAGACAAAATTCAAATGTTAATGAATTTGAACCTATATGGCCCCATTTAAAGTTTGAAAATATCAATTATTCATCATCTATTCCATGGGCTTCTATTCATATATATTGGGTGTCCCAAAAAATGAACCGCTTTTTGAAAAGTAAAACCATAGTTTGTGAAAGTTTCATCCTAAATATATCATATATTAAAGACCTTTCTATTTAGTTCTAATAATTCATAATTTTTTATAATTTGTTATCATAACTCACATTTTTACTCATTACTGCTTACCTGGAATTCTAGTTCCATCACCGTCACCAATATTGAGAACTCTTTCTGCAATCATTCCTTTGAATCTCAGAATCACTTGAAACCTAACTCCATCTCTCAGTTTATCAAGTGGGGCAGAGCAGGAAAGAGTGTCTCTGTAATGTATAAAATGCTACTTAAAAATCAACATGATCTGAATTATAAATTCAGCATGAAACAAGCATATGTTGTGGATGATCTTTTCTTAAGATGTGTGAGTGGTAAAGTGTAAAAGTATAAAAGTTCAGGTAAGTCCTTAACTATTTCACCATTATGGTGTGAGGTTCCATATCTATCCGCCAAAAGGTAATGACCCTATATAGTCCATTTAAAAACTTGTGGTTTTGTTATAAATAACGCCATAGTTGGCTTCTAGGGTACCTAGTATGCCACTATTTGGCATCAAAATAAAGACGAGGAGTTCAACTTTCATTTGAATTACAAAAATAGCGATGTAGGTCAAAATAGTTCAGACGTGAGCATGTCAAATAAATGGACGCTGAAAAGTAACCTGACTCCCTATAATTTGATGTAGATCAATCAAACCCCTATATGAACAGGTACATTTTGATATATAACACTATGGGGGGTTAGCGTTTTATAGTTGATCACAAACGCCATATGTGCAAAGTATTGTTCTGAATTTTCGAATTTGGTGTTGGATTACGGTACTCGCACCTTATACCCAAAAGTATTTAATGTATATGATATCACAATTTGCACTACTGATACAATAAATCAGAAACAAATTTTCTGTCAAATGGCACAATTTTGTCGGGTCACATGGTGAGCTCTATAAAAAGGAGGCAAAAGTAGGAGCAGGAACCAATCAAAGGATTGAATTACCAGAGGCCAATAAAATAAATATAAGAATAAAATCATTCAAAATAGATATTGAATGTTGTTCATTATCAGTTCTTGAATTGTATTACTGTAAACAACATTGAATCCAATATGCATATTGTGATTAATCTTGAAAATTTTGGTTAAAAAACCAAGAATTTTAACATTGCATCAATTGAGATTCGGCCCAAAAGTTTTGGAAAAGTCGAAAAAAGTATGGAAGAAAATGATTTAAATAATGTAAGTGTATAAATCAAAGTTATTACTTTGGAAAATTTTTCAATGAATTCAAATTTGCTATTCAAGAGAAGGAAAAGCACTATAAAGTCTTTGGAGGTTTACATGTAATATGCAAATCTATTATAATCTCACAAATAACAAGAATTTAAGAATGATAAAATGAGAGGCCTATATACAGTAGATCCACTACTGAGTGATCCCCATATAATATATATACCTGCATGGCAGGAAAGATTGAAGTTGTCCTTTCTTAGAGCCTATAGACCAGTCGGCTTTAACTTTACTCCCATCTCCCTTGTCAATCTTCAGCTGGACATACGACTCATTAGAGAATGCCAATGATGCACATGGTACTGACAAACAATCCCCTGGAAAAGAAGAAATAAAATATTAACATTTTATAAGAGCAAACTATGAAGTCAACAGTACAAATCAACCATATTTTAAACACAGATATTATATGAAAAGAACAAACCACAACTACGTCAAGTGAAAAGAGGAAGATAAAGTCAAGAGAGCAAGTCCAATGTACCAATACATCAAGTCATACATGTACATACAGTAGTTCACGATGATAAAGCAAGCTGCACAGTGTTAACGTGAATAGAGTAAGCCACAGACAGATCAAGTGAATAAAGACAGAGTTAAAGTAAACTGTTTAATGGGGGTAAATAAAGCAAGCCACCATGACCAAGCCAAACAGGGTTATTAGTTTAAGAACAAGCTGACATACTGGGTAGCTAAGTCATTACAGTGAGCAGAGCTACATGTAAACATTTTTAGGTACACTATATTCATCAATAATTGGGCTTATATTATGCTAATACTGAACTGCTTAAAAGTGTAACTTTAGGCCCCCTTGCATATGAACGAATCCAAATTGCAGTCTTGCAAATTGGATAAATTGTCAATTCATCTGGGGATTGGGAACGTAAATATGCGAGCTGAAGCGCATCTTTGCACATGCTTCCAGAGCTATCCGAAGCTTTCCGAAGGGATACTTACACATACTAATCCTATTGAGGACAAATTTTACTCAAGTCCTCTTCGCAAGACTGCATTCAGCGGAACGTAGAACTCAATATAATAGCCTGGTCATAGGTCGAAGGGTTTTTATAACATCAAGAATTTCTGTACACCCAATAAGTCGAAGGTCAGAGGGTTTTTAGAGCATTCAATACCAAGTGTGCTACTGACCAAAACATATGGTGGTGTTACCTAAATCGGTTGTGTTGCAGATCTCAAGACAGGGAGGAGATACATGTTCAGTAGGCCTAGAAGGTTTGGCTAGGGCCTATCGGGCAAGTGCTTCAAAAATGACTAACAAGTATGGCAAAGAGGCGAAATAGAAATGTTTGCAGTACTAGTATGTGTTGCTATCTAATTACTTACCAATGAACTTGTTTTCACTTGCTACTACATCTACATTGAGTAAAAGAACGATCACAATCAAAATCTCAAATTCCATTTTATTTCTCATAATCCATCATAGTCATACACATGAGTTTCTCTTGCACATATTCGATTTAGACTCAGGACAACACTGTATCTTTCATTTTCAAATAAAAACCTCACATGTCCACTCAACAGCATGGACACGATCTGATCATGAAAATACTGAATCTTGGCCAATCAATCGATTCGCCATTTTGAAATTAACTAAAATTTCATTCTCATAACTACCTCCTGTGACGTCAAAATCTACAATAAATGACGTCAAAATAAAATTGAAAATATTTTATTTCAAATTTCGCGCGAAAGTTTTTGTGTAAAGTTATACAGAATTTTGAAGTTCATTGTGTCATTTTCATGATATGATATTTGGAATACTTACTTCGGGAATGTAGTTATTGGACATGTATCGAAACTGAAGGAAAATAACTCTCTCATTTTGGTGTATTTTGAGCAAAATATCGAGGAATATTCTCATCGTTTCCTCATGTTTATCATAGCTCTTCAAATGTAGAGACTATAAACATTCCACCAGGTGGTGCTGTTTGACCTACATTCTATTTCCGGTGGTTCATTTCCGCTGTGAAAGTGCAGTCGTTTCGAAGGTAAATACAACTTATTTGACGATAATCGTAACATATAGAGTTAAAAAAGAAAATGCTTTAAAGTATATCATACTATAACCTAACATTTAAGTATTAGTATCATACCATCTGACTTATTATGTACTTTGTGCATTAGGCTGAATCTATGATTTTGTAAACAACAATGGCCGATGGGCATGGCTTGACTTGAAATGAAATAGTGGACTGGAACTTAAGAATTTTCAACTTTGCATGAGTCACGACTTCACAGGTCTGGTCTTGTTATTGTGCAATTGTAGTCAGTATCTAGTATAAATAAAGAGTGTTTTATTTTCAGTTCGACTTTCTAAGCAGATTGTTCAATTCAAGACAGTCAAGCTCATGGACTGGATTCTAGGCCTTATGACAAAGTAGTGTAAAGGCCACCGATTTACATAGGGCTTCAATATTTTGACAAAAAGTGGATGATTAGAATATCTATTGTATCAAGGCAACTTTTATATTGTGCGAAAACAGAGTCCCCGTATACATTTTCTGTTCACTACCCCAAAATTTGTACTGTGAAGCCATTAGTTGATAGCAAATCAGCATTCTCGCTACACAGCTATTTAAAAATGTCTGAAAATAGATATGCAGCAGATTATGGAAAACGAGTTGCTAATTGTAAAAAATGTAAGCAAAAGATAGATAAGGGAATAATGAGACTTGCTAAACTGACAACAAATCCCTTTAGTGAAGAAGGGGGTGATATGAAACTTTATCATCATCCACAGTGTCTCTTTGACACCTTTCTACGAGCACGAGCAACAACAAGAAAAATTGAAGATACTGAAGACGTGGAAGGTTTCAAAGACTTGAAACAGGAAGATAAAGACGAAATCAACAAATTGATCAAAGGTAATTGAGAATCGCTACATATTGAAAAATCTGTAGATTACAACACGCTTTGAAACATATTGCAATTATTCAGTTTAGCTGGTCAAAATTAAACTGTCCTTTGTATATTTTTTACCAACATGCATATTGACTTGAGATCCTTTTGGACCCATTGATTCTGTCTTATTGTGTAAAGAAAGGTGGTAATCTCCTCCATTCAGATACTTTTCACAAGATCCATCTCTAATGTTACATCACTGTATGTTTCAAATATACTTTTCAGACTATGACTAGATTATGATCTGCTTGACTTATCCAAATTTTTTGAAACTTACTTGTAACGTTTCGATTGGCTACATCCATCTTCATCAGGCACTGTTTGGCTACTGGTTGTTAGTTAGCCGCGCCACTGCTCCAAGGGTGCCAGACGGCTTGGGATTAAGGATGTTACCTAGTTTGTATTGTAACATCCTTAATCCCCAGCCGTCACGCACCCTTGGAGCGATGGCGAACATCGGAACATCTAACAACCAGCAGCCAAACAGTGCCTGATGAAAATGGATGTAGCCTAACGAAATATAGTCCAAAACATTAGACCTAGCCCGGGCCTCGTTTCTTATCTGACATGTGTAATGGCCTGGCTAGGTCTAACCTCCATGACCATTTTGCCTTTGATGCGTTAATTTAATCGTTCAGCAGGTTTCGACAAGCGGAACTAATTGAACCCTGAAAACATGGCAATATTACACAAAGAATGTGATTCAAGCATGCATACATACCTTATAAACACATACACCCCGTCCCGTATCCCCCTTAGACCCTATTGATGCATAATTACGAAAATATTGGAGACAGGTTTGGAATATGACGAAAATGTCGGTCAGTTTCGGTAACATCGAAATTGCAAATCGTTTCAGGAATTAACCGTCATCACGGCACTGCATTAACGAACAGTTGGTTTGCAATTAATAACTATTTTGCGTGTATATACGCGCTATATAAATTAATCAAAGATACCTGTTATCCTCAAAATTGATCTTTTTATCCCGAGTAATCGCGATAATAATTATCAATCTATTTGACAACAATTTCGTTTCACTGGTAGTTTAATTTTACGATCCGGGACACTCAGACGAACAGACACAATGACGGACATGCGGAAATGTCACTTTAGAGATTGGTAAGTGTAGCCTCATTTTACTCGTATAAATGAACATTTAACACAATAATATTGTGTTAAATCGCTTGATGTTATGTGTTTTTATATTATTGTCAAGTATCAGTTGCACGTTATCGCGGAAAAATGGTTTCGATGGATTCAGAACTTGCATCAAAGGAAAGAATAGTAAGGAGGTTAAACTCAATAATGGCCCCAAGAAAATTCCTAATAATAAAGAACGCCGTTATTGAGTTTAACGACGTTGAACTAAACGAAACATTGCAGATAAGTTTCCAAAAATTTGGATAAGTCAAGCAGATCATAATCTAGTCATATTAAAACTATCCAGATGAACATATTCAATTATACTTTTCAGACTCACTCGAAAAATCTTCTAATAAAAAAACTACACCAGCTAAGAAAAAAGCAACACCAAAGAAAGCTGCTGTAACACCTATGAAATCTGAAACAATACCATCTGCTACCAATGGCGCATCAGGTAAACTGAGACAAGTACATTAGTATAGCTAGTTTAAGGATGAGTATGCAATTTATAGTTTAACAAGGATTTAAGATGGATATATGCAACAAACTGTGTGGGCCATGTAACATTTCCTGACAAATCGAACATTGAACTTATTTCTAGAACTAAGTTGTCTTTGGGTTATGCTTGGTGAATTTCATGCCAACCATGTTGAATTTTTAATCCCTCGCCCCTCGGAATCTACTTATTTCATTTTCACTGCTACTCACCCAGTTACGCTGACAATACGTCAGTGTAACAAGATGGAAGAACTTCCAGCTTCGTTTTTGGTAAGATATTTTTATTTATCGATTCTTCACCACTTATAAGTCAAGTTGTGAATATTGTCACATTGGCAAAAAGCATGAAGATCGTCAATGTAACAAAAGCGATGAACTAAATATGTGAATTGCGTCTTTGTTAATATACCAAACATAGAATCGCCTGCATAGTCTCAAACTAGACTACCTTCCTTAACTTTGAGCCAAATTATTGTCCACAACTTGACTTATAAGTGGTGTAGAATCAAGAAATAAAAATATCTTACCGAAAACGAAGCCCGGAAGTTCTTCCATCTTGTCACGCTGACGTTTCGTCAGCATAAGTAGGTGAGTACCAGTGATTTTCTGGCAAGCAGTTGAAGAGATTGGAGGATCATGATTATTGGTATGGAATTCTTTGTGTCTTGTTAAAATTGAAGTCAGTATATGTTTTTGTAGCCTCACCAAAACCAGTTGCCACGGTTACATCAACAGATACAAATGCTAGCCATAAAGATAACTCATTCAGGCAGTTCCGTTGTGTATGTGCTGAAATAGCAGAGGAGGCATCTTATAATGGGAAGACTGCCATTGTTAAGAAATTCCTGACAAAGGGCAGTGATGGAGGTGAGGGAGTTAAAACAACGGCATCCGACTTCATGAATGCTAATATTTTTCTTAACTGTATATTGTTTGACTGCATTTAAATATAAAAACTCATCATTATCTTTGCTCCTTATATTTTTGTCAAAAATAAAACTGTGAGAGAAATAACAATTGCATACATAATGTCCACCTTTTTTCATTCTCAAGCAGCTGACATCAAATGATATCCCCTGTATTCAAAATTTGTTTCAGATAGTTACAAAGGTGACTGTTATCTGATGCTGAAGTTGCTACTCCCAGGTGTTGTAAAACGTGTATACAATCTCAACAGTAAACAGATGATCAAACTGTTTAGCCAGGTAACACTGCTTTTAATTTGCTCTTCATAATGATCTCCCCAGTATTGAAGCAAGGGGGTGCTGCATCCACTTGTGATTTTGTGAAGATCTTTGCACCCAATTGAAAATCCATTGCACTCTTTGGGTGTGTTCTCATTTAGATAATGTACATGTAAATTGGTAATGTGTTTTTACTTTTGATCGACATGTACATTGACAACTTCTTTGTAAATTCAGTTTTGACCAGTATGTCTAACAACTCTTGTTCAAATAACTCTTAGACAAACAATTCTTGGCAATTAATCATGCAGTTATTTATCTGCTAATTTGCAATATCCATAATGTAAAAACAATCTGAAAGTCATATGTATAAACTGTATGTCTTATAGATATTCCATACAAATCAAGAAGAAATGTTAACCCACCTGGAGCAGGGAGATGTTGCTGAAACAATCAAGACCTTCTTTGATGACAATACCGCCCTACCTCCACAAAAGAAAAGCAATTTAGATATTATCGAGGTTAGAATTATTATTTTATAATCTATTGCAGTGTATCTGTTTTAATTTGATAATTTAGCCTTTTTTCATGACTGTAATTCCAGAATTTTACAATATGCCAAAATTTACATGTTGTCTTTCACAAGGTATACATATGTATACATAGCAATATCATGAAATTTAATTGTGTCATTGATTGTCACCTTAACTTTAGGTTGATAATTTCCTGACTGAGATGTCCAAGTTAACAAAAGAAGATGAACAACAGAGATGTCTCACAAAGATTACTAAACGGTGTACTGGAAATGATCTCAGAATGGTTATCCGACTCATTAAACATGATCTCAGAATAAATGCCGGGGCCAAGCATATGTAAGTTAAACTCGGTCAATCTCTACAGCATTCCATTAAGTGTGCAATTTCGTTTTTAAAAAGCTATCATTGATTTGATTAACCAAAAAACTCAAGATTTTATGTGAATGAAAAATTAGGAGATTTTTACCAATATTGGTCGAAATGAATTGTTATCATAAGAAATTTTCACCAACCTGAAAAAAATCCATAGTGGAACACTGCAGGCTAAATATAGAATTATTGAAAAGCATAATGGACAACAGTAAAAGTTCCAAAGCATTTAAGAAATTGGTATTTGATGATGATATGATTTTAGTTACTGCATGTTTTCAAACAAACTCTGGTTTTCCATTTAAATGCATGCCTTAGTACACATTATATAATTGACAATAATTGTAATTTATAGGCAATTTAAAATGAACATTGTAATTTATCGTATGGGGTTTGTGACTCATTTTGTACTTCTGAATAGTGGAAATAAAATACTATTTTTCATTTCAGACTGGAAGGCCTAGACCCCAATGCCTACCCAGCTTTCCAGGCCTCCAGAGATCTAAGAGATGTAGTTGATAGAGTTCTGGCCAATAAAAAAGAAGCTGCAGAAGGTGGTAAACCAGGCATGACCAAGAAGCTTAGTGTGAGAGCAAACCTAATGACCCCTGTATTACCCATGCTGGTGCGTATAAAGACATACAAACATTCAATATACTTGCAGGTTTTGGTGTACTTTAATAACATTGTATTCGTCATTTATGTACTTTACTTAAAGAGAGAATCAGATATAGTGAGCAGCCCAACAAAAAATTGTTTCAATTTTAGAAAATTTCTGGCTCATGTCATTCCTTGTCATGTCAATTTTCTAAAAATCCTCAAAGTGCATGCTTTATTTCAGGAAAACCAGATATTTTTACAATAATGTATTATTTTTCTATTAGAATGGTTACCATTCTTATAATTTGGGAGAATTTAAACATTTTTCACCTATTTTCGCACTTTGAATCCACGATAACTTCACCAATTTTCAATATATAATGAATCTTTTGGGTGATATTGTATTTGAGATTGTAAGGAATAGATTGGTAGTACATATTGCTTGCAAATTTGTCACCCCTATAGATCTGATTCTGCCTTTAAACCAAGCATATCAAGGCATTTTAAGATATTTCCATAACTTTGACAGCTTCAGTTAATTTATGTGTCAATAACACATCACTGTAGAGTGTTTGAATTTAAAATTAATAGACAAAGATAGCATTTTGTTAACACTTTATCACACAAAGACATGACATATAAAGCATAAATATACATGTTATTGTTGTTTCAAGGCTGAAGCCTGTAAATCTGTGGAATATGCCATGAAGAAGTGCCCAAATGGGATGTATGCTGAGATCAAATATGATGGTGAGAGGGTACAGGTTCATAAACAGGGAGACTCATTTCATTACTTCAGTCGTAGCCTCAAGCCAGTTCTTCCTCATAAAGTTCAACATTTCAAAGACTACATTCCCAAGGCTTTCCCAGGTGGAAGTGATTTGATCCTAGATGCTGAGGTATTGCTGGTTGATACAAATACAAGTCAACCTCTGCCATTTGGAACTCTAGGGGTACACAAGGTATGACTAATCCTGTAACTAAAAGGGTCTTATCTCATAATATCGATGATAACATTTATCATATTAAATTAAAACCCGTTTCTGACACCACTTGGACGAATAGAAAGTGTTCTGATTTAATCAATAATGTTCATATAGAAAGGTTGTTAATGGGAATTGATGGGTCAAAATAAATAAACTGGATTTCAATGTTCACATTGAGAGATGTTCATATACAGGTTTTAATGCTGTTGTATACATGAGAATAAGTGCTACAATAAATACTACCTCATTTTATCTTTTGTTCCTCTTCCTTGACATTTAATATACAATTATTCATCCAAAGACCAATTAATATATGTCAAATTAATAATGTCACATAATAATGATATTAAATTGCAATTATTCTACCTTCAGTGGAAAAACTTTTCCCAAAGAAAGGTTTGATGAGTCGCTTTAGTTGCAACGATTACTGGTTAAATTGTTAGGTTTAATTAGTTAAGTGTTCAGAGTTTTATGTTCATTGTTCAGTTGTGCATGTTAAAATGATGATTGAATAAGTGAATGAATTTGTTGCAATAAAAGTGGAAAATGCAGGGCACGCCTTAAGCGTCGGACAGCTGGTCATTATCTGGTTACTTTTGATACTGACCAGTTGATTTTTTCACTAGGTATAGGAAAATAACATTGCAACTGGTCAGTAATGCCTTTTTGACCAGCAGCTCTGGAATCCTTAGGGCATACACTGGGAAAATGGCCAGATAATTATTAGATACAGACCTGCCAACCTGAAAATTAATACAATGAGAAATCCGTAATAATTATTAAATGAAATTGTTTTGAAAAGTCCCTGGAAAGTACAGGTTTTAATAGTACATGTATTTGCCATGGTTTTTAGCCCATTTCTTTTAGCTTGGCATGCTGAATCTAAATTAGATAATTAACTACTCAAATTATCAAAGCAAATCTGAGTTTATTTTGGAATAAATGTCAATCTTAATCATGGCATTTTTCCATCAGTACTAGATTTTGATTTGCCATGAAAAGTGCTTGGATAAGTTGTAAAACAGAATAAGACATGTTCTTTCTGTATATATGAATATATATATATGAATCCGCCAAATTAAATAGCAGCCAAAATTTCAAAATTTGCCCATTGTGCCAAATTAATGCAATTTGCAGTAATATAGTATAGATTTTTTTTGAAATACTAATTAAAAAATAATTTCAGAAAGCGGCATTTCAAGATGCTAAGGTTTGCCTGTATATATTTGACTGTCTACACTACAATGGAGAAAACATGATGGATAAGTAAGTATAAGAATTTATGTGTTAATATCCCAATTCAGAAGCCACCAAAAATATGAAAAATATGTTTCGTATTCATTGTAACATTGTATAACAAATATTCTGATGTACTTTCTAGGCCAATTAAAGAGAGACGAAGGATTCTACACAAGAACATGGTAGAGGTTCCTCACAGGGTTCTGTTCTCTGAGATGAAGCATATCCATGTAAGTATGATTACAATTTTAAACCCATAAGTGAGTCATTCATGTTAGTACACAATAGGTTCACTATAAGTATGAGCGTATACCGGTCTGTACTTATATGTGCATATATGTAAAATTAGGAATTATCAAGATAGACTAAAAAGTATAATCCATCAAATATTTAATATGAGTTGAATTTATGATTCCAGAAACCCATTGACTTGAAGGATCTGATGATGAAGGTGTTCAGGGAAGGCTTGGAAGGACTTGTCCTGAAAGATGTCAATGTAAGGATTCTCATATTTGAATTTTCATAGTATGCATAGATGGTGTGTTGTCCATTGTTGACTTCTTACATGTTATTCAGGCAAATTAGATTTGCTCAAAGAAAATAAACTAAACAGGAGCTGGAATATACATGTACAAAATCTGTATGTATCACTCTGTATTATGGGTCATGGTTTTGCATCAGTAAGCAAATGTTAGATTCTTACCCCAATGCTGGATTGACTTGTAATAATATACATATAGGATTCTAGGACATCTATGAGCCAGAGGATTTAATATCAGTGCTATTTTATACTTATTTACATTGATTCTAGGGTATCTATGAGCCAGGAAAGAGGCACTGGCTGAAGGTGAAGAAGGATTATTTGGCAGATGGTGCAATGGCTGATACAGCAGATCTAGTGGTCCTTGGGGCATACTATGGCACTGGAAACAAAGGTAACCATCCTTAAATGTAGTCTACTAGAACAGTTGGATCTTAATTTAATATGAAGTCACATGTTTTACTTCATCTGGTGATCTTACAATCATGGGATTGATGAGAGTCTACTTGTTTATTTTGTGACATGGCACTAACTTTTTAGATTCTGTATTGTAATGTCACACATTACATTTTTAAAAAATAATCAATGAAGCTATGAATCCCAAAATAAATCTTTGGTCGCGCCCCATGTAATTCAGTGTATATTAAAAGTCACTTATAATTGAGCCAGTTTGAGACAGCACTGATGTGCAGTTCCTTTTCACCTTAATTATGGTAGCACTCTGTTCTTTTCAGGTGGCATAATGTCCGTTTTCCTAATGGGTGTATATGACCCAGACAAAGATATTTGGCGCACAGTCTCCAAGGTAGCTGGTGGCCATGATGACAAGACTCTTGATAGGCTCCAGAAGGAACTTGAGATGGTTAAAATAAAAAAGGTAAAATTAATACTACGGTATGAGTTTACATTGAGGTACAGAATAGTAACATATTTATTTGTCATGTATACATATTTGGACAGTATGTCAAGATAACAGTTATCAGTAACTATTTTTGTTTGATTTTTATTATAATTGATTCAGTTTGTTTATCTGCCCCCCCCCCTTTCCTTCATAAACTAATTGTAAAATCATATTTGTATAACCCAAGAGGCTGTCAACTTAAGGGGATCAATTTACAAAATGAACTGGAAAACTCATAAGCCAATGGATATTGTCCAGGAAAACTGTATGATCAGAATTATAAATAAATCTGCCTTTAAACATTTTACTGTGAATATTTTGTATTCTTTCATATTCTAAATTAATATTTGTAGGATGCCTCGAGAATTCCCAGCTGGCTGAGGATCAACAAAAATGTACTACCAGACTTTGTAGTAGCTGATCCTAAGGTGAGTATTACCCGTGTGTCATAAGATTTTTCAATGCAATATCTTTGGTGATCTACAATGGTAAAGTGGCAAGTACTACTAGGACAAGTACTATACATGGCGCCATCTTTATTTCTATTATTGAAACGTCCTAGAGGAATTATTAGACAATTTTTAGAAACTTTCCCTGTTTAGCCCTAAAGCCCAAACTGGATTGGAATATGAAATGATTGAAATACAAGCTTAAAAGGGTAAATTGATTGAAACTATTCAAAGGTTTGATTGACGACTTTGGAGCTCTTATATTTAGTTCATTTGTCTGTTAAATTGTCAATAACTATAATTTATTGAAACTTCTTTCATGTTTCAGAAAGCCCCAGTGTGGGAGATCACAGGTGCAGAGTTTAGTAAATCAGAATCTCACACTGCAGATGGGATTTCCATCCGCTTCCCCAGGGTAACGAAGATCAGAGATGATAAAGGTTGGAAGGAAGCCACAGATCTACCAAGACTTAGGGTGAATACAAATAGCCTAATAATTTAATTGTTATGGATTATTAGCCAATATAGCTTACAATGACATAATCATGATTGCATTAGTCATTGAATTCATTTTTGAAATAACATGATGTTTGGGAGTACATTTTCGATACAGTTTAATATTTGGGATTACATTAATAGATATGAATTCATACAAGTGCACAAGTGATATTCCATTCAAACCGGATCAAAAATCTTCAAAAAACACCGCTCTATTTTGTAGTTATTCCATGTAAAACCTCCCATAAACATCTGGGATTTATTTTAGATGAAAATTTGACCTTTGAAGACCACATCAATTATCTTTCCCAAAAAGTTCAAAAATTGCTCAATCCACTAAAGTACTTATCAAACAGTGTTAAATCAAATCACCTCGAAACAATGTATAACTCCTATGTAGCGTCAAACTTTGACTATTGCAGTGCAATTTATGGGTCAGCCTCGTTAGCTTTGCTAGCTAAACTTGATAAACTACACTATCAAGCAGGTGTTATATGTGCTGGAGTCCTCCATGGGTCTAACACATCCAAAGTTTTCCAGTGCCTAAACTGGAAGACCCTGAGTGAAAGAAGAAAAGAAAAAAATCTTCGAATAATGTTCAAAATAAATAGAAAAATGGTAGCTAAATACATTTCTGATATTTTTGATATATATAAAAACCCCGCCACTAGGACAACAAGACACTCTTTACCATTTAAAATACCCACTCAAGTTACAACTAGATTTCTCAATGCACCAGTCCTAAACCTTATAAAGCAATGGAACAACCTAAGCCAACCTGTAAGAGATTTACCAACCATTTCTAGTTTCAAAAATGCTGTTCGTTCATTAATACTTCCTAATATGAATTTTATCCCAACAACCAAGCTCAAACTTTCAAGGAATAAGGAGAAAATCATCAATAGACTAAGGGTTGATTTCATGTTAAAAGATCACGTTTTCTCTCACAATTTTACAGGAGTTAATGATAACAAATGTCCTTGTGGATCCCCTGAAAGCACAAAACACTTTCTCCTATCTTGCCCACGCCATATAAATGAAAGAATTGATATGATGGCTGCACTGAGACAAAATAACCTACTTTATGATACAAACACATGTACAAATCAAAATGACCAATAAGAATATCTTATTTTTGAAAACACCCTCTGTCGAGATTCTCAAAATACCCTCATTGACATAGTAACTGACTTTGTTGGAACGTGTTATATACACCCAACTATAATTTAAAGTTAAAACTTTGACTCATATAGCATCTCTCAACCTCCTGGACCCAAATAAAATAAAATAAAAACTTATATTGTTTATCTATTTTATTTACAATATTTTACTTACTTTCTGTTTTGTGATATCTAAAGCCACATGAAAACTATGTTTAATTTACTTAAAGCAACCTGTAATGCCACATGGCGATTGGTATGCTTTTATATGTAATTGTTTATATTGTTTTCAATAAGTGAAATAAAATCATTAATAATGGTAATAATAATGAATTCATATCGGATAATTTTGGGAAAAGGGAAAGGAAGTTCATTTATCTTTATGACAAATTCTTAGCTAATGTTCCTCTGTTTTTGCGATCACTTTGTAAATCAGATGTTACTATGAAACGTGTAGGCCAGTGGCTGCATCAATTGATACCAATCATAAAAGTTCATTTTTTAATTATAGGAATTATTCAAAGTATCAAAACAGCATTCAGAGATTCCTGATATGATAGGAGCCTCCACACCAAAAAAGGCTGAGACCAATGGTAGTGGCAGCAGCAATGGTTCAAGGCCCACAACCCCCATCAAGACAGAGAAGAGTAGCAGCCCAAGGCCTAGTACCCCTGTGAGAGCTGAGAAGAGGAAGCTGGAAGAAGCTTCTGAATCTGCATCTCCTGCTAAACGGAAACCTGTGGATTCTCCATCAAAGGTAAAGACTGGTTTTTAGAAATGCCTAAATAATGAGAATTGATTGTATGATCGAGATTCACATTGGTTAAGGTATAATTTTTGGACCCGTTTTGAATGGTCTAATCAAATCTAATAAAATGCACTGAAAGATCTTTGATTGATTCATATTAAATATTTTAGGGCAATCCAGTATGTAAATATGGTTCAGATTGTTACCAGACCAATCCAGCCCACAGGGAGCAATATACTCATACTGTGTCATCCCAACCAACCAAGGTAAGCCTAATCATAACCCTTAAATGGTTAGGGGAGCAGATCTGCATCGTAGAAAAGTTAGAACTTGTCAAAACTACTGAAATACCCAAATTGTCAGTAGTCAATACTCATATGTAAGCTCAAAATACTGGGAATTGAATTACCTTTCCGATGATACCTAATACACCCTTCTGATTCATCATCCCCCCTCCCTACCCATTGGTGTAATTTTCTATAGCCTAACCGTTTTAATGCGTTTTGTGATGCCAAGTCTTTAAAATTATTTTACTATATTTTATTTCATTTTATTTCAGAAGCTACCAACTGTATTTAAAGGCATGAAGATCTACCTCCCCAGCTCAGTTGAGAAGTATAAGGAATTGAAGCGCTATATTGTTGCCTTTGATGGTGATATTGTGGCTGAATTTGAGAAAGATACAGCTACACATACAGTGCAATCAAGTGACGAGGTATTTAGACACATTATACTTTATGCTTGTTTGATTTTGAAAAAGAGAGTCAACTCCACTCTATTGATTTACCTTTACTCAATCAGAATTGCAATTCGCAGAAATTAATGCATTTGAAAGTAGCTTTTGTATATATATTTGTCAAATTCAGAAGGTTACAATTATTACTTGAATAGAGGAATCAGGGTACAGAATACACATCTAATTGTTATTTTTGAGTGCATGTTGTTTGGACATATTTTTAAATTTTAAGTTTTCATCAATTTTTCAGTCTAGGAATATTCAATTCATAGTGGATGCTACATACTATTAACCTTAACATATAGAATAGTACTTAAGTGTCTCAATAAGGAGGGGACTGGGTCAGAGCCAGTGGTTAAATATAATTATAATGTTTCAGGGAGACTCTAGCTCGGCTACTACTATCACAACAGACTGGCTTTGGAGATGCATAAAGAAGAAACAGATCGTTCCTGTGTGAATGAACACAACAATGGACCTTTAACTGAATATATCGAAAACAATGCTTTAAATATTGAGCTGTAGGCTTATCTGTGTGACACTCATTCATATTTGGAACTGTGTCTTGGACAGCTTGACTAGACATGAACGATTGTGAGCATAAGCAGCATGTATTGTATCAAAAAACTGGTGGAATAATTGATCATTTAGTGCTTTAATTTATTTATTGAGTTATGAGGCCTAGGCTATCTACTGAAGCATTTCTTACGGACATGCACAACTTGTGGTTACATAATCATCATTCATTAAATCAAATCTCGCATATATATTAAGCATAAACAGTCATAATACAAGTGATATTGTGCCCTTGTTGCTCGGTGCATACAGTCCTACAGGGTTATATACAAAATACATTAAATGGTTCTCAATATTTGTGCAGGCCTTTAGCTCAGGGCATGCCATTGACAACCTATGGGCTATATCATTTTACTATAACATCTTGAAAATAATTGGCCTGAATGGTCTAAAAGTGATTTTGAAAATAATTGGCCTGAATGGTCTAAAAGTGATTTTGAAAATAATTGGCCTGAATGGTCTAAAGTGATTTTGAAAATAATTGGCCTGAATGGTCTAAAGTGATTTTGAAAATAATTGGCCTGAATGGTCTAAAAGTGATTTTGAAAATAATTGGCCTGAATGGTCTAAAGTGATTTTGAAAATAATTGGCCTGAATGGTCTAAAGTGATTTTGACCATCTAATCTGATTCCACATAATTACTAACACATTTAGAATCAGTGAACATGTAAATAATATGTTTTATAGTTTCTCAGTGCTAGCATCTGAATGGATCATGAGCTACAATTTGAAATTTAAAACTGATTGTAAGTAAATGTTTTATCAATAGTTGTAATTCATGATGGTATGTATAGATATCATTGTTATCTGCTTTATTGGCATGATTACCCTATTAATGGTATTGCATTACAAAGCCAAGAGGCTATACACTGTAATATAGTATTAACATTCATGAATGAAAAGTGCCATTTCTGTATGGAAAATTAGAAGGAAAATAAATTTGACATAAAACCATAACTTAAGATTTCCATTTTGATTATTAAACAGGGATTATATAAAATGATACATTGCAAGATTGCAAACAATTCATGCATGGATCAATCAAGACTAGTTTTTATTCAACATTGGTATCAACTTTAGCATTGGTACCCATTCTGCTTCAAAACTAGTAGTTGAAATACAGAAATGTAATTTGCGTTTACTATAGGACTAAGAGGGAACTCATACAGTATCTAACCATCAACTGTACACTTGTAAGTACAGCATAAACTATGTGTATTTGAAACCCAGAATAAATCATTGAGAAAGTGAATTAATATATGATTTCAGAGTTCAACGTCATCGTGAAGGCGACATCTTGGAAATTATCATAATCACGTTTTTGGAACAATTGTTGCCTTTAGAATCCACATGATACAGAAAAATGTAGAGCGTATTGCTATTGGGTGATAATTAGACTGAAATTTCAGCATGGTCGAAGTACCCTATAATGATATTTCAAATATCAATACATGTAATAATATTCAACTAATTAGTATTTAGATTTATGATTTCAATTGAAGTTCAATGTGATATCATTCGAAGTTGCTCTTAAAAAGGATTTTGGTCGACTATCTGTAGATGTATTATGATTATTATGCTTACCATTATTATGAGCTTGAGCATAGAACTTGAGCATAGGACTTTTATCTATTGATAGATGTCTCTTCAATCATGCGTCTTTAAAATGACTGTAAAATAGACATCCAGTCCCGTTGATTAATTTGATTCATAATGATTAAATTGAAACTTACACATTCAATAGACTTGAACTCATACCTTCTTTTTGTATGAAGGTATCGAACATGTCAAAGCTTGAAAACCCTCACCTAGTAAGTTGTATGAAAAGTTCCAAAATTGAGAATCTACTCACATTTTTAACCTTTAAAAGTTATTTTACATAAACCTTTTTTCAAACTTCAATGATTACGGAAATAATGGTTTATCTGTAAGTTACATTATCATTGTAAATAGAATATAATTAAAAAGGTTATCAACGAGCAGAATTACAGCTATTAGCCCTTTAATCATTGAAACCAGATCCGTTTTATCTTTGGTTACTGATAGAATATAAGTACTCATTTTCAAAATCCAAATTAGTTTTAATGACATTCTGTTTTTGTATGGAGGTATTTTCTTCAGAATAAACTAGCCTGATATTTGATGATAAGCTTTTAGCAACAGAACCGTCCGTTGGCAATTCAAAAACATCTTATTTTGAGATTCTAATATATTGCTCATCAATGAATAAATTGAGCTAATTATATATCTTGCTGAGAGGAATAATTTCCAGAAAAATTGCCATTAATTTGTAGAATTGTATTAAAGCTTTATGGCCTGTTAGTGTCTTAGCGGGTGGGGTTTTGCTTGAAAGGGACACCATGTTGGGTCTATTGATCACATTTTGACAGCCAATATTAGAAGACAACCTATCAATCGTCAGGGTACAATAATGTTCATCTGTTCTTTAAATGCTTGTGCAATATAATGGATACGGAGGTTTCCCTTCGTCCACTTTCGTTAATTTGTTTCAGTGAGAGTATTTCAATTAAAGAACTTATTATGGCAACGTTCCAACTAAAGCCTCTGTTTCTTTTGCTCTACGGCGGCCGTACTTTACAAAATCGATATAGAAAAGAATCGATAAATCTCTATATTATTTTATCCTGCATATTTCAATAATTTTGAGAAGGTACGGCCGCCGTACGGTTGTCGTCGATCAAATGTGACTGAGGCAATTTAGCAGTTAGGGCGTAGGAAAACGTGACCCTTCAAGAGGTGAGCAATCAGTAAAATATCCCTGGCACCATCACCCGCCGCAACGAACCCTCTCGACTATCTACCTACTATCAGTATGTAACATAAAAAGCGATAAGAGCCTATGAGAGGAGTGTTAAAAAGTTTCCAGCAGATGGCCGTACCTTTGGGGGCATTTTCATTGCTGTCTTGACTGAATACCAAATATTTTCAAGTATACTCGAGATGCATCCAAACGTCCAGAAGAATCTTGTATTCCTTTCAAAAATATTGTCGATGCAATTTCCAGGTGGACTGGACACAAGATTGTTTCAAGCGTGTTCCTGTTTCAAATGAGTCTTTGTGAGAAAGAGCACTTGAACTAAATCAACAGGTTCACAAAAGAATCTTCCAACTACTTCATCATTTTGAAATATTATTTTCAACCACACACCGATGTGGCCCTCTAATCTGTTTAGATACGTATTATAAAGTTTAACTGAACTTAAATACTCATCTTATTTATAAACAATCGAATCCATTAGTTGGTTACTAAAAAAAGTTGGCTATCGACAATTTTTTAAGAGTTCTAAACTCACTTGGCTATATAACACTATAGCAGGTAGCTTAAAAGGTGGGTTGAACTACATGAATACATGCTCATAATAAATTACAATGACGTCCGGTACGACTTACCTGCAAGGGCGCATCCGACATACCTGATTATGGAAGATTTTAACTGATAGAAAAATGGGAACAGTGAAGAGATACTTTCGCAGCATCATATTGACTTTCTAAACTAATTGTCTAATCTGGAAAATACACCCGAAAATCATCTCACTGACTAATAGAAAAGAAATGATCACTTTCTCCGCGGCGTTTAATTATGATATCAAGTCTAACTGGGTACTCAGTGGTTTAACTGCGCCTTCTTTGTGGTACAGTGTTGGATACACGGGGGGTCGAGATGTACGGGAACGCAAGGACCAGCTGGGACAATATAAACATCGACGTTGACTCCCCTGGTGCCTTACCCCTACTGCGCTTCTCACCAGACGCGGGGCACCGTGAACGCTGACTGATGAAAATTTCCGCTTGCGTTCATTCTATTCCATCCCACTTGTCATTTGACCGCTTACAACACATTGATGGGATAATAGTTTAAAGGGCCCTTTGAAAATAAAATGAGTCTTCACACCTCTTGAGACTGAATTAAAGCGGTTTTATTAAGTGGTCGTCTTCCAGTCCAACGCTTGTTGTGAGAGCCCTCCGCTAATGATCAAAGACATGTGGGATCTTAAATCATTTTTGATGGGACAGGAAGTATTTCAAAAAGTTCATTACAGCCAAAAGTGAGCAAAACGATCAGTTCATGTGAAAATGATTCATTTACTTCGTTATTTTTATCACAACTTTCGAACTCGAATCCTATTTATTGATTATTTTAATCATTATATATAATAATATATTGATTATATATTTGGGGCAAACATAATCTGGGTGATAAAATGCATTGGTTGGTTTAATTGGAATTTTCATTCATGCTTATGCAGTGGACTGTGGTAGATTTTATTTTACTGTATGAGGCAAATTCAATGACCCGATGGCCAGCTAAAAATTGAAAATTATCTCCCACTGGGTATTTGTAGAGGTTCCAACGTAGCGAAAAACTAGGCATATAATAAGCTAAATTAAATTATCATATTTGGCAACATGTATGCATTGGAATTACCTGTGTATAAACATCTGGCCAAGATATCAGAAAATCAATTTTAATTGCCTCAATTTTGTCTAATTGCTTAGTGGATATGAGAAGGCAAAAGGAAGACTTTCTTTGAATGACAATTTTACCCCACCGCGAGTACTATCGTCGCATGTTGCGCGCCATTCTATAGAGCCGAGTTATGTTCATTGAAAACTTACGTGTTAAAAGATTCCAATAATTAAAATTTCTTTCAGTACATTTTTATTTATTTACATTAAGGTTTAACTCTTGTACCATTGGTACACATTCATACATACGGTTAGGCTATTAAAAATTACACTAACGATGGAGGGATCTGCCCGCTCCCCCCATGATCTCGAAAACGAACAATCATAGGAGGTTGTACAATGTATAAGAGATCGTTGGAAAGGTTATTCCATTCCCAATATTTTGAGGTAACTTATAATTATATTGAGACATTTATTGATGAAGAAATTCATTTTCTAAGAACATGGGTTTATCGTTTCAAGTCAAAACTATATTCGTTACTTCGGTAACTTTGACCAGGTCTTACTTTCTTCGCAGGGGATTACAGTGTAAATTATTTCGCTAAACATGCCTCGATTTAAAAAATAGTACCATGGGTACTGGGCTCACATGGTGTTGCTCAAAAGTGAAAGATGGCTAAAATGACAGAAAATAATCTTTTTGCAATGCAGGACACCTGAAATTATTTGTAAAGCTAGGAAGTGGGCCAAAATTGAATTTCGTGAGACAAAAATGGCAACCATTTTGAAAATAGGCAAGCTTTTGAACCAGGAGTCATAGGGGAGTTTTTTGTATTGATATTGCACAAAAATAACTTGAAACTGGAATCCTATCGACAGAGGTTTAAAGGCAAATGGTCCAAAAGAGGATTTCGCGAGACAGATGGACAAATCAATGTTAACTAAAATGGCTGAAAATAAAAAAACAGATATAATATTTTGCCGATTTTTTGTAACAAAATTATTTCATACAACTACTCTTTACAGTGACATGGCTTTTTACAATGTAGGACAGCTGAATTTATTTGTAAAGCTAGGAAATGGGCCAAAAGTGAATTTCATGAGACAAGAATGGCGACCATTTTGAAAATAGGCGAGCTTTTGAACCAAGAGTCATAGGAGAGTTTTTTGTATTGATGTTGAACAAAATGAACTTAAAACGGGAATCTTATCGACAGAGGGTTTAAGGCAAATGGTCCGAAAGTGGATTTTGCGAGACAGATGGACAAATCAATGTTAACTAAAATGGCTGAAAATAAAAAAAATGGATATAATTTTTTGCTGATTTTTCCTAACAAAATTATTTCATACATCTACTCTTTACATTGACATCAAGGAGGATTGGCTCCCAGAATCGAAGTCGATATTTTCCAACAATGAAAACGCCGAGATGTCGTTATTTTCTGAAATTATAACCGATTATAAATTCAAAATAAACAGTTCAAAAGATTCGAACCAATATCTCGATCATTTCCTGTGAGTTTTAGAATTTTTCGTTAGGAAATAAGACCAAAATTCACGATTCAAATGTTGAAGTGAACAAAATGGTGGCTGTTGGAATTCAAATTTTGTAGCACGACATGCCCATATATGGGACAGAATATCGATGTTGCACTCTGGGAGCCAATCCTCCTTGCATTGACATGGATTTTTCCAATGTAGGACACTTGAAATTATTTGTAAAGTTAGGGAATAGGTCAAAAGTGAATTTCGCGAGACAAAAATGGCGGTCATTTTGAAAATAGGCGAGCTTTTGAACCAGGAGTCATAGGGGAGTTTTCTGTATTGATGTTGAACAGAAATAACTTAAAACAGGAATCCTATCGACAGAGGTTTTAAAACGTGCCACAGAAAGTGGATTTCGCGAGTCAGATAGACAAATCAATGTTAACTAAAATGGCTGAAAATAAAAAAATGGATACAATTTTTCGCTGATTTTTTGTAACAAAATTATTTCATATATCTACCCTTTACATTGACATGGATTTTTACAATGTAGGACACCTGAAATTATTTGTAAAGCTAGGAAATGGGTCAAAAGTGAATTTCGCGAGACAAAAGTGACGGCCATTTTGAAAATAGCCGAGCTTTTGAACCAAGAGTCATAGGAGAGTTTTTTGTATTGATGTTGAACAAAAATAACTTAAAATGGGAATCCTATCGACAGAGGGTTTAAGGTAAATGGTCCAAAAGTGAATTTTGCGAGACAGATGGACAAATCAATGTTAACTAAAATGGCTGTAAATAAATAAATGGATATAATTTTTCGCTGATTTTTCGTAACAAAATTATTTCATACATCTACTCTTTACTTTGCAATGGATTTCTACAATGTAGGACACTTGAAATTATTTGTAAAGCTAGGAAATGGGTCAAAAGTGAATTTCGCGAGACAAAAATGGCGGCCATTTTAAAAATAGGCGAGCTTTTGAACCAGGAGTCATAGGGGAGTTTTCTGAATTCATGTTGAACAGAAACAACTTAAAACAGGAATCCTATCGACAGAAGTTTTAAAACGTGCCACTGTTATTGACAGAAAGTGGATTTCGCGAGTCAGATAGACAAATCAATGTTAACTAAAATGGCTGAAAATAAAAAAATGGATACAATTTTTCGCTGATTTTTTGTTACAAAATTATTTCATATATCTAATCTTTACATCGACATGGATTTTTACAATGTAGGACACCTGAAATTATTTGTAAAGCTAGGAAATGGGCCAAAAGTGAATTTCGCGAGACAAAAGTGACGGCCATTTTGAAAATAGGCGAGCTTTTGAACCAGGAGTCATAGGGGGGTTTTCTGTATTGATGTTGAACAGAAATAACTTAAAACAGGAATCCTATCGACAGAGGTTAGCTAGGAAATGGGCTAAAAGTGAATTTCGCGAGAAAAAAGTGACGGCCATTTTGAAAATAGGCGAGCTTTTGAACCAGGAGTCAAAAGGGGGTTTTCTGTATTGATGTTGAACAGAAATAACTTAAAACAGGAATCCTATCGACAGAGGTTTTAAAACGTGCCACTATTGTTGACGGACAGACGGACGGACAGGCAGGACGGACGGACAGACAGACGGACAAGTGAGTGATTGCAAAAGCTCACCATGTGAGCTAAAAAAGCCAGAAAGCTAAAAAACTACGAAAAAATGTATCCAAAATATTCCTTAGGGGGAGGGTTTGATCTGCATCCCCTCCCTCCCAAGGGTTAAGATTATGTAAAACCAATTCAAAATACCATAGACCGACAATAACCTACAAGACACATGGTGAAACTTGATGGTTTTTGTATCAGTCTATAGGCTCCGTGGAGGTAAAAACTATCACCGGCCGGGCTTTGTAATCAGGCGACAGAGGATTTAATTATCATTCTGATTTCAAGACTCTTCCTTGAGTTATAATCCATCGCTTGCTAGGAGCAGAAATACTCATGAGAACCTTCAATTCCTACTGTGTTTCCATAACAGACAGGCCCGTAGCCAGGATTTGCCAAGGGGCTTCACTTTTTGAAAAAATCCAGGGGGGTGTTCTCTTGTGACAATTTTGGTCCAAAAATGGCCAAAATCACTTAAAAAGTGCTCAGAATGGTGAAAAACTGCATGATTTTGAAAGATTTTTTTGGCCGGGGGGGGGGGGGGGAGATGCACTCGAACCCGTCGAACCCCCCCCCCCCGGGCCTGACATACGTCAATGGCGAGAATAATAAGGTACAGTTCCTCGGTAGAGAATAATTTGTAGGCTTACTATTGGCTGACTTTGTTCTTGAAAATCCAAAAGATTAAGATATTGGCCTTCTTGTGAAATGCTACAATAATTAGGTACAGGGTGAGCCAAAAAGGGTAACCCAAACAAATCTTGATAACGCAGTCATCCAATATCTTCGTTTGGTCCTATTTCGCACGATTGCTCAATATTCGTTCGTTCTTTTAAGTTTTATAGGTCTGCTTCTAATGATTAAGGATTTTATGACAATTTTACAAAACATGCTCCAAATAACAAAACGTACCAAAATCACCCAGAATTTTACCTTTGAGACTATTTCAAAGATAATGAAGCATCAGAGAGTTGAAACAAAAGATAAGAAGGGAAATGCTCACAATATACACGTGAGCGTGTAATCAGAGAACTTCACCCGATGATTTCAAGTTTGCCTTCAAAGACAAGATCGGTAATTTGAGCATGTTTCGTAAAATGGCCATGGATCCATGACCATAGACCGATGGAATCTTGGTTGAATGAAAGAACAAGGTGAAAGGTTTGATTGTGCCAAATATAACTTTAAACTCATACTAGATTACTGAGTTACATTATTAAGATTTGTTTGGGTTACCCTTTGGGCTCAACTTGTATTTTTAAGGATACAAAAAGTTTGCCAAGAACAACGATAAATATATAATGACACATAAACCTATGATGTTGCTCTGTAATATCTTGACATTTACTTATCGAGTAAGTTCATGCCGAGTAAGTTCGATTCAGTTTTTCCTCCATTACAATAGGCACTGCAATAGGTCGGAAATTGATGATAAAGATGAATTTTTGAAAGTCGTCATTTCCATGCAAACCATGGGTTCGGGACAAATCTAATTTCAGGATATCTATGTAGTAAAAGATTCACCAAAATTATAGAGTTGTCTAACTTTTTTTGTACTCTAAGTGTTTAGTTTACTTTATGAATCATGTGAATACTAAAGTTACAGAGCTTCAAAGTCATTTATGAAAATCATTTATTGTGTTATTTCAATGGGAGGAGTTTTTTGAAAAATAATTTTGACTTTGAAGACCACCTTTAACTTTTTTAAACCTGAAGAAACATCAATTTTTATTCAATAAAGTTAGCAAGTTTAATTGACTACCTTACTTGTAGTTTTTGCAAGAACTCGGATGGATGAATATTCTGTCATATGACTTGCGGCAAAATTACCATTTCCTATTGGTTTACATGGGGATGTCGATTTTCAAAAATTCATCAGATTTATCATCAATTTTCGACCTATCGTAATTGATGAAATCCCATCAATATTATAATTATTTTCTTCACAGGTTATATAAATAAAAATTCAAACATAGAGGGGTTTTAACACGAAGTTCAATGAGGGGATTAAGGTTGCCAAACTTATGGAGGGGAGTGTAAGATTATGTAATATCATTGCATATAACAAAGTATAACAATGATAGAGATTCACAGACGAAATTTAATATAATTTTAAATAATCTATATAATATTTATTTCATAGAATTCAAATGACATCTTTTTTCATCGGAATTTTTCTTGTTACAATATCTGATTGATAAACCAGGTAACCTTGTCAACCCACATTGGCTAATAATGATAAGTGAGATCAAGTATGAGTTGCATAATTTGACGCCCTTGCATTCCATGCTGCTCCAAACACAACACTGAATAGGGCTTAGTCCAGCACGCAGCAACAGGTATGACAATGTTTGGTTAATTAGATTCGTTTCCTGTGCTCTTTGTTGATTGTTTCATTTATTGGTCATCTTTGTTGGATTAATTACAGCAGTGTTAATATCATATATTATAAGCAGGGTCTAGGACATTACCAAGGTCGCCAAATGGTGTCACTCGTTATTTTGTCATCATCTGATGCAATGAGTACACTCTCATGTTCACCATGTCCAACATTTTCTGACTGTTTTGCAAATCTGTTTTCCGGACGCTCAATTGCGTTTTCATCTGGTGTTATTCGTGAATGTGCCGCAGATCTAGTTGCATATTTCGTATGAGAGTCAATGGGTAAATATAGCACAATATATTGCATAGATTTAGTCCTACATACTGCACCATTGGTTTTGTGCAAATTATCCATCGTGTCTAGTGATTCTTCGTTTGTATATCGTTCTGATATGTCTCTCATTTCGGTAGGCATTCTGTTTGCAAAATGTTTCGTCGTAATTTCCTCAGATTGTTCATCATATTCTAATGGAATACGTCGATTCACAATATGTTCTTTGCTATTGATGTCATTGATATCTAATGAGTTTGTGGCGACCTTATCCTTTAGTTTACAACTGCAAGTATCGTCATCTTGTGTGTTTTCAGTGATCGTGTCTTTTTGCATTACATGTGTGGCTTTGTTGTCGCCATCTATTGTGCCAGTTTGTCTACTTTCAATTGCTACAGATGACTGTTGATTGTTGTTACGTCGTAGAAAGTTTACAGCAAGCTCTAGAATGTCAGCTTTGTCCATTTTCTTTTCATTCAACAACTGAAAATAGCATATTATCGAATCATTAGTTTAACTGAGCTACCTGTACTTACACTACCTTTCCATTCCTCTAGTACTTCATCTATGAAGAAATAATTGGATATTGGTCAAAACTTATTGCCGTTATTGTTTATCAAATTTTATGTCAATGTTGACACTTACATTATTTTTGCAGATAAGTTGTTTTATCTCTTCCAAACTTTGGTTGATTCTTTCTCTTCGACGCCTTTCTGAAGCTTGTTTTCTCCCCTAAAGTAAACATAAATGTTACATAAATTCAATTAATTTTGCCTGACTAATTAATTTACATTCGTGTTTTATCATTATTATTGAATAAAAATTCTTTAATTGCATGTGAACTGCTAAAAAGTAGAATTACTCATAAAATATATTGAACCATAAAACCAGAGATGTATGCGATCTGGCTTACCTTTTTAGCTGTAGACCTTTCCATTGTAAGCCAATGCATCTTAAGAGAACTTCAAATTGTAGTTTCTTTGAGAACAAGTGTGCTTCAACTGTTTATAAATATATCTCCACCAACATTTAAGTGCTTTTAAAACCTCTCGATATTATGTGGTCAGACTTGAAGTTCTGTGTCTTTGAAAGATTGACACGTCGTGAAAAGAATGACAGTTTCAGCAACCAATCAGTAAATTTTCCCAGCCCATATATTTATAAGGGAAGGCAGTATACGTCAACCAGCGGGGTAAAACATTTGAATGGGTAACGGCTCAATCAGGGTGTGTCCTATGGACTAATGGACAAACGAAGACAAAATCAAAATTTCCTCGTTTTATTATTAACAAATGCACGCCTGTGTATACATTTATATTTAAAACTCAAATCGGTGTCCAGGTTATTTGGAAATCATCATTCAAGAAAAGGTTCGCCATAGATATCTCAAGCACCTACAAACAGACATGAAGTTTTAAAGAATGTCTTATTTGCCAAAATTCTTTTCACTGTTAGTTAAAAATAATTCAGTATGTATACCTGATACAATACAGGTATCTAGATTATTATAGCACACAAATATCACGTTACACAGACGGGTGGTCCGTGCAACTCAGTGACGGGCATTTGATTAAATTGCACACTGGCTTATGATCTACGTGTATTAATTTTGCCTGTTTAACATCAAATACATTTATCCCAGCACAGCAGCACAGATGAGACATGTTATCTTGGATTAAAGAGGGAAATATATAAATAAATCTTTTCATAGGTATGTGCAGCGTGTATCATTTTTTATAACTCATTGCATCATCGGAACCTAATATGAAGAACATTCTCACCTTTGTAGTGGGGTTAAAAGAGAACAGCGAGTGAGGCTGATTGTTCACACGTACATCAAGAATATCTACATAGTTCAAGCCAAGTATTCTAATTGTGTTATTATACACTAGAAGCCCTGCACTGGGGTATCCATTAAACACAACAACACCCGTTAGAATTCCCTGAAAACCAATCACATCTTTGTAACAAACATTTTGAACTTACGATTAGCAATGCAGTTTTAATTCCAGAGAAATCAGTTCAATAGTTATGAAAAACTGAGCTGAGAGCGTTTAGCATTGGTATTCTAAATTCGGTACAAGAAGAATTTACTTAACTTCAGAGACATCTTTTTTATTACATTTTCCTTTTATTCTTGAACTTACTGGTATTGCACTGTATGAGACCTCAATATATTCTAAATTAGAGTAGGTGTCTGAAAAAGAAAACTCTGTACAAGTTTAGTGTTTAATAAAAAATATGATTATTCAAGATTATTGTAATATACAATAGACAAATACAAAATTGTAATAACTAACTAACGAACAGTGAGCTGCATACATATGCATCGCTGCTCATATTTCTGTATCACTGGGCCTTTCCAAATGACGGATAAATGTTGGGTTTAGTTTTCCTGACCATATTTTGAAAAACAAAACATTCGAAAAATCTCCATTTTGTGAGCACCTTGAAATGAAGGAAATCAATTATTGATTAATTGAAAAATATTCCATACACGAGCAGCGGTGTACATTTGAAGAGCATTATACGTAAAAAGCAAAATTGATTACCAATACCAATGCATATAATTTTGCAAGTTTTATTTACGAGTGAACTTGATTTACCTATTGCATCACCGTCGTCCCAGAAAAAATCTCCAGTGGCCTCTTCAAAATCATCCAGCGCCACTATCAATCCGAGGTCATTGTTACGACTTGAAAAAGGAAGGAATAATATCTCATAAGTACGTGTATTAAAAGGCTCATTGCGATCGGTTAAACCTTAAGGTGAAACGATGACTTTGAATAGTAAGTTATAAATACATCAAGTAGTTTACCTTCAAGACCCAACTGCAGGAACGACCGTCGACATGTTAAAATATACAACAACCCAGGAAGAAAAATATATGATACAAGCGTCAGTGAATAATGAACGAGATTGATTTTGAGTAATGTCGTCATCGTGTTTAATACTAATTTTACCTGAAGGTGGTAGAATTTGCAGGTTCCTGTGTGGGCAATATATATCCACCTCTTATATGGAGTGGGATATAGTCCATTGGTGCATTAAGTGTAGTATATCCCTTTCTGTGCTCACTGCTTACTTCCGCACCCTAAAACGTAAATGAACAACATAAATAAAATAAAACAAATGGAAAACAGCGCACAAATGATACCTCCATAAAAGGAAACATTTGACTAATAGCGCCGGTCTACATGTACATGTACCTGTGGTTTACATCTACATTATTGTATCTTATATAAGTTTCACCTTTACATACTTTGCTTTCTATTTTATACTCAATCAGAGCCAGAAAGGCCATACATTTTGGACAGGAATCTCATAAGGACGATAATTTATTTTACACCGGATGTAACTAACAACGCTTATCGCTACTAAACACCAATCCAATGAAAAATGAATGTTTAAACTATAACACTGATGATCACTTTTGCTGCATATTAAGTAATCCACCTTGGGCCATTATCGACATGGCATCTATTTCAGCGAACAGTTGTTTATAATCCCAAGTGAGGAATGATATCTGTAGAAATTGTTTTACCATAGTAAATCGAACGATAAAGTTCTGCAATAGTCAGATAACAACTGATAATCCTTTGTGTGTATTCAATGCAGATCATTGCGGAACAAATTGTAGACTCTCGCGCTAAATGATTTTGAGTAATAGATAATTAGCTTTATTACATGACCAGTTTTTATAGAAAAAATTGCCATCAACGCCACATTTAGAATTCAATCGGAGAAATTAGAAAGTCGCATTTATGTATGTACCAAAATTAAATGAAATACTGACTGGAATTTTGAAATGAATAAAACAAACATAATATGTTCCTGTACTGGAATAACAGAGAGAGTGAACAATGCAAAGAAGAAGGCCAGGCGTCTTATGAATAACAAAGATCCAAGAATCATTCAAGTCCTTAAAGATGGGAACATTAATATTTTACGGTGGATGATAGCAGGGAAATGTAACATAGAAAAACAAGATGGTTATTGCAGAACGGCAATACACTGGGCAGCGGAATTGGGGCACACTCGATGTGTTGAGATGCTCATAGCAGCTGGGGCTAACTTGAACCCGCTGGACCATAGACTTGACACACCACTTATTATCAGCGCCAAATACAACAAACCTGAAGTGATGAGATTATTACTTGAAACAAGGGGTGTCGACATCAATTTAAAAAGTTACACGAAATACACAGCTTTACATTGGTGCGCAGAGAGGGGTAATGTCAAATGTGCTGTATTATTACTAAAGGCAAATGTCAACAGAACTGCCGTGGATGGAGATCAGAACACTGCCCTTATTGTTGCCGTAAATAAGGGGCACATCGATCTCGTAAAGGTGCTGCTAGATAACCACTGTCCAGTAAATGCACGTGGTAAAAACGACATGACAGCGTTAGATGTGGCGATCAACACGTCACGAACAGATTGTGTGAAACTTCTGATTAGCCACGGAGCCAGATTGGATGTTGGTTACTACCGTAGAGCTACTCCACTTATAACAGCAGTAAAACAAAACCAACCTGAAATTGTCGAGTTACTACTGGAGCAAAACTGCGGAGTTAATTCATGCGACGAAAGTGGTCGTTCAGCCTTACACTGGGCGGTTGTTCTGAATGATCCAATGAACGTAACGATTTTGATAAACGCCAATGCATCAGCTAAAAAGCTTGATAACGACGGATTCAGTGCATTCATGATCGCCACCGTAAATGAGAGATGGGATTTACTGAACAAACTGCTAATGGCATCGTGTGAAGTAGATTCAGTAGCCCCAAATACATCTGAGACATGCCTCCAGAAGGCAGTAAGAATGCAGCAAAGCCAATGTTTAAAGCAGCTTCTAGAAAAAGGAGCAAATCCAAACTTGAGGAACAGTAAAGAAGAAACGCCGTTAATGTTAGCTGCCTCTTGCAATTATACAGACGGTGTTAAAATGTTGTTAGAGTATAAAGCAAATGCAGACGCACAAGATGGATATGGTCGAACTTCCATCATGATTGCCTGCCTACAGAATCACACGGAGTCTATCAAATTACATGTAGAAAGTGAATGTGACTTAAACTTGAGAGACCATGAAGGGAAAACGGCCCTTCACATTTCGGTGGAGAATGGAAATCTACAAGGTGTCGAGTCTCTTCTGAGTAAGCACCCTGACACAGATGTCCAAGCAATGTCCCTTGAAACACCATTGATACTTGCTATTAAACGTAAAAACTCGAAAATAGCAACATTACTTGTTTCTGTGTCAGCCATCATGACATGTGACATAACAGGACGTAACGCGTTGCTTTGGTCTGTTGATTCAGGTCTGGTAGATGTATTTCTGGCGTTGGTCGACAAAGGTGTTGACATTCATGCAATGGACTTTGAAAACGACAACGTATTGACTTTATCAGCTAAAAATAATATAAACGAGATTTTTGATATAGTTGTCAGTAAAAATGAATGTGATGTGAATCACAAGGGATCTAATGATCGGACAGCACTTCATTGGATGGCTTCTCATGCTAATATTGATGCAATGGAAACTCTTCTCAAAAAAGGGGCAAATCCTGAATCGAAAGATGAAAATGGTGACACGCCGTTAGTATTAGCAGCTAAAAGTAAATCAGCGGCATCTCTGAACCTAGTTTTAGACTATTGTGACGATCCTTGTCACCGAGATGACAAAGGAAGGGTAGCTCTGCACTATGCATCTGAAAATGGTCAAGTTGATTGCACACAGCGCCTCATCAATACCACGGGCGTTGATGTGAATGTTACTGATAAATGTAATGTCACTCCTTTACACTTAGCAGCAGAGTCTGGCTATGCAGAATGTGTGTATCCATTGGTGAAGGTTGGGAGCGAGTCTAATCTGACAAATGATGAAGGATACACAGCTCTGATTTTAGCTGCTAAAAATGGCCACAACAGAGTTATCGAATTCCTTCTCGAAACCAATTGTGAAATCAATAAACCTGACCTTTCAAACAAAACAGCTATTCACTGGGCTGCCGAAAATGGACACCTGGCATGTGTTGAGGTTTTGCTGCAAAATGGGGCAACATGTGATGGAAAAGATTCGAATTGTGATACCCCACTAATTTTGTCTATCAAAAATAAATATATTGCTTGTGTGAATACATTGTTAAGATATCATTGTGGTGTGAACGCCGTCGATGTTTCTGGTCGTAATGCGCTCCACTGGGCCTGTGGGTATGGCTTAACTGAATGTGTTGACGCATTACTAGAAATAGGAGCCAAAATCGATCTGACTGAACGGACTAACTATGATACGCCGCTGATGTTAGCAGTAAGAAATGAGCACAAGGAATCTGTGTCGCTACTGTTGAACAAAGGTGCGAACGTTAACTTAGTGGACAAACAGTATAGAAGCGCAATTCATTGGTCCTCTTGGTTAGGTCTCCCAGATATAACATGGTTACTGCTCGAAGGTGGAGCGTCCCAGGAGCTACTACGTCATTACTCAAGAGATAGCCCTGTTCTACTCGCAGCAAAAGCAGGTCACTACGCTGTACTTAACCTTCTCTTGAAAGAAAACTGGGATGTCAATGCCAAGGGGTTTGGCAATAAAACAGCTCTACATTGGGCAGCTAGTTATGGTTTCAAGGATTGTCTAAAAATACTTCTTGAATGCCATGCCGTCATTAATGTGTACGACCGTCATAAGAACACACCATTGATTCTTGCTGTAAAGGGTAATCATTTAGAATGTGTTCGGCATATTCTCGAATATAATGGCAGCGTCAATCAGAGAGACTATGTCGGACGCACTGCCTTACATTGGGCTGCAGAGTTAGGACACATTCAATGTGTGACACTTCTTCTAAAGTACGGAGCACATCCCGACATACAGGAATTCACAAATGCCAACACAGCCCTTATGCTAGCTGTCAAATCGCAACAGATGGAGATTATAAATATTTTCGTGGCCAGAAAAACTAACCTTGATGCTAAAGATGCACTAGATAGAACTGCGTTGCATCGGTGTACAGACATGGGTGAATTGGAATTTACAAAGATTTTATTGGAAGCTGGTGCGAATCCAAATATCCAAGACAGACACGGAGATACGGCACTGTTCGTATCTTGCAAGCGAGGTAATAGAGAACTTGTATCATTATTGATAAAATATGAACATTATGTGAATGTAACTGATAAAATGAAACGAACCATTCTACATTGGATAGCAGAGTTGGGGCATACTCATTTAGGTAATTTAATCCTAGAAAACGGTGCATTTCCTGATCCAATAGATGTTCTGGGTGAAACCCCGTTATCTGTAGCAGTTCGTTTCAAACATATCAACATTGTGAAGCAACTTCTCAAAGCAAAGTCTGATGTGAATGTAAAGGATCACAAGGAGAAAACACCATTGCATTATGCCTGTGACACAGGACAGCGAGAGGTGGTTAAATTGTTGTTAAGATCACATGGTTTACCGAACACCCAGGACAAATCAGGTATGACTCCATTAATGATCGCCTCGCGAGCTGGCTACATAGAGATCGTCAACATGCTTCTCTGTAGGGTCACTGAAGTCAATATTACTGACAACTGCAACAAAACTGCGCTGCATTGGGCTGCGGAATATGGGCACGTGTCTGTCGTTGATGCTCTAATTGGAGCCGATGTAAAAACAATGATTGAGGACAAAAATGGACATACACCATATACCCTTGCGATTGGAAACAGTCATTATGGTGTTGCTGAGCTAATTATGAAATCTAAGCCCGAGCAGACATTTTATTGCAGTTTTGACACGAGTTCATTTTCCAAAAGTATAGACGAATTCAATGAGTATAGGATTAGACACCATGCATCTGTTAGTGCTACTAAAAATTCAGAAACTCAAACCGACTCAAACTGGTTGATACCATCCATACAGGAGCACGATCACACATCAAATGCTGACCAGTTGGACCATCCGGACAATCTCCAAAATCAAGAACTAGCAATTATGACAAACGATACCTTGGCCAGTTTATCAGACACAGAATCAACTGACCAATGTAGCAAAGATAACGAGATGGAAATTCCAAAGTTCAACAGATGGAGGGAAAGCTTAAAGGGAAGAAAAACTGGGTCTGCCCCAATATTGGCTAGTTTAAAACAACGAAACAATCGGAACACATAGAATGCATTAGTAGGCCGTCATAAGGTCTAGATTTGATAAATGTTGATAGATTATTGTTTAACTCACTGTATAATAGTCATACCATCGACTGTCGGGAAAGTATGCAGTTACTGAAGTGGCTCCCTGAAATAATAAACACGTTTCGCAGATAAAAATTGCAATACTGATAGGATTAAACAAGTCATGTAGTCCAATGGGATAGTAACGAGTTTGAAAGCTACATTCCATCCTTGCTGCAAGGGTATTTTACAAGTATATTTAGGCATAAATGAAGCCCTTTGAAGAAGGATGGTACATTCATATATTACTAAACACTATTTTTCCATGAATTTACGTGTAGTAGTGCATTAGCAAACTCACCTCATCCAAAACGGGTGTAATCATGAATGCAGGCCCCCACAAGAATTGACGATCTATGTTATGTGTGTTAGAATCCGATGTGTACCTGCATAACGTGAAACATATTTTACATCACAATAACATTATTTTGATTAGTTGCATGTTTACAGGAATCACTTATGAAATCATTTATGTTTTGTGTTAAAAATGAAATATTTAGTTCATTCACTTACTCGTGAACCAATGGTCTGATGACAGTAGATCCTAACAGATTGGCTCTATGAAACAATGTATACAAATACGGAAGGAGGGTGTATCTGATCTCTAAAGATTCACGGCTCACTCTGGCCACTTCTGCACCAAAATACCCAGGATCCTGGTCCTAAGAGTACAAAGGTTACAAATAGGTATCATCGTCATTTATTATACAATGCTGTTTGAAAGGTTCATATCATACTCACTCACCATTCTGTCTCGAGCATTGTGATTTCTGGAGAAGGTATAAAATGCCCCGAGTTGCATCCATCGCTGACACATCGAAGCAGTAGTGTCACCATTGAATCCACATATATCAGCACCAACCTAGGAATAATCCATATTAACCATTAGTACGAAATTATCAACGGAAGTGATGGGGTTGATTTTGAAACACAATTGATGATAACATAACACGTGCTTAAGTGATACTTACATAAGGGAAGCCAAATAAATTGAATTCCATCATTCCTGAAAAGAAACAAAAGAATTTCAAAATTTGTCACTAAAAGATCGAACACATGAAATAGGATTTGATATCCAACCAGTAAAAACAAAACTTACACATGGACATTAAGATATACACATACCTATGATTGAATAGTGGAGATTTGTCCAAAGACTATGGTTGTCGCCTAGCCAATGGACAGCCTGACTACCTGCACCTGGGAATGATGACCTAGTTAACACTAAGCTCCTCTGACCAGTGGCTGTAATAGCTGCCCTAAAACAGAACGACCACCAAAAATTAAACTATGTTATCAAATCCTGTTTTAACGTGAACCTGTGGCAAACTATAACATTTGTATCAGATGGGACAGTCAACCATGGTCTATCCTAATCTAGTCAACATGCCAATGTACATAATTATTCAGACACTGTCAGAAAAGTGAACTTTATCGTACGTAAATGTGAGTTTAGCCATTAGTTGATTCGTTCTGAGTCATAACAGTGTATAACATTCTTCCCAAATGACTGGCTTACTTATGGGTTGGCGGCACCTGGCTCCATCCATAAAGACTGTGTACATTGTATTGACTTCCAAGATACGAGTTGTGACTTGGACAAAGAGTTTTTTGGTATAGATTGTCAGATACCCCTACAATTAAATGATTACACTTAATTTCTGGAAATCAAAAAAGCAACATGTGTCAGTAAATTGCACCATTGTTCAGTTACATATTAACCATACAATGTGAAGTTCCGTACTTGGTAGGTAAGGTGGGTTGTTCATCGGTGAATCTGGGCATCCATTAAATGAACCGTGCTGAAAATTGGCCACTTCATTCATATCCTGAAAAACAGTATGAACATGCAATCATAAGGTTTGTGATTGTTGTTATATTTCAAAGAATCCAAGCTTTAAAATTATAACATAGGAAGGCATTTGATCTAATTTTTGATTAACATATAATGATCATACTTACAATCCAAAGACCATCATAGTCAATAACATTTTTGAAATCCACACATAATTGGATCCACCAATCCTCGGTTACTTGTTTAGTAAAATCGGGGAAAACCACTGGGTCATCGGGCCAGACCTTTAAATAAAACATGAAAGTGTGTAATGTGTTGTAAAATAAACAGGTTATAAGTGGATATGGATCGATTTCGACAAGTATAAACCTGTTTGGACAAGACCAGGCGACGATATGTGTCCCTTGCAGTTAAATCCAATTTACTTGAGTTTATGTGCAAACCACACTGCTATCTATCGACCAAACACATGCTTAATGTCATCTTTGATACAAGAACTTTACTAAGGAATCAAAGATGTCACCTCTCCTAGAATGTCTGTTGTATTGTCAGTGTCTTTTATCCATACCCCCATTGTATTACCAAGCTCATAAGGCTGATATGTACCCGCCGGCTCACCAGTACTAATACCTGGATCCTACAGAGAAAAGTATCACTTGCAATAAGTATTCAAACGTATCTGGCAGCAATTAGCAATGCTATGTTGTACAGAATAAATCCCCTGGCTCATACCTCACGCAATTTCCTAAAATACGACATATTTGAGACGGTGGTGATCTATTATTTTAGACATAATGAAAGTTCAATCGACTTCTTTCCGAACTTGATTGATCGAATTTGTATGATATGGAAGTCATGAATCCAAGGGGGAAAACAAAGCTTTCATTGTGAGTATTGCTCACTAAAATTATGATGAACTTTGTTCCTTCTTGTTTAAGTTGAGTGACATATTGTGGTAGACCAGCATAATTAACCCGGTCATAGGTAAAGTCGAGTCTTCTGTCCATGTAATCTATGTCACCATATTGGACGTCCTGAAATTGAAAAAATGGAGTAAGATGAATGCTGCAGTTGATGGTTAATATGGCACACAAATGTATTCAGTATTTTCTCACAATGTTTTTAATATTCAATAATAATAATGGTCACTTACATGTGGTATATTATATTGTCTCATCCTGTTTATAACAGTTTGCATATTTGCAATACTGTTGTAACCCCATCTACTTAGTTGGAATCCCAACGACCAGTAAGGTGGCATGACTGGTCGGCCAACAGCCTGAAACCGTGCGTTTGGATGATATTAATATGGCTGAAGGAAACATGTTAACATTTGGCAGAGATAGCAAAAAGGTAAAAAGGAGAGTACAGTGCATTGGTCCAATCTTATTATATAGTACTTTATGTCATAAAGGTCGATCAATATTTGCAGAAGTGAGACGATTGCTCCCGTTTCGCCATTTTAAGAGGTTGGCATAAATACATGAAGTACTCAAAATGCATTTCTCCAGATGAAAACCCCGTTTCAGATATTTTCCTCGGTCAATATCATATTTTCCCTCGAAATAAAATTCTTATTTCATCCCTCCCATTGAATAACCTCTATGTATGTATAGTTTTACCTCGGTATATTGCTGAACAGTGTTTTCGAGAGTAGGTCCGAGAAATATATAAATATCGAGTATGCCTCCGATAGTTTTATAATACAACGCAGGATCTGGCATTAATGTGACGTCTGCAAGAAACATACATGTACGTCATACTTAGACTTTGTTAATTGGTTAATGGTAAAGCTGGTTTAACCTATAAGTGTAAATTGATTGCCTTAGATAAAATTGGTACCGAAAGATATTTTGTTGTTTTGTCTTATCAAGGGTGGTTCTAAGTCGTCCAATATTTGAATATTTACCTTGTGCATTTGCATTTAGAAAGAGAACTGCATTCGCATTGTAGTCGGACTCTACACAAGTGTAAAAAGGATGAACGCCGTACAAGTTGTTAGATCCCTGTAGGAATGGATAATTATTTAGATGCCACTTGTTAATATAAAGGAGCATACTTGTCATATCGTTATAGGACAAACAAAAGTTTGTATAGCTTAAAATACCTCAGATACATCCGATTCCAAACATGATTATTATTACGTACGTACCGCGGGTGCCTGGTCCCTTGCATACATGCCGTACGTCTTCCAATTCATATCATGTTTGAAAGAAGGGTGTTCATGCTCACCAAACCCATAGAGGGACTGACAGGGCAAGTAAGTACCTATGGACATGAATTGATCCGATAACTTTAGCCCTCCGATCGATGAGTCAAAACTGAAACAAATGCAAATAAGGTTACTGATACAAAGAAGCGTGACCAGATTTACTAAAACAATTTTGGCTTGATCGTTTTTTTTATACAATTCTATATTGAAGATTTCAATTGTTCGAACATTGTTACGCCTGTACTCTTCCTAGTGACTTTAACGTTAAATGCCGGGGTGTCATTGAATTGCACATCATATAGCGTATTCGGGGCAGCACTTGGTGGCGATGGGATGTTTGAAGGAACTTCAAATCTCGATGCTGTGGCATCAGTGAACTACAATGCAAAGGGTGAAAATTGTATTGATTAATATCTGCGCCATCAACGTATAATTCACGATAATTTCCTCCTCGGGTTCCTGATCACCGGTAAAAAAACAAACGCTGAACAAACCTTTAGTCGGAGTCTGGATTCGGTTTGGAACTCTACATCAAGATTTACATCATCTATCTCTAATCCGAACCAAGATGGATATTGTCTTCTCTTAAGGTTCACTCTGTAACCTTTCGCAGTTGATATTGGTGCGCCGTTCATAGTATAACCCAAAGACTTTGGAGCAAAACACCATGGGACGTTTGGGGTTGAGGACTGACACCAGTAACATCCCCTTGCAATGCAATTTGCCTCGTTTGCTCCTGCATCTGGATGACAGTCGATTCTCTCACTTTCTTTGATATCGACGGGACAGCGCGCACCGCCCTGTGAAACCTCTTGATCGATGAAACACCATGGTACACCTGAAAAATGGAATCAATAAAAATATAAATCATCCCCTCCCCTTCAATATGAATTGATTATAAATACTATGATATACAATTTACCTTGTGTTGCCGATTCACACCAAACACACCCCTTCGCATTACAAGAGGCTTTGTTTCCATTTGGCTCTGGGTGACAATCAACCTTAGCGTTATCAGCGATAGAAGATGGGCATGTTTTGTCGTTGTAGAAACAGAATGGATAGTTCGTAGAGCTCGCTTCACACCATACGCATCCCCTTTCCTCGCATTTACTCGGAGATGCATTCACCCATTTGAAACAATCACGTCTCTCGGAGTCAGCGACATTTACTGGGCAACTAGATTGTCTTTTCACATTATTGGCGTTCACCAGAACATTGCATAGTCCTGCTAGTATTATCAATGACAATCCGAACATGATCCAACCGATTAAACCAAATAATTAAACGAATAACTAAAATGAATGTTTTGTTCTAAGTTTACGATAGTAAAGGGGCATGACTATGGTATCAGTTTATTGCCTTACCATCTGACATTTTCGCGCACATTTTCGTGATACTGAAAACAAACGTGACTTGTGTATAAATATGTTTTTTATTGTTTAATAATCATTGACATTATTTTTACTTTATATATTCTTTTCGCCTTCCTGTCAGTCCGACTGAAAAAATACTAGCCAAATCCAATCAAATATTCATGCATTTGATCGAACAACTGTATTTCTATAATGAAAAACAATAAACACAAATATGAGGAATCATATCATTCCAAAACGCAAGTACATCTGACAGCTATCAAGCAATAAAACCTATATATACTTGCAGAGTAGTCATTAAACTATAGAAACACAGAGAAATGCTAGTTTGTGATGATATTTAGAAATTGGAAGTATTGATCTTGTTTTTAACAAAGTAAAGTAAACAAAACAATCATTTGTCAGTGGGGCCAGAGGTGTGCCAATAAGTAGGTGTGATGTAAGGCGCATATGTAAGGTTCGACCAGTAGCGACATAGAGCATCCAAGTACTTAGTATACACCTCATTTTATAACATGACGACAAGGTCAAAATGCGTGTGTGTGCGCGTGATTTGTAATCAAAATGAAGCTTCCAGAGACATTCTCTGAAGAGCATTTATTGTTTTACGATAGGCCAAAGGTTCCATTCTAGATAATACAAACAGATTTAAAATAAAGTGCAAAAGTAGCCACACGCATGACAGTGTATCACACAATCATATACAACATATCAATGCGGCTTTATTATATGATTGGTTGATACTGGTCACATGATCTTATTTACATTTCACCTCCTTTGTTCAAGCACCAATCACTGCTTTTGTATCTAAGAGGATAAGTTATATTCTTCATAAACTGGAACCACAGAAACATATATGTAACCTTTTAGATCGGAGGGTGGCAATGATGGATTTTCGGTTTAGACTCATTTTCGCCTTTTTTGTTTTACGATTAGGCGTAGGTAAGCAATTATTTCAAATTATTGTTTAAAAATCAAAATAGAACTGTTTTTGTGCAGCTAAAATGAATAATATTAAATTGAAATAACGCCATACTTATTGTTCTCTCAATGATCATCATTATGCATCATGCCAATCTATTCAAAATCGTGTAAAAGTATTTCTATTTTCTATAGTACATAAATAAAAAGTAAATCAAAACTGTGAAACTCAAAAAATAAATTAAAAAAACTTTTGCATCTCTGGTATTGAGCTATTATAATTTGTAAACCCATGTAACTATTGAATTATTTCTTAATAGTTGAGGGTGTCTGCCCCACTGGGTGGCTCCAGTTTGGTGACCAATGTTACTACTTCAGTGATGCGTTGTTTACGTGGGGTGAGGCCAGATCAGCATGTCAGAAACGACAGGGAGATCTGGCAAGCGCTGGTACAGTTTCCACACGTGTGAGTTCTCTTAGCGATGGACTATAATTGTGATTAAAAACTGAGTACATAAAAATGTCAAATTTTCGAACGGGATAACATTGACGCGAAATGCATAAATAGATGAACTGAGAAAGTTCCTAAAACTCTGTACTTTCTCGCTTGAACTCTTCAATGAATTATTTGTTTCATCATAATATTAAAATCTATATTCCATTTAATTGTCGGTTCTTCCAGCGATGCATTGACGGAACTGAATAAATCTGAACAATGACAGGGATATATATGAACGTATATTTAAAAATTTGTAAAGCACCGTTGAAATGCAACTGAAACAAAAATATAAAATACATGCATTGTTTATACTTTTATTCAAGGATTTCCTCACAGGTGTCGTTACTGGTTCTCGATTCAATGACAGAAACTTCTGGTTTGGTGCAACCGACGAGGAGAACGAAGGTGTATGGGTCTGGTCGGACGGCACTCCGTGGGATAATTCCATAGCGTACGTGACAATGTCATTGATCTAGAAACATGTATGCTTCAAACGTGGTTATTTAAAGCAGTGAAGCATTAATTTACAATAAATTGTTCATTAATATCGTAAGTGTGGCAAAGAGCAAGACCTGCAGTTACTAAATATTTAGGTATTGTTTATATTTAGGTATTGATGTTCTATTTGTAGAAACTGGTCCCCAGGTCAACCAGATAACTGGCAGGGCCAAGAGAATTGCGCCCATTTGAATGGAGATGGGCAATGGAATGACCAGCCGTGCTGGAATGAACTGCACTACGTATGTCAACGTGACGAAGGTTAGTTACTTAATGTATGGTATTAATTGGATAACGTTCAAACATGTTCTGTCCGTACGATACTTTTGTGTTGTCCCTTTCTATAGCTCAAAATATTTTTAGATCGTTTTCTAAATATGATTTTCGAATCGCTTGATAGGTTCTGCATTACTTCGATTTTTGTTTATGAGATCTTCATGCTTGGTTCTCATTTTATTTCTACACATTGCAGCGATTCTGGATAAGTGTAATATCGAGGATGGATGGCGAGATTATAATGGCAAATGTTTCAAGTTTGTTCAGACTCCTGGTGATTGGCTAGGTGCAGAAGCGTACTGTTTGTCAAACGGTGGAAATCTTGCCGTCATCGATTCCCAAGACAAACTTCGACTAGTTAGCGATACCATCACATGCGCTGACAATTCTAACAATGTATGGGTCGGACTCTCAGATAGGGTGAGTAAAGTATAGAATATGCACCCTTGCTTTTTAGTCGATTCGATAAGAATTTTCCTTGTTTTTTATTGAGGCTTTTCTTTGATATAGAGTTTATTGTACTTGTGTTTATTTCCGAATGAATTACATTATCTTTGTTTGTTATTGTTGGTGTACTTCAAGGTTCTATTTTAATAGCCAGCAGTGCATTGGAATACGCTCACAATTTGAATATTTTAGCTAGAGTTTGAATAACACTTTACAGATTGTGGCGAACACGTACGTTTGGGTAGACAGGTCTCCACTCACTGTTACAAACTGGGATACAGATCAACCACAGGGCATGTAAGACATCAAACAGCAACCATACAGCTTTATTCAAAACAATAAATATATAGTAGATGAGAACAACTCTAACGTTTTTGAATCGAATATTGCGTACATTTCAAAACGATATAACTTTTAAATTGTTTATTTCAGCGTTGATGGTCAAAATTGTGTAGAAGTTGTATCACTTGCTGGAAATAAATGGCATACCGCACTATGTTCTCATAAAAGGAAGTTCATATGCGAGAAACCGGAAGGTGAGAGCGTAAATAAGCTGAGGCAAAAGCTAGATGTTTGAATGTTTTTAATACATGTAATGCATATAGTGGGGTTAAGGGATAACATATATCGTTTTCACATCATATTTTTATATAGGTCAATGTGCCGAAGGTTGGATAGAAGCGGCCGATGGAAGATGTTACCAGGTTAATTCTCTCGCCATGACGAGAGCCAGTTGGACTGATGCAGTGGACTATTGCGCTCTACAAGGAGCAGGACTTATAACTATCGAAAAGTATGTAAATTATCTATGCTTTGTTTTTACATTTTATAACGATACACCGTTGCTCGTACGTTATGCTTTTAATCCTAATTTCAAGATGAAATGGCACACATGGCATGGATACAATTGATTCGGAATTCAATAGAATTTAAGCTCGTGATTTTAGTTAGGTTCCGAGAATTGAATCAAGATGTAATAGAACAGTTTTCCTTGACTTTGGTTACGATCCGTATTCTATGCAAAGGTTTTACTTAAAGAACTTGGTCAAAATAAAAATACAAACACTATTTGTCTTAGTGAAGTAGATCAACGGATGGCGCAGATTATAGGAGGTACACTAGATGATGACAATATTGGCCAGATGTGGATTGGAATATCAGGTAATTACATGGATTTAAAAATCAAATTACCCTATAAAAATATTTTTTAGAACTTCTTCATTTATCTTTACATTTGATTAATGGTGTTAATTTCGCCAATTGTAAGGATCCTACGTGTATTTTATTGTATTGATACATAACTGATATTATTTGTCATTGTTGTATTATTTACGTTTTCAACTATGTAAATGTTTTTATAATTTCACAAAAAAAATCAACAATTTTACATATTGATCTGTTATTTTTCCAATAGATAGATACCAGGACAACACATTCTCCTGGTGGGACAACACTACTGTTGGGTACACAAACTGGGACGCCAACCAACCAGGCAGGGCCATAAACCGATTTGATTGTGGAATCATGTTCACAGGTAAAGTTTTTAAAGTTTTAGTACTAAACATCATATTTCTTTTGGGTATTTACGTACTGATTGATCTCGCATTTATATCGATACCTTTCGATGTAGTGACTGACACTGTTAGAGTTGTTTCAGCTGATCCAAATGGAAAATGGAACACGGGGTATTGTTTTGAAAAGAAGGCATTTATCTGTCGCATGAGGCTCATAGACAACATTGCAAACTCTACATTGCCACCATGTAAGTATAAATACTGTTCTATGGTATAGATATTTAAGTGCACACAGACAAAATTTGGAAGTCAGTGATCTTTGCAGAAATGTAGTTCAAATTACCTACTGAAATATGTTTTTCTTGCCATGATTTGTAATTTTCTTTGGTGGTTCCTTTTTGCAAATGTTTCAACGTATTTTCATTGGATGTGTTAATGTTCCTCTCTTGTGCCTGGGACAGTTCAAAAATTTAGTTCCTTTGTACCGATACATCGACGACCCCAAATTTCAATATACACTTGAATGGATGGATTCAATGTTCCAGCTTTGTACAGATGTGATGATGAGGGATGGGAGCTGTTTGGAGAGCAGTGTTACTGGACGAGTCCAACTCAAAAAACGTGGGCAAATGCTAAGCAGGACTGTACAGATAAATCATCAATCATGCTCAAAATTGAAACCCCAGACCAACAGTCATATATATCAGGTATGACACAATATAAAGTATTTAGGAAATATTCAAGTAATGTATTACACATTTACTGCTTATCGGTATATTAACTGAACATTAAGAGATGACATATTCAATTTGCTTAATATAAAACTTATCATTAAAAAGTTTATCAACTATGGGGGCGGTGGGTATTTGTTTTGTATGTTGTCATTGTTTTGTGATAATAATGTAGTCTATATTTAAGGCTCATTGCGCACTATGTTGTGGTTTGGACTGAACGATCAAGATACAGCAGGGACGTGGAAATGGTCTGACGGAACCCCTTTGGTAAGAAAGTTACGATATAATAAAATCCATTCTCAAAACCTAAAAAATACTTATTTTACACTTATGCAAATTGGACAGCTAATCCCCAGAGGACCGTAATTCCACACGTGCACGTACAAAATTCCTTTAAAACGTGTACGTGTCGCTTAATCTTCCCAATGATTTAGAATGTTTTACAACATTGAAACCTGACAATTTTTACACTAACTATTCACATGTAAACATATGGTTCTTTATTCTTTTTTATTATATCTAGGGAGATTTCAAAAATTTTCGACCTAACTTCAATGATGCTGGGCGATGTGGCATATTACGTTCATTCTCCTATAGTCGGAGTGGAGAATGGCAGCGGAATGCGTGTGGGGCAAATAGATACTATGTATGTCAGAAAGATGCAAGTAAGTGTATCTTACTAACGACTTTCCGAACATAAAAACATTATTACATATTTTTTCATGAAAACAAAATGTTCTGATAAGGTTTATTGTTTATCGGTTTAATCAAATGGAGTCTGGTACCCGATATTCGCTAAAAAATAAAATTTATTCGTGTTCTTTAGGCATAGACAGGTAAAATGAAAAATCAATTGGTATCTAATATGTATGAAATTGTAATGTACTTGTAATATCATTTTACGTGTTGGATCTAATCGTCACATTACTGTTTTTTAATTATTTCAGCTCATTTACTGTATCCTCCGACGACTACGGCAGTTCCACCAACAGGTATTTGAACGTTTAATGACAAATGCCACAAACAAACATGTGTGTTTACCTCCCGTTTACTACCACATTGTAAACATATGTTCACCTGCCATTTATCAATGTCATGTGTCTGCATGTTTACTATTTATCACAATCATATGTGCATCTTCACCATCATGTTTGTGTTACATTCAATTCACAACATACATGTATTTTACTGTTTTGTACCATAGCCCCGTGGACGCCATTGTGTGGACCAAATTGGAAATATGATCCTTTGTTACAAAGATGCTATCAAATCAATCCACAACCAATTCTACCATGGAGTTTTGCCAGGGCAAACTGTCTAGATCAGGGAGGAGATCTTGTCAGCATCAATAGTCGCCATGAATCAAGCTTTGTTCTCGGTAAGGAAAACGAGATGCATTGTTACACCGACTGATTGTCTGTATTGGTTAGGCTTAAGTGTACCGTATTATGGATGCTTTTTTAAAACACTCAGAAAAAACGTTCGGTAACAAATGAAATGTCCCTTGTTTTGACAATCGGGTGTTACAGTAACTTGGTTAACTTTTTTCTATCTTGTCCCGATGAGAAACACAGCCAATAGCAACTAACGTCATATAGAACATGCAGCAGTTTCAAAATAATGATTTAAGATAAATACTTGTCTATACATAACTTTGAAATCTATTTCAAATGAGACTTTGGAGATTAATTTGCAGACTTTACTACTGATAAGGTTTTTATATATATGACAATGTTTCTTCCTGCAGCCATGATGTTCGGTGTTGCAAATCAAGGCAGCTTTAAGTTCTGGATTGGAGCCAATGACATTGATGTGGAAGGAGGATGGGGGTGGTCGGATGGATCACCATTTAATTATCACAACTGGAACTCAGGTAAAATATAGAATACAATCTGTATGACAATGCAGTGGCTCACGTTCTTGCATTGTTCATTTTTGCATTTGAATATCCTTGTTTTGCATGTCCATTATTGTAAAAATTCAAGATTGGCGGTGGACGGGATATTAGACATTCGTTCCCTGTACGTTAGATGATAGCAATATGGCATATCGCTATATATTTGAATCAACAATTTCGATCTTCAATTTGATTTAGGTGAGCCAAATGACTGGAATGGCGGAGAGCACTGTGCTGAGACATCAGCCAACAACTTCGGAGCTTGGAACGACTATGTATGTGATAATGGCTGTGGTTTCATATGTGAGAAAGAGGCCATGGATGCAACTACACCTGAACCTACTAGTATCACGGCTAGTAAGTAGATCATTAAATTTGTGTTCGCTTTCGTATTTAGTTTAAGGAACGCTTTGACAAAGTTGTATGTACGTATGGGTATCGTTAAACTTCACCAAATAGTTTACCGAATAATTAAGAACATGTTAATTTTCTTGTATGTTATGAATTTGGTTGTATCCTCATCACAATTTCTAGTTTTTTTTAAATTTTTCAGTTCTATGCATAGACACAGCACTTATATCTGGTGATCGAGTTGTACAAGATGATCTTCTACAGGCATCATCAAAGCAAGATGACCAGCACGGACCAGAATTTTCAAGGATAACAGAAGGTAAGACAAGAGTGGCAATTCTTGTATCACCTTATTAAAGTCAAATCTATAACAATTAATTATTAGAGAATTAACACTTGCAGCTATACGCCCCGTTTGTTTAAAGCTGTATAGAGATATATTTCAGAACGAAGTCATCTTTTTAAATTTTATTCATTTCTCCTAATTAACTTATGTTCCAATGTTGATATACATTCACAGGAAACAATGCATGCTGGTCTGCTGCCGCAAACTCCCAGAATACGATGCAATGGCTAGAGGCTGACTTTATGGTTCCGACAGTGATCAAGTCAGTGGCCACAATGGGATGTGTTGACAAACAGGAATGGGTCACAAAGTATAAAATAGTTTATAAATATGACGAGGACTCAAAATGGATAACATATCAAGAATCTCAAGCCACAGCAAAGGTAATCTGGTCAGAAGTCATTGCTAAAATGTTAGCTAAGGTTGAATTGGAGATGTTAAGTCACACTCATATTTCTTAAGAAAAATGATGTACCCGCGGTAGAGTTAACACTTCGAGTTGTATCATCTTAGCTACAACTGTAATTATTTTATGACTAGTGTTAACATATACCATATTACATTGCAATGCAGATATTTAATGGAAATGCTGATCAAACTACAACTATAACAAATACTTTTGAGAAACCGTTTGTTGCCCGCTGGGTACGAATCATGCCGACAGAATGGTTCCACGCAATGTCGTTACGCTGGGAGTTGAATGGATGTACAGCAGGTAAGACCCTGAAATACATAGTACAGAAAATATGTAATTAATAGGTATTGAACCTATCATAATACATGAATGATGGACATTGGCAAATTGTTTTAATTAAAAGTGAGAGGCAAGTTCAAGACTAAGAACGTAAGTTTTTGTATTTTGGTTATACTAGATATTGTGTATTTGGCATGTTCTTTTACACAATGTCAATCATACGCATTCTTTATTCTTATATTTAGAGGAGTGCACATCGCAAGCATTGGTCTCTGGTGCAGTAATGGTTTCGGATTCTAAGCTAACTGCGTCCACAGTATATGGACCTGATAATACTGCAGCTCATGCCAGACTCAACTCTGCCAGTTCCTGGGTGGCTACTGTCAATGATGGTAACATTTTATCTATACATATACACCTACTGGTATTACAAATCCGTGGTTATTGTTTTTTTTATATGATAAAGGATATTTTTAAAGGATGATTTAATTTTTCTACTGAAATATAGAAATTATCTTTCACACCAAGTTTGGAGGACGTAACTATATTGAATTCGTAATGAACCGCAGATTGGGTATTTACCAGCATATACGAATACGAATATGGCCCGTTGCATTCATAGTTGAAATGACCATTTGTGTTGCAAGATGAACAAATTGATTAATCAGAGTTAAGTATAATCAATCAGAGTTAAGTATAAATATTAAAACCAGTCACCACAGAAAAGGTGCGATTGTTAATTGTTCGTAAATGTATTTCAGACCGCCAATGGATCCAAGCAGATTTTGCAGTAGAACTTAGAGTGACCGAAGTCTGGACTCAAGGAAGACCTGATCAGATGCATTGGGTCACAACATATAAACTTTCATTTGGGAAAGATGGCTCTGCATTTATGATGTATCAACAACCAATGGGACAAATTAAGGTACTTACCCATACTTCTATTTCACTTTTATAGCACAAAGAAGCACCTTTTAGTTAGATCCTGTTTCTACCGTTTCAGCATAATGTACTCAATCTGATGATATAATTCTTCAGATCTTTGATGGCAACACCGACCAGAGCACTATCAAGAAGAACATGATCGTGTCTCCATTTAAAGCTCGGTATATGCGCATACACCCTGTTTCCTGGTACAGAATGATCGCCATCAGATTTGAGGTCAAAGGATGCACAATTGGTAGGTCATAAAACAAAGAACATTACAATACGGTTATGCAGAAACGTGTATTTACTTTCATTTTGCAACACTGAACCGTTTTTACTTATATTTACAAAAAGCTTTGGAAAACGTTGGTGCAAAATCTTAATTTGATGTCTTGTGAATGAACGTTAGTAATTAAGCTGGATTGTGTGTAGGAACCTGCTTCATGAATTGTTAATTTATCTTAAGGCTGTCCTTTGACCGCACTCATTGACGGTCCTAGTCCTGTGGAAGACTATCAACTAACAGCTTCGTCACAGAGAGATATCTACCATGGACCACAAAGGTAAAAGTCGAGAAGTTACATAATTTTAGAAGTCAAGCTATTCATAGATATGAGAGAAATTGAGTCATATACTTTATTTATAGACTGGGAAAAGTTGTTAGCATTAAGGAATAATTTTCTTTCTATTGACGGTGAAGGTGTAGCTGGAATTGAATTAGATCGAATTGAAACTGTCCAAATAGGTGACAAATACGGCACTTTATTGACATTAATCCATTTCACTTACAATCACCATAATGACAAAGTAATTTAAAGGTACAGCTGTAGTAGGTGTTTTGCATTTCTGCTATTCTGCGCATTTTAGTGTTGATTATTTCTTGGTTTATACTGTCATTACTGTAGAATATCCTTGAAATGTCCTTTTAGTGCGTTGGGATTAGAATTCAAACGGTGTGATTTCACACAATATGAACGCCTGAAAGGTTGCCAGGGTGAATAATCCCAATGTTTTATAATTTATAAAGTCCTTTTGTATTTTAGATCTCGATTAGAAACAGTTCGAGATGGCGACTTCAGAGGTGCGTGGACGGCACTCTACACTGACACCCAACAATACATTACGGTAATTTATCGACTAATTTGTCTTTGAAAATTGGTATATATCCTGCTGCAGGAAGAAAATTAATCTAAAATATAACGCCTTTGTCGAATGTATTTATTTTATTTTTTTATTATTCATTAAGCATATTCTGTGACTTTATCTTCTAACATTATAAGCCAACTAAAGGAACGAAACGACAAATATTACAACTATATTCCAGTGATTCACAATTTGCAGATCATGTGGCGTTAAACACTTTGAAAATGCCCTCCAAATGTTTTCAGCGAATTCATCAATTTATGGCGAAGGCAGTAAGCCATTTGTAAGCAATGAACAATTAAGCTTTAATTATGTCCCCAATATTTTACTTTTAAATTACTTAACATACATGTATCAGTGAGTAGTATATTTTTGATGCTCTTCAGGTCGATCTACCATATCCTGTCCATATTAAAGGTATCTCTACTAGAGGACGGCAAGACAGTTTGGAGTGGGTCAAATCATTTAAATTACAATACAATAACGGCAACAGTGGGCCCTGGTCTGACTATTACGAGGATGGGTCAGTGAAGGTGGGGCATCAGTATACATTAACTGATAGCATTGATTAGAACTTCATAATAATGTATTAATCCAGTTTAGTAGCGATTTCTTTCTTGTTGGTCCATTGTCGTTTTAATCTGACATAAATAATCAAATCCAAATATTAGATAAAAAATTAAAAAACAACGCCAGAATAGACTAGATGCGAGTAGTGATTTACGTTATTAAATATTCAAAATTCAGCCAAAGTGATGTCATATTTGAAATAAACATGTAAAAGTACATCTAGAAATATGGTTTCGAAAATTGTTTATCAACTTTGAAAATTTAATTTTTTTTGAAAATGTCGGGTTGATTCCCCATAGACCCCGTGTTACGAAATCACAAGAAGTGAAATTTCTTTTCTTGCATTGGGCAGATAACATTTTCTTTTACCGGACATATTTTAATTTGCAAAACTATTAGTTACATAAGGGTTAAATGAAAATTGAATCACTCAAACAGATGTAATTTAAGTGAAAGGGAACTTTCTACTATACCCGCCACACTATCGAATTACTCGCATCTGCGTTAATTATACATGTTTCCAAGGAGGATTGGCTCAGGATTCCAACTCAATAATTAGCAAAATGTGGAGGTGTCGTGGTTACACAATTCAAACAATTATGAATTCATAGCCAGTTTTAATGTCAGGAAATAACGACATTCTGACATCTTCATTGTTGGAAAATATTGAGTGGTATCTCTCAGAGCCAATCGTCCCTGTTTCTAATATTTAAAGCAACAAGCTAAGGACACTAGTTGCTTGCAGTGCATCGGTCAGTAGTATACATATTGATATGTCATTAATATGTAGAACACAATTTTGCAAAGACGCCTTTTCTAAGTACAATATAGATAGATCTAATACCATACATCGATTCGTGGCCTTCTTTAAATAACATCATATGCAAGTCCAGACTCAAGGTGAATAATCCAAAGAGGAATAATATTCGAGGTCATTGTTTCATTAATAACAAAATGATGATGCATCATATACACAGTAGGCCAGAGAAGCATATCAATTAGTTTTGAAACATCATGATAAGGAATTCATATCAAAACTCCCCAGCTTGCATTAATAGACATTATATTTTAGGTATTTGATGGAAATTCTGACTACAACACAATTCGAACACATTTCTTGGGAAGTCCATTTATTGGGACAAGTGTGCGACTGTGGCCTCAGACTTGGGAGCGTCAAATATCACTTCGCTGGGAGATTCATGGATGTCCAGGTAGGGGTTCAAAATCGTATAAACACTATATACCCTATCTACATGTATACCCTATTGTATTTTTTCCAGAGTTCAAGTTGATGATAATAATATTAATATCTATCCAAATTATTGATCTACATCTAGCCACTAGTCACTATCAACGAAGGAATGTAAATTTGAACGAAATATTATATAATTACCGCCAACTCCAACTCTCCATTGGACTTCTTTCTATAAACCAGGAAATTATTTTAGTTTGAATTAGGATTGGCAGAGTACATGTTCCTTCCTATTTGTGAAGCATGTGCCACAAAGGTGATAACTCATTCACTGTTCATTGTCTCTATTTCTGGTCTGATCCAATATTACAGTGCTTTGAAACATGGTCAAGCATTCTAAACCCCTATTATCCTATTCCTTTGCGGTCAATTTGCCATTTTTTAAGGCATTTAGCTAGCGATATAATCAAAGTATATGTATCCGCTGGACATTGCTTTAGGTAAATTATCTTACTTTGATTTGAAAAATGCAAATAGTGAGAATGAGTATTGTTAATATGTTCATTGTGTTGGAATCAACCCCAGACGTGCCCGAGCGTGTCTGGGCAACAAAAATTAATTGAACTGGTTGTGACATGTGACCTGCTATATTACTTGCGTTACACGTAAAAAAGTCTTTCTTCATAGCTGGGTTAGATAAGTCGAATTTCCAAGATGCTATGGTGCGATTGACACTTTTGTCGCTCGATGGTTTCTGTACGTGATTCACACCATATGGGCTGGTACAAGATATAGTAGGTGCTGGATTACCAGCAGCTGTGCATAATGCAGTCACTTTACTGCCTTCACGTGTAACTCTGCATGGGTTATGATTTACGAATTGCGGTTGTTTACAGGCAAAGTCCTGCTCGAGAATCTGGGCGAAATGTTTTCCATTTAGAATTTCCGGAGTGAGGCAATAACCATCGACCTTCATGGCCGTTTCTTTAATGGTACGTTTAATCCACTTCATTTCACAGCTACAATGGAACGGATTCTCCTTTATGTGTAAATTAAGTCCCAACGTCTGAGGTATCGTATCATGGAGGAGGGTTTGAATATTGTTGTTATTAAGATTCAAAACTTTCATATGTTTCAATTTTCGGAATTCCCTTGATATTACTGTTATCCTGTTACTATCGATATACAAATTCGCTAAGTTTGGAGAAAATTTGAAAATGTAGTCATCAAGTGTCCCCAACTTATTTTCACCAAGGTTTAGCGTCAGTAGTTTGTTAAGGCCTTTGAAGACATCATCGTGGAGGTAGGAAATGCCATTATTTCTAAGACTAAGGTATTCCAAATTTGGAGTGTCAGTAAAGGCACTAGCTTCAACCCCTCCCTCTCCAAGTCGATTGTTGCTTAAATAGAGGTGTGTTAGATTTGACAATCGATAAAACATACCTTTATTAACTCTCGTTAGCATGTTTGACGAAAGATCCAACGTCACCAGGGTTTTGAGCGTTCTGAATATTCCTTTATTAATTGTCCGCATGGCATTATGACGGAGAATGAGAACTCGAATGGCCACTAGTCCATGAAAGGCATGTGGATTCTCTAGGGTGCTAATATTGTTGCTCGGCAGATACAGAAATTCAGTGTATCCTGGAAGTCCAAGTGGAATAATTGTAAGTTTCCTAAATTCACAGTTGACATTCCTCGTAAATGTTGTGCACTGGCACTCCGATGGACACGGAAAACCGGCGTCGCATATTACTATTAGTATGAGGAGCACCACCAAAAGCCTTTCCGCTGTGTTCATAACTCCACATCCTCGCTTTAATGACTTCCAGCAGGCGAGCTTCATCCCTAATTGAGCCTCGGTTTCGACCACTCTCTCTGTTTGTAAGAACTAATAGACAATCAAGATTCTGCCACTGCACTTTCTGGAATCACATTAGAAATCTTGATTAAATATGGTTCATTGTGCAGGAACATGTAACCTTTTGTAACATCTCTGAAGAATTTGATTGAACGATACATTTCAAAATATCAGGGTTCCTTCGACGAAGAGCAATTTATTTGATCCATAGGGAGAAATGCATTTTTGTTATGCCAAAATTGTAATACAGTGCTGATAGGAAATAGAAGATCTGATGGATGATAGTGATTAACCGCTCTCGAATAATCAGTTTAGCAAACGTATTATTTTTGACAGGCAAGTTTCAGATGCTTTTTATTTCGTGACATGGCTATTAGAATGTGTGGTGCTTCAGAAGTGTCGTAATCACGTCGAATGTCATGGTATCTCCATTCCTAATTGCAATTCTAATTCACCCTTGAGAAATATATGTGTTCAGCTTAACGAATACCGACGAGAAGCACATTATTATATAAAACTGTATATCTCAATTTTGAAACACCTGTCGGATTTTCCAGAGATTCTGAAGGAATAATTGCATTGTCGACAGTCAACGAAAGATTCTTGAAAGTGCTCTATAAAGAAAGATAATTGGGATGTAGATTCAATGTTTTATAATGATATTGAATGTAGCCGATTAAGTTGCTCCATTTGTTTTCGGAAACACAAGAGGCATTCACGAGAAACTGATCAGAGGGCAGGTGCAGCTTAAATGAGATTTTTAATAGGACTTAAGTTGAGATGGAAATAGGTTACCGAGGCATAAGTTCTTTTTAAGAATAACAACTATTTTAATACATACAATATTCAGACTTTCGTCTCATTGAAAGCATTGGCAGCGTTATTTGTTCTAAATCACTTAATTATAGATAGCATTCAATCGTCGGAAAACTGTTTATATATATATTAGTCTCAAGATTGAAAATCTGTATTGTATTGCTTTTGCCTCCATTATTTTACAAATACATCCTCCGCAACTCAGCAAGACTAGAATAAGCTATGAATGTAGACAGCGTTGATGACATAAATTACGATGCAATGATTGGTATATTTGTCAAGGCAAGTTGACAGTTATAGATTCTCTCAGAAATATATCTATCCATATACATTATGTGAGTCTTTTTATACGCTTATCAACACAAGATTTACGCAGAAAAAATGGCAGTCCTACTTGTATTTCGTTAAAGATGTAATAGAATGGCAGTCAGAATCTCTAGCACATAGAACAATTGCAAAATAAGTGACCCCCCCTAAGAAAAATGTTACCATTACCGTGTAGTAAGTTTTTATACGCTTATCAACACAAGATTTACGCAGAAAAACTGGCAGTCCTACTTGTATTTCGTTAAAGATGTAATAGAATGGCAGTCAGAATCGCTAGCTCATAGAACAATTGCAAAATTAGTGACCCCCCCCCCCCCCCCCTAAGAAAAATGTTCCCATTGCCGTGTACTAAGTTATTCTGGTGCCAACTTTGAGAGTTGTGGTCGCTAACTACTTGCGACAATAGGATATGGTTGATGCAACTGATCTGACATAATAACATACCTGGTAACTGTATGGGTATTTCTAAACAACAAGTACACTAGGCACATTGGTTGATAACTTTTCTTCGGTCTAGTGCTAAACAAATAAGTGAACATTAAGGTCAAAAAGGTATTTTTCAACTTGCTTCAAATTGACCGCATTTTTAAACAATCTACAAGTTCTCAGAAGTTCAAATCAAACTTTAGATTTGACCTTTGGTTGACCTCCAATGACCTTCGAAAAGTAAAAAAGTTGATTTAAAAAAGGTATTTTCCTTTTTGCTATACTTGCTTTACACTTTAATTATTTGTCGATAGATAGTTGAATGTATTTTAAAAGTCACAGCCTAATGCTGGTAATTTATGATGTTCCGCCGATATCGTTTTTTAGAAAAGTGGTTCTATGGGCTGTATATTGCATTGAAAAGGTCGAAGTATATATCAGTAGTATTTTAAGATAGGTCAGAAAATAGGAAACATAGATTTTTGAATCTCAAATGTCCAAGTAAATATCGAAGCACATGTGCCAAAGGAGAGGACCAAAAACTGTAAAAACCTAGCAAGAAAAGCTAACTTCAAGTGTAAAGCTGTCATAAGAAAATAGACCCTATATCCCAAAACGACGATCTAACGCAAGGAAAAAATAATGTCGAATGATGTGGGATAGACGAAATCCAGTCCATAGGCAATTCAAAGAGTCAACATCCATTCACAGTCTCCTTTTTTCTTTAACCCATAGAATCTGAAAATGTCCTTTGATCTATGTAATGTAATTATGAATTATTGCCTCGGTTATTATGACCATATACCATGTTATGACGGAGCAACAGGAGAATTGTCAATCATGAACCAACCAGGAGGGAAAAATATTGATGTGTGGTAAAGCTATCTTATCACTCCCAAGAACATCACAGCGTGGGCCATCATCCTTCTGATTTGAAATGTCTTCATGTATGTCTTCATATGCACTTAACACTGTATGTACACTAACTTCGGAAGTTATATTTTGGTTTTAGAAAGACTTGAAAGGAAGCAAAAACGCTTTAACGCTGAGTTAAAGGAGATTGCTAATTGTTAACATGTCTCGAAGGTAATATTAACTGTTCAAGAGAGTATAGAGTGTCGGCATTTACAAATTGGTGTAAGATTTGACTTTTAGCAAATTGGTGAAGATTCATGCTTGGTGGGTTGAGAAATGTCAGTCGTATTGAGGGCGGCCATACACAGACACATATCCCTTGTCCAGCCGATGGTAGCCCTAAGAATCAATCAGTCACAACTGTATACTGTCTTGATGAAATTGTAGTGAAAACGAAATTTGAACTTAAAGATTCTGCAGATCGAATGAAACAATTGGATTGACGGTAATCAAGAATCGCAAGGGCTATTAATATAGAGCCATAAAGAAGGTGACTTTTATCTCAAGCAGCAGAGACAGGGTGGAAAGAAGGATGCTTTCCCCGGGGAATATTTAGTCTCATTCCTAGTTTAAATTGAATGGTCCTCGTTGGTCTCAATTGCGAATGACTAATAAGTCGAACGAAGTCATCGTATAAGGTTAACGTATAAATGTATGAGAACCGGAACAAAAATACTGGAAGCAATATTTTCTTATACACCTGTGTAGAAGAAAATATTGTCCGCCGGAGGTCATTGCCCTTATTTGTACTTAACCACACCTAGCCCCAGGTCTATGTGACAAATTAGCCGAATATACGTACACTCCTCTCCAAAAGTTTGGCAACCTCTTTATGTTTGAAATTTTATTCACATAACCTGCGATGAAAATACTTATAATATTAATGGAAATGTAACTTGACTTCATTTCCAATGCCTCCAAATTTTTCCATTTTTTCTTCAATTACAATAGGTCGCAATGAATTTTTTGAAAATCTTCATTCCCATGTAAACCAATATGGCATCGAGGCAAATCTAATTTCAGGATAGCTGCCCAGTAAAAGATTCACCAAAAATATTTTTATATGGAAAATTAAATAGTCTAGTTTTTTGTACGCTAAGTGTTTAGTTTTCTTTATGAATACTAAAGTTACAGAACTTCAACTCAGAACTCAGATGGATGAATATTCTGTCATATGACTTGCGGCAAACCTACCAATTCCCATTGGTTTACATGGGAATGGCTAAATTCATCAGATTTGTCATCCATTTGTTTCCATATTGAAAATGATGTCAGTTTATATTTCCAGCCCAGAAGTATTTTTTCTTTATTGGTTATAAATGCGAATAAAAATTCAAACATAAAGAGGCTTTAACACGTAGTTCAATGAGGGAGCTAAGGTTGCCAAACCTTTGGAGGGGAGTGTACCACCATATAAATGTATATTATACATTTTAACCACAGTATTTTAACGGGCTTAATATCAAAATCGTGGTCAAAAAGGTAGTTGCCTTAAAGATGAATGAAATTAAAAAAGTTGAAAAAGTCATGGAAATTATTTAAATAACATAACTGTACTAATCATTATTACTGTGGAAAACTTTTCACTGAATTCAAATATGCTATTAAAACGGATGAAATGTAACTCATTAGAAGTTTTACATGCAAATCTCTTAAAATCTCACGCAAAAAACGAGAACTAGCGAGATATCATATCTATATAGAGACTCCTCCACTGAAATATATAGCTACTCATTTACTGCAGACTACACCACTAAATTATGCAGTAGTATGTTAGACAATCTATTAAATTACGATTTCACGGCATCAAATTATATAGTTTATTGCTGCCAAAATTACATTACTACTCCCAAGCCAATGGTGTGAAAATGGTGCGAAGATCAATAGACAAGAACCCATGATCTCAGTAATTATACCACCTTCTTATAAGTGTCTTGTCTAAGTAGTGGCACAATACTGCAATAGCAGCAACATCTTTTAAACATCTTCAACTCATTTTTGTATAAGACTGTTTTGTGCAATTCCGTGCACCGGCTGGACGAGTGTTTTGTAACCATGTCCAGATTATACTTTTCAATAAGTTTGCATTCTGTTCAATGGAATTGTTTTCGTGGCGTTCAATCGATTGTACAATTATAGTTTTTGTTATTGAAATGTTTGCAAATGTGAAACTAATTTATATTTCTACTTTGGTCCAGCCTTCGTAGTCGTTTGCAACAACAGCTTTTAGATTTAGATTTCAGAGGTTGACAGTCTTTTCTTAATAAATCGTGTTTTGGGGGAAATGTCACTAGCTTGTTCTGTTTTAAGTACAATCTAATTAGAGATTCTGTCTGCTATTCATAATATATTTAATAGTGAATAAAAAGATACATTAAGCATTAAAATTCAAACGTTTATCTCAAAAGACCATTCCCATCAAAATCAAAATGCAATATTATTGTCGGGGCAGTTTCTAATATGAAATCGGCGTGAAAATAGTAAATTCAATTCATTTGAACTACGAATATTTGAATGAATATTAGATATCCTGTCAATTCATTCCTACCATTTTCCATTGGTTTACATAGAATATGTCAAACTGTCAACGTGACAGTAACGTGGTAAACGAAGTTCACTCAGAATTGACATATTTGACAGGAACAAAACGCATATTTACGTTTTCCTTTACATATACGTCTTACGTAGTACTGTAGCTGTACTATGTTAAACGTGAACACTTTACAAAACATTGAGTATTTTTTATCCCGAAAAATAGAATAACCCGAAAATCCACTCAAAGATAAACGAAGATATGACACCTTTTCTTGATGTCTGTGGTACCATTTCATTAACAATAAAACAAATATTATAGATCCACCAAATCGTAATACTTTACTCATCAAATCATGAAATGATACATTACCTTTTAGTTACCCACACTGTTTTTCAGTAGTTTGTAACATGTGCTGTTAAACGTCTCTTCTAAACAATCTATGTCGTCATCTACATCAATCTCAAAGTCCAATTTGCTTCGTTGTTTATTTATTCATTATTTAGCTTTGCTTCTTGTAATTTCTTCCTTCACTTATGATAACTGCGTCAGCCTCAACTTGCTTTTTCTAAATCATAATTAAAGTGGGCGTTGACGTTTGCTAACGAAACCATACACCTCTTTTTGTAATTATGTATTTGATCCACATTGCATCTTTCCACGAGCGATATTTAATAATTGATTTCTGAAGATCGTATAACGGGACAAACAGTTTTCCAAATCGTCCTAGATTCATTTGATGTAGATTCGAATTCACGTATACTAACGACTGTTGTTAACAAGACAAAATGTTTGATACAGTATCTGATTTTATTCACTCTTTGATTTAATGATCAAATCAAATTATTCCTCGTCTAATTAGTTTTCTATCATCATGCAATTGCAACGATAATGAAATTGTGAGTACTATTCACTCGATTGGATTACAGCAGGGGTAGCTTTGAAGATTAAGAGTTGTACAATATTATATTTAGTGCTGTGATTAATCATTTAATCCTATTTCATATCAACTCGTTAATAAAAATGTTTTCACTAAAAATGACTCAAAATACACTCGTTTGACAACCATCCCTCAGTTATCACTTCACCTTCATATTCGCATTGCATCATTCATTCAATTCAATTCATTTGCACCGATGCGTCTGTTAGACACAATACGGACAGATATTTACGTAAATTATGACCATAAATATTTCATCAGTTGCAATTAAAGGTTCACGTTGTTTTGTTACGGAATGTTTTTCGCAATATTACTTTTGCATAGTTTTATTTCTAGTTAATCGAAAAGCTCTTACAACCTTTTGAGATTTATATTGAAAAGTTGATTAATTTCCTCACATCAACCAACAGATATAACTGATTATAGAATTATAAAGAACTTATATTTGCCACAAATTGATTCTCCATCCCGTTTAATTATCGCCCCTCTGAAGAGGCATTCTCGTTTCCTTTTAAATCTATACTCTTAAAACAACGTAATCACTTTATTCTTGTTTTAATGTTTGACTTTGGGAACACGAGAACTCAGGAAATCTCAGAAAGCTTGTTTGACAATCCGGAATGTATAATTATCGAATATTGAACGATTGCAGAATATCACTTACCCATTCTGACTAGCGCTAACTTGCCCGAGACGATAGATATAGATAAGCTTTTGCCTTTGGTTTATTTGGCTTTATGAATTCATTTCTTTCTTCTGGAGATATCGAGTTTGCATTCGCACGGCTAGATGTAAGATGATTATGAGAAATTGTGTGATCAAATATATAATGGCATTATATTAATTGACAGTCCTTACTGTAATGCGTTTATCTCACGGGTGCAGTATTTGGTGACGAAGCTTCGATTACAAGTTTCATTAATGTTTAAACAAAAGCGTTCTCATTTACAAGATAATATCCATCTGAGGAAAATACTTACGAGGTGCGCAGTTTGCTAATGGATAATTTAATATTTGTAATTTTAAACTGAGACTAAAACACAGTGTTATTCGAAGATATCCATTAAAAATCATTTGGGTGTCAATTTAAAAGACTTCATGATTTTCAAATTGAATACGCCTTCGTATGAATTGGCGCGGTTGAAAATTCACAAGGTGCTCTTCTTTGTCTTCGTGCAATCTAAAAAGTTACACTCTTTTTGTAGCATCTGATTCAATCGATTATTTGAAAATGTTTTATTTGAAATAAAATTGTACTCACCATATCATTGTACAAGCGTACACCAGCCCTTGATCTTGATGTCAAAACCTCATGAAGTCAAAAAGATATTCGCCGTAACTGACTTTGTTGTATCTCATTCAGTAGTGTATTGCGTGATATTGATTACCTTCACAAACAATAACTTCATCTATTTGTATTGTTTCTACCGAGTAAATATTTCTTAAATTAATTATTCAGCTGATTATCTCAGTGACAATGTCCTCAAACAAAAGTTTTCTTGAATAAGTTACCAATATATCCAATCCGTTGAATTAGTTTTCAGGAAAACCTAGAATTGCCTCAGCTGATATATTATCGACTTACATTGGTTTACATCTGCATGTCATGCATTTCGATGATCAGGTTTGTTTGGTCCGTTGCTCTTCAGCATAGAATTGCGCAAGCATACGTAGACATCAATTGAATTACATCCTTCTCCAAAAAGTATGTTTAAAGCCCCGATTCCAACATTAATTGGCTCGCATGAATTTTAAACATTTTTCCTTAATTTCATACAGTTATCCCGGTTTGGAGAACAGTCTACTGGGCTGGATCGCCAAACGTTAGCAGACTGTTTCTAAACGTATAGAGGGGAGTGTAACAATAATTACATTCATTGTTACCTTCAGGACCACAATCCAGTACGTATGTTGGTTGTTTTGATGACCTCGATGCTGTAAGAGATCTCCCATATGAGCCAATATATGAGGCACCTGGTGGCATGACATCTAGAATATGCATCAATCATTGTTTTGAAAAGGTAATGCATCATAGTATTTCGTCATCAAGGACTTGACGAAGCCCGTAATTTACTCCTAATTGCTGTATCCATTTGCAATTTCAATACTAACGTTAACATTGTATATACCTTTAGCTCGATTTGTATTATCTTACTCAACTAGAAATATATTTTTCATAATTGTAAAACCTCAATTCAGGCATCCGCTTGTAATAATAGTAAACTGCATAAACCTTGAACTTCATGTACTGTCTCCTCCAGGGTTATTCATATGCTGGTGTACAGGCGGGTACAAGTTGCTTCTGCGGAAATGATTTTGGACGTTATGGTCCAAGTGGTACATGCACAATTCTCTGTCCCGGAGATAATACCTTCCTCTGTGGTGGAGCAACAGCAAACAGTATATATACAACTGGAATGGGTGAGTATGTTTGAGTAAGTCATATCTATGCAAACCAAAACAAAGAAGTTTTAAATTCAAAATTAAATGCAAAGACGGGCGGGTATTTTTAAAATATACATCCCTCTAATAGTCCATTTGTCACCCCTATACATACTATAGTGAACCTATGAATTGTTAAAAACACGATGTTTTATGGTTAATTTATAATAACAAGGGTTTTCCGAAGTGATTTAACTGGGTTGGACAAAAAGTTAGTTTGGGGAAAAAAGTATATCAGCTAATTAGGGAGGGGTGCATTGGCTTAACATGGCGTTGACTATTGACTTAGCGTCGGGATACCACCATGTACCTGGTATGTTACCATGGTGAGAGATACAAAAATTTTCCCCAACGTTAATTTTTTGGCAACCTAGCTAAATCACTCCAATAAACCCTAATGATAGTATTTGCACAGGAAAACATCATGTTTTTAAATATTCATACGTTAAGAAAATGACAAATGGACTATATAAAGTATACTAGTCTACATACTCGTACGTGTAGGTATGTACTTGTTTAATCCTGATTAGTCTTGTCAAATCGCTGCCCACATACGCATCTTCGACCGAGTGACATTACAGCACATTGTTTTAGTTAATAGTAAACTTAATAAATCTTCCGTTTAGCGGCCGATGGTTTGAGATGTCCCTCTGGATGGAGCACCAATGGTGATATTTGTTATAGAGCTTTCAATAACACAGTTGAATGGGACGACGCACAAAGTGCTTGTGCGACTGAAGGCGGTGATTTGGCTACAGTAAATGACGCCTCCTCAAATAACTATGTCCTAAGCATGATAAGTGAAGGTGGGTATACATTAGCTGTTTATTAATGTTTATTTTCCAACAGTGAATACATTTCACTCTTATTGAAGGAACGATGCAAAACTTCTGATTCAAGATGTATACTAACTAGAATTCCGGTTTGAAGCATATTCATTGACTTTAATTTTCAAAATTAGTTACATTTGTTTTTAAGTAACAGTTGTTCATTCTCTTATCATAGTGGGTGAGGATCTGTGGATAGGTCTAAGTGACAAGGACTATCGTCATGAGTTTGAGTGGGTTGATCGCACTCGTGTTCTCTATACAAACTGGAATGTCGGTCAACCTAATGGAGGTGGCTCTGAGGTTGCTCAGTGTACAACAATCACAGCAGGAGTATGTACACTGTTCCTTATAAATATGGAACATTTGCTTAACATTTAGATACCAATTAATTAATCTCCAGGTAAATTGAAAAGGGCAGGGTAAATAGTTCACAAAATATACAGACATACACGTATATGAGGTGACATGTATTCCATAATGCACAATAATGTTTCTAAACAATGAGTTTATTGGAGATGTTAGATGTATAAATCAGATGTGTATATGTAATTACTAAACGTTTCTCATATCAAAATGTAATGTATAGCAGTAAAATATATGCTTTGTGCGTGCTAAATTTGGCTACAATCACATATATCATTTAACACAACGAATATATTCAGGTAAGAGGTTTTCATATAATTCTAGGATAGGAAAGCAGGTACCACCCCAAAATATCTTGATTTGCAACCACAAGTTCTAAATGAGGAAAACAACAAAATAAGTTTTTAAGTCGAGGTACCTCTCCAACACGTTGACAATACACCAATGGCTCCTAATTTTTTGTTAACACCTCAGATGTATCACATAACAAGCAACACAGCAACAAAGTCGAATTTGAAAAAAAAGATATATAACAAAATTGAAAAAAAATATTAGATTCTCTGGGTTCACATAGCCAGCATTTAGTATACCATATACTTAATACTTCTTCAGAATGGCCGATGGAATGATGAGGACTGTGACCAGAGATTTAGTTACCTTTGCCAGAAACGCAAAGAGGCTTTACCCACTGACCAAATCCCAGTGACTGAAAATGTCTGTGGAACGGTATGTACAGCAAGTTCAATAATCAATTTCAATTTCGAATGAAGGCGATTTTCTCATAATACTTTTGCAAGGAATATAGCATCGTCCTGGATTTTATGATTGTTAGGGATGGGTTCCGTGGCAGACATCTTGCTATTCGTTCTTCACCTCCCCTCTGAGAACCTGGCAAACTGCGAGTGATACTTGCACACAACTAGGGGCATCCTTAGTTAGGATACATGACAGGTAAGTTATTGTATGACGTTAAGAATGTTTTCGTCGTCGTATTGGAAAAGATTGTAATTTCTGAAAACACTACGAATTACCATGTCTGCAACTTACGCTTCATAAAATTGCAATATGTGAGACAGGGGCAAATTCGACAAGGGGAACTGGTGACACAATTTTTTCCAAATTCGTTACAATAGATAATATTTTTGAAATGATCATAATGCATTATTTCAAACGTGTTTTTCATCTACAGATACGAACAAGCATTTTTATCTAATCAGTTGTCTAGCACTGGACTTGGATACTGGACAGATTTGACAGACAGGGAAATCCCTGGTGTTTACAAATGGAGCGACGGAAACCCGAATATTCCCTTTACACACTGGGCTCCAAATCAACCGGGTAAGCAAGCTTATGGATATGTAGTTTCTATTGTTAACTGTTTCATCTGAAGCAGTGTACCATAGTTAGCATAGGCGTAGCAACCCCCCCCCCCCATAACAAATAAAATGAGAAAGATGAAAAATGCCTTTTGTTGGAGCTTCCAGCTTAATTTAAGGAAGTTGCATCAATTTTTGTGAAATTCTTAATAAATCTTTTTTGGCTCGCTTATGCCACAATCGCATCCCCCATGACTGGAAACCGATTTTTTGTTTTTGGCCGATCGTCCCCCCCCCCGACTGAAAGCTGGCTACGCCCTTAGTATATATCCAATATGTCCCATAAGAAACATACTTTCAATGAGACATTATGATTTATAGATGACAGGGTCGGTGCTTGTGTCGGCATGGGCACAGGAAGTGATGCTGGGCTCTGGTTTGATCGACCGTGTGAGACACCTCTCTCCGCTATCTGTGAGCGATTACAACCTGGCCTTACAACGCTAGTGCCTCCATACACTACCCCGATAGATGGAACGTGTCCAAGTGGCTGGAAGGAATATGGGAATTACTGCTATGAGGTAAAACCCCTCCAGTCAAAAAGAAAACAATTCGCAATTTGGAATAACAATACATGGCTCTACAGGCCCGTAGGATTTACTTGGAGGGCGGTTTTACCAAGGGGGGGGGGGGTTTGCTAAGAGGGGGGAGGGGGGAGCTTTTTGAAAGGTTTGGCAAAAATTCCGCTTCCTCCGCTCCCCCTGGCTAGGGTCTGGTCTATATTTATTATGCTTAATTCAATCTCTATTTCAGTTCAATAGTTATATCATAAATGACCAGAAGACTTGGACAGATGCCGTTGACAACTGTAGACATAAGAATGCTGATTTAGTCAGTATATGGAGCCAAGATGAGCAGACATTCGTGTTTGAAAACCTTCCAAGGTGAGTTTGGATTATTACTTTTCAAAAGGCATAAATAGTTAAAAGGTTCACATTTAACCATGATCAGTAGATCTATATTTGAAATATTTACGAGTATAACATACCCGATTGTTCTATTTACATTGATAATATGTTATATTGTTATATTCAAGAACGCAAGAAAATGATTTTTGGATTGGGCTTGAGGCAAATATAGACCAGGGATACACTTGGACGGACGGTTCGCCTGTACTTTTCACTAACTGGAACGATGGTGAGCCTAACAACCACAATGGTATAGAGGACTGTGTGGAAATGTTAAAAGACGGTGTTGGCAAGTGGAATGATAATTTCTGCAACGAGAGAAGAAACTGGATCTGTAAAGCAAGAAAGGGTAAGTAGCCCAGCCTACTACTCCTTAATCAAATGAGTATGCAAAGCTCGGTTTTTTGAGAATGTGCATACCAATATCGTCCTTGAATATTGTACATTACCTGCTATTAATTTTAGGCACGTGCGTTGTTATTTTCAGATGTTGATTTTGCCACGCCCGCTACACCAGTTTATCCAACAGCAGGACCAGGTTGGTCTTTTTATGTCACTTTTTATGTGGTTCATTTTTTCACAGTCACTACATGAACATTTAACTTGTTTGATATTGCATACCCAACATTACCTTTTTTGTGTAGAATAGAAAAACATTGATTTTATACATTATGACTAGATGGTACTTGTGCTCCTGACAACGATAACTGGAAATACTACGACGGCAACTGTTACTTTATAAGTGACACGGTACATGATGAGAGACTCTCGTGGCACGAGAGCGAGAGCAGATGTCAAGAAAATGGCGGTCATCTCTTATCCATTCATTCCGAGCAAGAAGAACGATTCATCATAGGACAGGTATAAGACATAACATATGCCAATAACAAAATTGAAATTATTCGTTAATTCCATATACTTCTTTATGCCGTGAGTGAAAGAATACGACGGATGGGGCTTGTGCACCGGATGGGCGCTTCCCTATGCTTCATAATTAGGAACTATTTCGATTAAATGGTCTCTGGAGATACTCAGAAAACTCATAAATATTATAGATTTCAAACCATAGTGAAATAGAGCTTAAAATCTTACTTTTAAAATTAAAGGTCATACCGTCCCATCCTCTATCTTGACATAAATGAGCGAATTCGTCTAGTCATGGTGCTTTATGTTTGGATTCACAAGATCAAGTAGTGCTCTAAGTTTGTCAATGTTGTTAAAATTGCAATCTAAAGAGAAATTGGCTGCTCAATTTTATCCAAATTAGAATCGTGACACATGACAAATGTTTACCTTCAATACTTTAAAATTGACTGGATAATGATTACAGCTAGAAATTGATTACTTTGGAAGAGATATCTGGATTGGCCTGAATGAACTCGACCTTCAGCATGGATATAGGTGAGTACAGTAAATGTTATTCATATAATCATTACGGAAAGATTTCTTATCTATGATTTCAAAGATTATATTAAAGTTATGACTAACTCTTTTTGAGCTGGGTTTAACTCAGAGGTCGCGCTAAATTAACGATCAAGTTGAGCCCTGGAGATAGTCGAGCCCTTGCTAGCTTATAAATCTGTGCTCGACCCATAATTGTTCAAAGTATATAATATCTGAGCTTATTGTAAGAAGTATAATTCCGAGTTTGATTTCTGTAATACCATCCATTCCCGGTAGCTAAGGAATAATTTGAACTATAGGTGGAGTGACAAGTCCCCTACTGATTATATTAACTGGAATACCAACGAGCCAAATGACCATGATGGTGCCGAGAGATGTGTTGTGTTCCTCACAAGAACAGGTGGGCATGATATCTTTGCATCATTTATTTTGAAGTTCGATGATACAATTATGGAATATTTTTCAGTTTATTTTCCTGACTCTAATTTGCCCTGATACCGTAACTGGAGTAATACGCTTGACAATGTCGCAATAGACAGAGTGTTCATGATATACAGTGTCTGACGTGGTATCTAGAATGTTTTTCTTTGAGCTGTTAAAAACTCACAAATAATAAAAACATATTTTATACTCTCGCAAAAAATACTAGTTGGGCAAGCCACAAAAACCTAAATGGTAAATGCGTCACCAGCTTTAAATTTCAGTTATACAATTCAATTGACTAATATATAATACTTACACAACAGGAAAGTGGAATGATGATTTATGCTCTGTTATAAACGGATATATCTGCAAGAAAAGGAGGGGAGCACCACCGGTTACTCCAACACCGACTCCTGCCCTCCCTGGCTATTGTCCAATAGGCTTCTATTCATTTGGGAACAAGTGTTATAAAGTCTTTAATGATTATGACGATCGTCTGCCATGGGACAATGCACGAGCTCAATGTCAACAGAATGGGGTTGGATTTGATTTGGTTTCAATAGGCAGTGATGTGGAACAAGGTAATGTCGTAGTGACGTGATCGAGAATTTCAAAATTTTTATCACATTATATCTATTATATCTACTATTTATTAAAACACAACCTGTCTCAACACTACAACCAAGAAGGCTTTAGCAAAATCATTCTTGATAAAAGTAACCAAAAATTCATATATTAAGTAAATACTATACAATAAATAGTGACGTTCAATAGGATCGGTGTGCATACTGATGAGTAAAAAGACATATAACCGATATTAATACCATACTATTTTCTTTATGTATTCAAGCACTGTTATTTATTTAACATAATTGTCACAGCAACTGTAAGCCTATACATGAACCTATTTTCAGCGTTTGTGACCACACTCCTAGCTGGAGAAACAACTGCTCTGTGGATAGGCTTGAAACAACTTCGTGGTGAATTTACTTGGATTGATAATCACGATGTAACATACACTAATTGGAATGTAGGAGAGCCAAATGGAGGAAGCATGGTAATACATTATAAATAACTTGATATGCGTTTTATATTGTTTTAGTTTAAAAATGGTCTCTAAGTAAGGTGAAACATGTGAAGGCTTGCAGAGTGAGTTGGTGACATGCTGAAACAGTTCTCCAAATGTTCATTCAGTAATTACCGGGACACCTTGTGATTTGAACAATATCGATGATTTTGTCCAGACAAGTCAAAGCATTCTTGAAATTTAGTGCTACACTCATTGAGAAATCATTGCTTGACCATTGATCACCGTCTACTGAACTATTTGGTGACATTATATGTTTGACGGACAGAATCTAATTGTCATTATAGGAAGGATGTACTGAAGTTCTAAGCGAAAACTTCAATGCAGGACAATGGAATGATATCACATGTAACCATATATTAGGATATATTTGCCAGTCATACAAGGGTAAGTTTTTACCATTAAAGTGTTTGTAACAAAATGTAGCTTCAAGTAACCACTCCCTCCAAAATATAATTCTGGTGTTCATGAACGATTCTCGAACATTTTTAGAAGATTTTGAAATACTTGGTTAGCAACAGTATAATTAAAAAAATCAAATAGTTCATATTTACGGACACCGGGACACCTTAATCTTTTGATAAAGATTCATCACCCTTGTTATTTTTTCACTTTAAACGAACAAATTTGGGAGTCACACCAGCTTCAGCATATACTGTTTCATGCATTTCTGTATCATTATATACTTGTAGTGGCAGCTCTTTCAACACCAGCCCCAACTCCGACATCCTCTTGTCCTGCTGACTTCGTAGCTTTCCAAGATTCTTGTTTCCACATCTCCACCACTCCTCGAACATGGGACCAGGCTAATAATTATTGCAAACTTAAACAAGCTAACATGGCCTCCGTAAACAGTAGATTCGATCAGGCATTTGTATACAGTTCGATTCAAACTGCTGGGGAAACATGGATTGGTTTAACAGATATTAGGGTAAGTATCATGTTGACAGCTAAATGCTCAAATATACTAGTATACGATGAAGATAACGAAACTTAAGCTATTCTGAAGGTACTATTTTGCATTTGAAATGTTTAGACTCCTGGAAACTTCCGGTGGACAGATAACTGGCCAGTAGTGTATACGAATTGGGGCGTCAACATGCCAAGTGGCGTCGGTGGTTGTGTCAAAGTCATGATGGACGGAACATGGATCGATGGGGATTGTTCTCAAACTCTACCAGTAGTCTGCAAGACAACAACAGGTATTCTACTTGTTATAACCTGCATTAGATATGTAAGCAAAAGACCCAAAGGGGAAAGCGTAAAAGAGTATTACAAAACTCAGCAAGAATGAAAATAACAGTCGTACGGAAAAAACTAATATCTTAAACTAAGATTTAACCAACAAAATAATAATGGCTGAAATCCACCCACACCATTCAGGAGTAAATTCTTAATGTAGAAATCTGTATTTCATTTCAGCAACACCTCCATATACCCCATCCCCAAATGAAGGTCAATGTAGGTCAAGATGGACAGCCTTTGGTAGTTCTTGCTATCTTTTTGGGCAAACCTTAAGTCTGCTTTATTCGGAGGCGGCATTTTCATGCTCAAGAAGTGGAGGAGATTTGTTATCTATCACCAGCGACGAGGAGAATCAGTTTGTGTACAATCATCTCACACATTCTGCTACTAGTCAATCCGTGTGGACTGGTCTCTTTAAATCCATTGACGGTATTTGTAACGTATTTATTCATATCTTGATATCATGAATCTCTTCCCAAACTTCTTGTTCATTCGTGGGTAATATTGAGAGTAAGATCACCTTTTTCGACTGATGTTTCCGTTTCAATTTCATTTTGTTACTCGCCTGTTGAGCATTCAGTGGTTTTAAAACAAAAAATACATAATATAGGCATATGATTCCATGCTAGGTAACTTCCAATGGCCCAATGGCGAAGCAGTGAGTTACACCAACTGGAATGATGGAGAGCCCTCTGGGACAGACGGTACAGCGGAGGAAAACTGCGTTGAAATATATGCAGGCAGTGGAAAATGGAACGATGTGTCGTGTGACGTACGAAGGGGATTTGTATGCAAAATGCCACAAAGTAAGTTTTGACCTTTTGACCAATCATCAAAATAGTGGACAACTATTGACAAAGAACAGCCTTTTCTTCGAACTTTTGTACTACCTTGTAAATTTCTCACATTGTTTCAGTTTATGACTCTACCCCAACAAGCACTACTGCTGTTAGCACCACTACTCGCAGGTCCACTCCTACGCCTACTAGTCGTGCTACTACTTCAACGGTACCTCCACGTGCGACTACAGTAAGAACAACATTGGGGAGGTTAACATCACCAACGACAACTATTGAAGAAGGCAGAACTGAAGGAGTTATAAGTAAGTTTGCTGAAGTATTAATATGAGTTCTATGATCTATTGTGGTTTTGGATTGTAGATGATGCGTGAGGGGGTGTTAGACGCTGTCTCTGTTCTTCGATAATTGTTTGGGACGACGGAGAATTGTTATTATTTTTTACCTTAGTTTCCACATATCCACAATAGTATAATGGCGTTTTGGCCAAGTGCCCACATAGACTATCGGATTCCTTGATCGATGTATGTTGAGGTTTTACTGGGTTGACGTATTTTTGTCTTGGGATTCCAAATGAATTTTAACATGTTAATGTAATAATATTTTGTACTGCTGTACTCTGGTCCTTTTGTTTGTATTTTTTTAGTTGAAGTTACAAAATAATTGCAAATTATGATTCATTATTTCAGCTGCTCCGTCTGGAATGCCTGGTGGAGAAGTTGCTGCAATCGTCATCGGAGTCATAGCAGCCATAGCGTTGGTCATCATGGCGGCATTCTTTATCAGAAACAAAATGATGAATCCATCAGTGAAAAAGACAATAGAGAACAGTTTTGATAACCCCATGTATACAACTAACACTGATAGTGTAACAGTCAAGACCAAAGACAGTCAAAATATATAAAATATAGCGCTATATGGATATGATATTGTGCCATCTCGTGCATAAAAGGGATAAAAATTTCATGATAGAGTAAATAGTTTTCTGTATAAATAAGTGCGAATCATTCGCAATATAAAACACTATTATATACATTTGTAATGTCCATTCGATTTGCAGCTTGCATACCTTTGCAATTTCTTATATCTTAGTCCTATGGTCATTCCACATTGAGCAAGCCATTTCAATTGAGTATTTCATTATTAAGGTTACATCACATACTAAAACCTCTCTGTCCCTGAGTTGAATTGAACCGTATTGCCAAGGTTATCAATCCCATTATCCGTTTCGTCATCACTTTTCTCAAGGATTATTGGTGGTTTATACACCAACCAACAGGCAAAGGCGAACACAGTACTTGCAAACTTAAAAATTGCTCCTATCATGAACATGTAAAGCGCCATTGCGTTTGGGTCATATCTTTCACAGGAACCGGATGAATTTTGTTGTGACCAAACATCGCATGACCCGTCCAAAGCTGCTCCTACTACAACAGGACCAGGTATTGTACCTTGAATAAAGCAACTTTGTTGAAATATCATAAATACTTTGGATGTAGAGATGAAGTAATAACAAATATCATGTGACAATTATAGATGAACAAACTTATGGTGGTTAATCACATTCAAACATTTTATTCTTCTATAGGAAGTCCTAGTCATACGAGAAACCCGAAATTATAAATTTACCTAAAAGTCGAAGGAGTATCCACTGCACACCTATACCAAAAGAACGTTGCACAGATGGGACAACTCTTAAACGAGAAAAACCAAATAATATTTTATATATTTAAGTAAACTCTTTCCAAAATAAAAATCCCGCCAGATTGGAGCTGATATCAATCGGATTCCGTTTCTCGAAGTACATATCTAAATGTGATGTCATACATTAGTATTAGTACCAAACGGTTTAGTAAACTCCCATCTAACTATTTGCCCGCACTCCTAACTCTTTTATTAGATAGGCTTTCAGACCCTTTCCGATTTAGAGTTGGATTTTGAGTGAGTGTGCTTGTTTACGTACACGTGCATAGATAGGCCTACGTGATTACTGCCAGACTATAATGTGGGATAAAATGATTTAAAATAAAATGAAAAAGTGATCATACCTTACTACAACCGTAGCATTTGTAGTTGACACAAAGAAAGTGAGGAACAAAATAGCAAACCAAAGTATGGCGAAGATCACCAGAAATGTTGTACAGTCTTCTGAACATATATCCGTAGTCGCATCATACGCGATATTTCCCGGGCTCTCGGATGTTATACAACTGCAGTTGAAATATAGCTGAAATCATGAAGAGACATCAGTTACAACTAGAAACACTGATTTGAAGAAACCCTTGACAAATCCTTTGCTAACGTTAACTAGAAGCGTTTTTATGCAAATGACACTCATTCACATGGGGAATCGGCATAAATATATCATGTAGACTATTCTAAATTTTTAATCATTAAGATCACATAAATGAATAAACGCAAGGAGCTCACGCGTCTCGAACTTACGACTTCATGGTTATGACGTCAGCGCCTCGATGAGCTTGTTCAAGACTTACACCAACCCCCAAAAAGATTGTTTCATCAGCCAATCTGACTCGAGGGAACAGGTATTAACGCTAACACACCAGAGGAAACATTCATACACACATTCACACACACAATAATAAGTGATGCCTGGGTCACATTTTCTGCGATTCATAGGCCGGTGCCCGGCCGATTAAGTAATGAATACAATTTTGAATAAAATACACAATTGGAGCAAATGTGACACTGGCATAACTTACTGTTGGGCCAAGCCCCTCTTTGTCATGGCAACCAGCGTGGCAAGCCGAGAAGTACAGAACACTGTCCCTGCCACATACCGGGTCGTAGAGGTAAGGACAGACGCAGTCAGAATTGCACGTGGCATTGTAGCCTCTAGTTGTTGTGCTGAAATGTATGTGCTTTTGATTAAAGAGGCCCTACACCATAAGAGAACACAATTAATACTCCGCTTTCAGTGATAATATTATGATTGTAGTGACATATCGAATTATTTTCGCAGAAATAACTAAATCTGATATCTGAATATACCGGGGAAACTTTAATTACTTTATAATGGCCCTCATTGATATATACAGAATATCACATCATTTTGAATGATATCATTTTTATCGCCGAGTTGATATTAAATATCAACACGAGTGAGCGAAGCGAATGAGTGTTGATATTTGATATCTACGAGGCGATAAAATGATATCACGAGAAATTATGTGATATTGGGTTTATTCCATGATTACAATCACCTTGTGATGGTCTGATCTAATTTCCAGGACACTGGTAGACCTATTTTCTCAAAAGAGAATAAATTATCTGACCTAATTTCCAACAATATTGTGGCGCGAAATGCAAATGTGATATCACACGGATATGCGTGAGATAAACGATATCACACGGATATGAGTTTGATAAACGATTTTCTGGAAAGTATCACACGGATTTCAATAATATCAGAAATATCAATAGCTGTTATTGTACAGATAACACATTAATCTTGGGATAAGATATGATTTGATTTTGATCAATTTCATCAATTTCTTTGTATGTGAGTATATTTACAATGAACATCCGATAGACAGTGTATACTTCTTTCACATTGGCAATTAGTGTTCGGACAAAATACCTCAGTCTAATACACAGAAAATTATTTGAAAAATCGTATTTCAAAATGTTTTATTCTATCCATTAATGACTTCTACTAAACTACTCAACTAAATGTTGCTAGAATTGAAATATGTATGCACATGTGGAAAATACCAAAGGGATATTAAAACAGAATATGAAAATGAAACATTAACGTAACGTGTAACCAGCCATAAGGAAAACAAAACCCCAAAATCCAAAACTACGATATAATATGTACACGATCATAAGACCATTTCATTGGTACTGAATAATTGTTCCTACCTGTTTACATAGTCCACTGTCAATCCCACCAAATCTGGACTTCCACAAACCAGAAAAAACAGAGGTGTAATAAGCAAAGACAGAAATGCACCAATTGCCTGCATTTTTAGAATGGTACAACAATTCATGCTGAATTTCTTTATGAGGTATCCACCTAATATAGTTCCGCCTGCAGCTCCTGGTATAGCAAGACCACCTTAAAAATTGTTTGTTATGAACAAAGTATATGACTGCCTAACTAAATATATATTGAAATAGTGTCATGGACCACAGTATGTACATTTATAACGAGACGTGGGCACGCTCATCTGGAAAGCTGTAGTGTAACAAACCAAATTTAGACATGAAAGGGAGTGTGCTAAATTCAATGCCCCGTGCGGGAATCGAACCCAGGACCTTCCGCTCCAAACTCTGACGCTACCGCTCGTGTCACAAGGGCTAGTCACTACAAAAACTGTAGTAGCGACTTTCTATTGAGGATCATAACACATAGGCCTATAACTCGTATCAGGAAATACATTTGGCTTACCAAAAATATATGATGATAAATCAGATGGCAGCGCATACTGGTTCTCGAGATATTTCGGTCCATAAACAGTGAATCCGGCAATGAGTAAAGACTCTGTGCATGTCAGGAGGCTACATAATACATACGCCCAGTTTTTAAGAAGCATAAATAAAGATTTAGGGAGGTCTGATAGCGTTGTACCAAACCCTGGCTCAATATGGGTTTCACTGTGTCTGTATGCCTCAGATACCCTTTTCGCTCGAATTTCAGCAGCACCTAGAATATGAGAAGACTGGCAACTGAATAACAAAATATAAACATATTTGTAAGTAAAGTACTGGGGAGGTTAAGCTACACGTTTTGCAAAGATCGTTAACGTGTAGAAACTCCCTGTGTTATCCCATATATTACTCGAATACCCAAGACTCATTGTTTATCCCTAACATAAATAGCTCTTTCATCATGTCGAGGCTGTATAATGGCTGTGCTTGGTATAATCCCAAATACCAAACCTCAGAGATTAAACAGTGTATGATTACGATTCTAAAAAGTGAACCAGATGCTTGCTTAACACAAGCCCCGGACAAAACACCATTTAAATTTCGATTGTTGCATCGCCATCATTATTTAACAGCATAAGTTATGAGCTATATGTACCAGTATCACTCGGTCCTAACTTCGACCGTTAATTTGAATTTTTGACCTACCAGATGCTTGAAAATCAAGGATTGCGAGTCTCATACTGCACCGTTTTTCTTCAAACGTATACCATATAAAGCAAAACAAAATTGTCCTTCTGTCGGTGCATTAAGCTATTTTATTGTTCTAGCAGCGTTTTGGTCCCCAGCTGTTAGAAGAGGCCTTCTTACAACTGGGGACCAAAATGCCGCTGGAAGTAGGGACTCTGTTTAAGAGAATAATATACCATCAGAAAGGGATTTTTGTTATGCTTTGAATGGAACAAGTTTGAAGAAAAACGGTGCAGTATGAGACTCGTAATCCTTGATTTTCAAACATCCGGTAGGTCAAAAATTCAAATTAACGGTCGAAGTTAGGACCGCGTGAGTATACGTAATGCTGGTATACAAACATTTGATGAATACAAATCAGCTGGACATAACATTATTACAATAGACTAGATACGAGTAGAAATAATCTTGATTTACGTCATTAAATATTCAAAATTCAGTCAAAGTGATGTCATCCCCATAGACCCCATGTTACAAAATCACAAAAAGTGAATTATCCTTTCTTGTATTAGAAAGATAACATTTTCTTTTACTGGACATATTTTAATTTGCATAACTATTAGATACATAAGGGTTATATGAAAATTGAACCACGCAAATAGATGTAATTTAAGTTAAAGGGAACTTTTTCTACTATACCCGCCATGCTATCTGACCCGAACGAGCCACCTGGTGGTGAACCTGGTAACTACCTACTCGCATCTGCGTTATTATAGAAAATGATTTACCTGGTATGTCTCTTGGGAAACCAAATAATGCAGTTGCTCCTGTCAATGTGAGAAAAGCTGTTACCAAGAAACCAGGCCACCAAGCTCCTAGAAATCTCTGGTCTTCCACTTGCACTGTTATCCTAAAGTGTTAGAACTCAATTATCACATAGATAATTTCACGGATGTGCAACAATTACCAATCATCGACATTTTGAAAGAAATGTATCACCTTCAATGGCTATGACCTTTTAATCATATCGTGTGTTTAGAGTAACGGTGAACTTGAAAAAGTGAACTTACTCATCTGCAGGTACCCTGTCAAAATCTATGTACTCAGCAAGTAGCACTCCCCCGACTATAAAGCCGATCGCTGGTCCAAGAACTCCAAAAGCATAAAACAGGGCTAAGAATCGAAGAAGTCATTTATTCTATACAATTTATACAAAATGTAGCGTTTTGCCTCTGCTACCAAGACGTGTATTTTCTTATTTTGAAGCATAAACTATAAAACAATAATTTTCATTCGCCGAATTGGATTAAATCCCAGGTTAGTGAATTCTCTTATTCTGTATTTATATCGCAAATAATACTACATATTTTAAACAATAAATTGAGGTCTATGAATAATTGAGGATATCTGACATCATCTTTACCAAGACAAAAGGCAAATGTGTCCCTGGGCACAATATCATCCAAATAGGTTATTCCCAGGGTAGGGAGAGGAGCATTCCCAAAGCCAATTAACACATTGGCACATATGAACATTATGAAATATAGTTTAAGTCCAGAAAAGGAACCATCATCTGAAAAATAAACGATCACAGGTAGCTTTTCTATACTATAGTATGACAACTAAGTGTTAGTTGGCACTGTGTATATATTTTTTATAATTATGTTTAGATGTGTAGTTGCAGAAGCAGCATGGGAGTATATCAATATCATATTGCAAATTGAGATCTGAATTAATTAAAACAATATACTGTTTTCATCAATGCAGTACCAATTTGAGATTTTCTTTAATTTAAAGCATTTTATCAAGCTATTGTTGATTCAATATGATTATATAGTATAAGTATGTGTCTTACCTCCTTTGGCATCAACCAATCCCGAAGTATTAAATGAACACGCTTCATCTCGTACACGACTAGCGTATGGATCGTATGGTTCTGTCAGAAAGTGAGGCAAAACAAACAGTATTGAACCTATTCCAGCAAGAGTTGATCCTGAGAAAAAGAACAATTATAAAAAATACAAGAAGACAAAGCAAGTACGTTCTAAATCAATGTACTGCATTAATTTAGCGTTTTACATATTTTGCAAAAATAAATCTCAAACCGATCGTAAATACGCTTATTAGGTGCAAAAGAGTATTAAAGAGATCGAGTCGTCCAGATTTCTATTCTGGACAATCAGTAATGTCCCAATATAATTGCTCACAAAACATCATCTATAATTAGATATATCTTGAGACCAAGCACGATATCGACAACATATTGAGGATATCAACAGGACAACCAAAATAACAACCAACTGTCAGAATTGAACGCAATGAGTCGAAAACAGAATACAATGTTTTTTGAGGATTTATCTATATTGTAACCCCTTAGAAGTAATAAATATGGCTTCTCTTAGCCAAAATAATCTGAAGGAAAAAGCCAATCAGACTGGAACAAATTTGAGCGGGCTTTTTAAATTTGAATTTGAATTTCTATTGATGTAAGCGGAAATTCATGGCTAGGAACAATCATCGAATTGATACTGTTAACGAATTAATTCAAGCCTCAGAATTGATATTAAGTTGATAAACAAACTTGTTTTACATCAAATAACACGAAAAAATCAGGTGGTTACTCCAATTGTGTTTTTAGGAGACCCGATCTCTTATAACGTGATCAAGGTTCGTAGTTAACCCCGTTTTTATTTATTTCTTTATTATACTTTTATAGCAATGGCACACTAAAATTAGGTGCATCCAGGTAAAACATTCATTAAAATAGTTACATCTATAGCTAAAAATTATGACTATAAATCTATTTTAAAAATGCTTTTGTCAAACCCAGTGATATTCATATCTAGTATTACTTTTAAACATGCGTATTAAGTATTTTCAACGCGTTATATTTTCTCAGTTAGGCAAAGTTGGATAGTATATTTTGTTGTTCCAACATCAAAAACACGATACGTAAACACCTATAATATTAAACGCTCTAAATAATATGGCTCCAAGTGTTAAATATTTTGTAAATCGTGATCAGCATTTTAATCGGCAATTTCTTTACAATACCGTATTCATGATTACTAACCATATCCTGACTTTTTAACATGGTTTTAGATGAACTATTTTGTTTGAATAGAAAGACAATTCTATTCCCGCATGAAATGTTGTATAAAATTATTTATAACCCCCGCCCTGTTTTTACGGTATTTTCAACAACACTAATAATGGATAATGGAGGAAAATAGCAAGATGTAACTATTTTTGTAGAATTTACTATATTTCAGTAACATATATCATGGGTCATATTCTGGGTAGTATCGTAGGGACTAAGTCGACAGAATCCCAGTGGTCTATTTATAGAAGATATCTTCTAATATACAAATAGGCAAATCACTACTGTAATCTTTCTCTGTCGACCTAGTCTTATGAGTTTCTTATACTCTAGTCGAAGTCTTGCATACAGTTCCTACGTTACTACCATCACAGTACACCAGCTTATAAAAAGAGGTGTGAAAATGATAAGAATCTGTCCGTACCTTTCTTGAACTATCACCTACCCCATTTGCCAGAGCCTTGTTATAAGATGAATTAAACAGGCAAAATCAAACAACTGGAAACGGTTAATGTCGCCCCTTTTTATCACAAGTATTACATACCGACTGCCATCCATCTTGTTCTATGACCAACTGCTCCCCAGTATGATACGATGATAAGTCCTGGCACTGATGCTATATCGTAAGATGCAGCTATCCAGGATGACCAAAAGCTTGATAATTCAAAACGTTTCTCTATTGTTGAAATTCCCGTTGATAAAAATCCATTGGATCCCATAGATATTGAAAGACCTACTACACAGTAGCATACCATATAACATACGACTCCAGTACATGGTTTTAAACATTCCGGTTCACAAGGACCATATCCACATTTTAGATTATCTTCTACATCGTCGCTCTGTTGTGGACTTGGATCAAACGATACTTGAGAAGACCTAACGTGGTCTTCTATTGTTTGTTGGACTCCACTTCTCAATGAATCAATTTTGAAATTGCTCTTCATTTCAGAATTTCCTTCCATGTTTTTGTCAGAATCATTCATGTTTAATTTGTAAGGATTTGACTTGTATATAAGTTTGCTTCCGATTGCTTAATCATACATTGCGTGCATATATTAAGGAACTCAAGTAAGTACCAGAGAGAAATATTATTAGTATTATACCTTTTAATGACAAGTGCAATGTATAATGCTTTTCATGATGTTTAAGAACCGATGGACATAATCACTAATAACGACACTCAGTCGAAATGTATTTTCTTATGTATGTATACGTTAACTTGAGCGTTCTGTTATTAAAGGCTATATATTATTTAAGCGATCGAACTAAACTCACTACAATACTTCAGTTTGTTTCCTTTCACCTTGGATTATTGTTTAGGATAGTTGGGGTTTGTTTTCCTTGGGCCAGTGTACACTTGGATGTTTTCTTCTTCGTGCTGCGTTCTGCAACAATTTTGGTCCTTTCCCTTTGGCACTACCTGAGTTTATTTAGTTTGGAACAAAAAAACTATGGGGAAACTATGGCTGGTTTTGATCCCTATTTCTCAACCATTAATGCCATTGCTAGCCTTGCCCAAGTCGGTCTCTTTTATATAATTCAAGATCAGATAAGTAAAAAATACCGACTTGGGCAAGGCTATGCCATTGCCGGGATTTACATAAAAATGTGTCAAGTGAGGTTGGTGCCAAACTGAAACAATTCTGACATCTCTAAGCATATCTGAAGTGCCAAACAAGAAACTTCAATGTGAATGACTTGTATTTTCCATATTCTTTAATACATAATTACATAATTTCCTCTTCAGAAATGATTGAGCTACCTTCGACCAATATCAAGAATATCTGAAGGCTATTGACAAAATACAAGCCTCATTCTTTGAACTTCATTCTGTATCACATTGTAGGTCCTAAAAATGTTTTCACTCGTAACCCAAACAAGCACAACTGTTGTTAGTGCGACTACCACTCACATGCATGTCCCCTTCAAACCTACAAGTTGTGATACAACTTTGTAGTTTTTGGATTGTAAATGATGGGTGAGTGGGTGTTAAAGGTACCCTTTTACTATTTACTATTTCTTTGTACTCTAAATTGCTGTTTGGGGTGTCCGAGATTTCTTATTATTTCAGACTTGTTCTTGTATTGTTCTTTCTATTCCATCTGTGTGTTTTTTATGTTCAATGTTCTCCTCTTTGCTTAATTATCTACAAACCCGTTTTGTATTATGCCACTCGGAACGCCAAGTGTCCATATAAACTATAATTTGATTTCATATGTTGATTTAACTGGGTTGGAGTATATTTGCTTCTAAAATCTAATATTTTTCATGTAGTTTTTCATCTAATATATAGTACTGTATTATTGATACAGTGACATCTTATTCATAAAATTATAAAATTTATTTCATGAAATGTGGTTTTCTTTATAAAATAATGCAAATTATTCGCAATATAAAACTAAAAATACTGACTCTATACTGGAACAAAATATACAGAGTACGTGTCGATTTAACTTCAACTGCATTTGCAACCATTTTTCAATTGAGTATTTTGTTTAATATTACATCACATACTAAAATCTGGCCCTAAAATCGTTCTATCCTTGAGTCTAATTGAACCGTATTGCCAAGGTTATCAATCCCATTATCCGTTTCGTCTTCACTTTTCTCAAGGCTTATTGGTGGTTTATACACCAACCAACAGGCAAAGGCGAACAAAGTACTTGCAAACTTAAAAATTGCTCCTATCATGAACATGTAAAGCGCCATTGCGTTTGGGTCATATCTTTCACAGGCACCAGATGAATTTTGTTGTGACCAAACATCGCATGACCCGTCCAACGCTGCTCCCATTACAATGGGCCCAGGTATTGTACCTGAAATAGAACAACAAATGTTGAAATACCATAGCGTATACATTCATTTTTATGTGTGAGACTTAAAACCAATTGCATTTTAATAACAATTGTTTGTAAACCAACCTACCAAGGTTAATCACATTAAAGTATTCTAAAAGATGGTAGTCATATGCGAAAAACGTTGCGAAAAAAATTCTAAAATTACCTAAAAGTCGAAGGAGTACCCACTGCAGACCTATACCGAAAGATCTTTGCATAGAAGGGACCACTCTGAAAAGAGAAAAACGAATATAACACCAGTAAACTGTTTCCATAACAAATCATACGAAATGCCACAAGAATAGAGACGATATCAATCATCATTCCGTATGCCCAAATGCATATCCAACGGCGATATCACAGTATCAAATCGACTGTTTTCCACCCCAGAATCTAAAATCATTAAGCAAACCTCGGCCAGATCCCATTGGTTCCAAGGCTGCATAAATATATTCGTATATTTACAAATATATTCACATATTTATTGAACCTACTACCTGAGACTAACATAGAATGTTATTATGTTTAATGTTTATGTTAGTCTCATCTACTACCAATGGGGACTGGATCTGGCTCGTGATCATTGTTTCATTTTTCGGGTTTTCTTTCACACGTTTTCCAATAGAGAGTATGGTAACCAAACTTCTTGAAGATGTGTGTTATTTACAGACAGCCATGAATATGTTTCTTAGCACTGTTTCTAGAATAACTATAAGAATTGACTATAACATGGGATAAAATATTTTCTAACATAAAATGGAAAAGCACCCATACCTTACTACAACCGTAGCATTAGTAGATGTCACAAAGAAAGTAAGGAACATAATAGCAAACCAAAGTATGGCGAAGATCACTAGAAATAGTGTACAGTCTTCTGAACAGATATCCGTAGTTGCATCATATCCGATATTTCCCGGGCTCTCGGATGTTATACAACTGCAGTTGAAATATAGCTGGAATGATGAAGGGACATCGTAACAGAAACATTGATTTTCTGGAATTAATTTCTTACGTTTTTTTATGCAAATGACACGAGATAAATTGATGTGAATACAGTCAGTATCATATTAGAAACCATGAACAGCACATAAACAACTTACTGTTGGATCAAGACCTTCTTTTGCCTGGCAGCCAGCATGGCAAGCCGAGAAGTACAAGACATTGTCCCTGCCACATACCGGGTCGTACAGGTAAGGACATGCGCAGTTAGAATTGCACGTGGCATTGTAGCCGGTAGTTGTTGTACTGAAATATATGTCATTTTAATAAAAATACATACACTTTTTCATCATAGCATCATAGGATAAAATGACATGTGTAATTGGAAACATTTGAAATGCAAATCCAGGTATAGATGGGGAATTGTTTTATTCATTTTAAAGATGTGCATGTAAAATGCATGGACACTTTAAACGTCAGTACTGGCCCACGACATGGACCATAATATGTAACCACAGCTGGGCAGTTATAGCAACTTGCTATGCAAACTCGTTACAATTCTATTCGTGATGTAATTATTTGAGAATTCTGTTCCTAATTTATATAATTCTGAAAATCATATCGGGAGGGATTTTCGTACCTGTTTGCATACTCCACCGTCAACCCAGCCAAATCTGGAGTTCCACACACCAGAAAAAACAGAGGTGTTATAAGCAAAGACAGAAATGCGCCAATTGCCTGCATTTTTATTATAGCACTGCAATTCATGCTGAATTTCTTTATGAGGTATCCACCTAATATAGTTCCGCCTGCAGCTCCTGGTATGGCGAGACCACCTAAAAAGAAATGTTTGATAACTTGTTGAAAGAGCGTCAACGTGACAAAACTGGACCAAACTAATTTGAAAGTGCAGGGAGGCGAATTTGTCCCCCTCAAAATATCACGTTTCTGAGGATATATATTCTGAACATTCAAATCGATTTAAGTTGAGTGTCCCTATATACTGACTGATATGGAAACGTTTCCAACTTACCAAAAATGTATGCTGATGTACTTGAAGGCAACGCGTACTGGTTCTCAAGATATTTTGGACCATACACGGTGAAACCGGCAATGAGTAAAGACTCTGTGCATGTCAGGAGAGTACACAAAACATACGCCCAGTTTTTCAGAAGCATGAATAGAGACTTGGGCAGGTCTGATAGTTTCGTGCCAAACCCTGGTTCAATATGGGTTTCACTATCTCCGTATGCCTCAGATACCCGTTTCGCTCGAATTTCGGCAGCGCCTGGAATACCAGCATATATTTTTTCAACATCAATAACTTAAAGTGTTGTATCTTAAAAAGTGAAGTTATAAACAAGTTACAAAAAGTTACTAACAAAATATATGTTAGAAGCTTGTGCAGGCATACAAACGTTTGACAATACCAACCACAGTATAAATAAGTAATAATGTACCGTAAACATGATTACAATCAAATAAAACGATTTACCTGGTATGTCTCTTGGGAAACCAAATAATGCAATTGCTCCGGTCAATATAAGAAAAGCTGTTGCCAAGAAACCAGGCCACCATGCTCCGAGATATCTCTGGTCTCCCACCTGCACTGTTATCCTACAATATACATGTATATGCACGTACGAACTCATGAATGTGCATCGATTACAAAATAGCTATGAATTACTAAAGGATTTAGCCCCGGACTCAATGCATTGTTGACTGAATCATTTAACGAAGTTAATTTAACGAAGTTGCATGACTGTTCAGCAGGAATCCAAAGTCTAGGAAACAATGCATGAGTGGAAAGAATCAGCAACAATGCATTGAGTCCGATTATCTTTATTTAAAAATTATTCCTATCGGTCTTTGCCTATGCAATGAGTGCTGGGCTTGAATTATTTTCACACATTGCAAAATGATGCTTTTAAGAAGGTTAAACAAGGTCGACATGAACATCAATTTCAAATAAATCAAGGTCCAAGGTGGCTGTTCCTATTGTGTTCATTCTCCTCTTCATTTAAAATCAACGTTCATGTCCTCAGAGTTAATATATTCCAATATTCTTTCAATTTGATCCTGCTTATTCTTAACGCTGTCAGTAAACCATTTTTATAACACCAAGTCCCCATTCCCCTTCCCTCGGTGATTTTTTTATTATTTGACTGATTCCAATAATTGTGGAATTGTCGTTAATCTCATTCAATAACCTCTTCAGAAAAACCTTGGATTTTTTTATCTGAATGAAACAAATCTATGGCCTTTTGATCAAACCGTGTGTTTAGAGTAACCGTGATCTTATGAAAGTGAACTTACTCATTTGCAGGTACCCTGTCAAAATCTATATACTCATCAAGTAGCACTCCCCCGAGTATATAGCCGATTGCTGGTCCAAGAACTCCAGAAGCATAAAACAGGGCTATGGATGGAATTATATAATTCTATATAAAGCGTTTTAAAAACCGATTGTTACTAATATATTACGTGTATTTCATGTTAAAATTTAAAAACGGTGTAATTTTATTCATGTGTTTGGATGCCATTGCTGGCTAGTACATTTATATCGCAAATAATATATACACATTTAAAACAGCAAATTGAGATTTATAAATTGAGGAAATCAACATCATATTCTTACCAAGACATAAGGCAAATGTGTCCCTGGGCACAATATCATCCAAATAGGTTATTCCCAGGGTAGGAATAGGGGAATTTCCAAAGCCAACTAACACATTGGCACATATGAACAATATGAAATATAGTTTAAGTCCAGAAAATGAACCATCATCTGAAAAATAAACGATCATAGGTATTAAAAGCTTTTCTACACTATAGCATGAGAACTAATATAAGTGTAATTAAAATGGGCAAACAACACAAATAAACTACAAGGGAACTAGATGTAACAACAGATACATTTTAGTGCATATTGGTGTGTTAGATCCCTGCTTGATGAAGGTGTCGAGGTAGCCATAGTCTATAAAGTAGAATCAACAGACATACACAGTCCTATCATACTGTTTTCATCAACGCAGTACACAGTACACGTTTTGAATTTTTAAAGCGCATTACTATAAGCTTAAGCTATAATTGACCCATAGTAGATGGATTAACTGCATTTAAGGGGGTCTGGACTTCAATCTATGATGCAAACGTTTCCTTTGACATGACAGTACCTTAGGACCATAGAATCAAATTTATCCAAAGACACACGCCAGATGGCGCTTTATATTGGAAATATTCAAATTTTTCAAAATGGCCGCCAAAAATACAACGGAGACAATATATTTTCTTCTATGCATGCTATAATGATACGATTGGTGCCTAAATATACATTTTGTGGGTGAAGAATCAATTTAGTATGGTGTGAGTCTTGAAAGTTAAGAACTTCCTCTTCATATCAAAAAATTATGCCTTTTTCAAAATGGCTGCCAGAGATGTAACAATGATGATATCTTCACTTGTATGCATGCTACAACAGTAAGATTGATGTCCAAGTATACATTAATGGGTGGTAGAATTCATTTGATAAGGTTTATAGTCTTTATTTTCCCAACGAAGAAAGTTCAGTGGGGATATAATGAAGTCCTCCGTTTGTCAGTCTGTCAGTTCATCGTCTGTCTTATGTATGATTTTGCAATTATTGTCAGATTCCTTCAAAGTCATATGGCCATATGTACTCAATTAAATTGAAGATGGCGTTAATTTTATGATTAATGGCTCAGAAAATTCAAAATGTCGCAGAGAAGGAGTTGGTTAGCTATTACTTACAAGATATGTCGTCAAGGTATGGTAACTTACATTATATTAAGTTAGATCTCAATTCTTTTATTGTCTAAATATAATTTTTACCATCGACTAAATGTCACCAAAATGTTGAAATCAGTGGAAATTGTACTGTATGTCTATTAATTAACAAACATTTTCACCTTTTATTGAAAATGTATGCCTTTTTTCAATGGCTGTGGAAAATATTACAAAGAATTATATCTAACAAGGGCTCTTAAACTTCTTCAAAAGTAGAATAGTTTGAAAGTGTTTTAAGTAATTGTTGATATAAAGTGATGCAACTTTTGATATGTTTTAATTGAGAAAGAAGATCATCTTTTTTTGCAAAATAAGCTTAACATTTTAAAAAAGTGCCAATGTGGGATCCTAATCCATGATTTTCCAGAAAGTTGGATTCATATTTAACAATCATGGGAACTTCACTTGGAATAAAACACATTGTTTTTATGGCCAGGAAGTACTTATGGTGAAAGACATATTGCCGTTTAAAATCTTAAAATCTTAATCTCTTAAATGTTCAAATGAGAAAATAAGAATATTTTTCTCAATATGACAATATTCAGTGCTGTATGTGTGTACATACATGTCTTTTTCAAAATGGTTGCCAATCAACAACAAGCTTAATTAATAGTTTGTTGGTTGGATTAGTGGAAGACTTGGTAAACAGAGACATCATCCATGATTTGGTCAGAGGAGAGGAAGAGGGTTCTGAAATACTGTCATAATATGCAGCCCTTGAAATCTATTCCGAACTTCAAAATTTTCTCTCGCCAGAAGGTTTCTGGCCCTTTCTAACTGTATGTCTGTTCTGCGTGGTCTCTATCTATCACATTTCTCTCTTATGTATGTTGCATTGCAACAACTAAAATTGCACTACCATTGCAGATGCATGTTTATTTCAAGTTATTAAAGAGACACTGGTGTTTCTGGTGAATTTGAGTAAAAAGAACATTGAAAGATAAATACACAGTTGCTGTGTTAAGGCGAAAACGATTATTTTTAAGGCTCATAATCCAATTTGCTAGATGGGAGTAGTAACAATCTTTATTTTTGTCATTAAAAATTCAAAATTCAGTCTAACTGATGTTAAATTTTGAATCTTAATGAAAAAATACTTCAAGAAATGTGGTTTTGAAATGAGTCCATCAACTTTAAAATTGATTTTTTTCGAAAATGTGACGTTTAGGTCAGGGAGATTCCCCATAGTCGCCATGTTGTAAAACACAAAAAGTGAAATATCTTTTCTTGTGTTGTGCAGATAATATTTTCTTTAACTGGAGATATTTTAATTTGTACAACTATCAGATACAAACGAGTAATATGAAATGTGAACCACTAGAAATTAAGAATATTCAAGTTTAAGGGAACTTTGTAATACCCTGCAATGTTATTTCACCCGAATTAACCACCTGGTGGGGAAAATGGTAACTACCCTTGCATCTGAGTAATTATATAGATTTTACATTCCCAAAATTGTAGATTTTGAAGCCAATTTTATGAAATATTATGCCCAGAAATAAAGAAACTTTTAGCAAAGATACAATTTTTGTTAGCAAAGATACAATCTTTGTTAGCAAAGGTACAATCTTTGTTAGCAAAGATACAATTTTTGTTATATTTTCAGCTGCATATATTTCCAATATAAAGTGAAAACTATAACCTCACACGGCTTAATAAAATTGATTCTCCTACCCCATGAATATAAAATCTTGACACCCAATCGTATCAGTGTATCATGCACTGATGTGAAGATATCATCATTGTTATATTTCTGGTGGCCATTTTTAAAAACGCAAAATTCTTATTATGAAAGACCTATTCAAATGGATTCTACAAACCGATATTAATGTATACTTTGACACCACTCTTATCATTGTAGCATGCTGAGAAGCGAAGATACCTTCTTTGTTATATTTCTGGCAGCCATTTTGAAAAATGCATATATTTTGAATATAAAGTGCAAGAGCTGAATTTACAAGACTCGAAACCTAATTAAATATATTCTACAACTACATTAATGTATTTTTTGACACCACTCCTATAATTGTAGCATGCACAGAAGCAAAACTATTGTCTCTGATGTATTTTTGGCGGCCATTTTGAAAAATGTGTATGTTTCCAATATAAAGCGCCATCTAGCTTGTGTCTTTGGATAAATTTGTTTCTATTGCCCCAAGGTATATCCATACCAAATGGGACATTTTGTAAGGTAAGATATCTTAATTTGTAGGTATTCGTAAGGCAAGATATCTTCTTTGTTATATTTCTGGCAGTCATTTTGAAAAGCGCGTATATATTGAATATAAAGTGGAAGTTCTTAATTTTCAAGACTCAAGATCTAATAAAATAGATTCTACGACAACATTGCTGTATTTTTGACACCAATCTTATAATTGTAGCATGCACAGAATTAAAGATATTGCCTCTGGTGAATTTTTGGCGGCCATTTTGAAAAATGTGTATATTTCCAATATAAAGCGCCATCTAGCTTGTGTCTTTGGATAAATTTATTTATATTGCCCTAGGGTACTTCCATGCCAAAGGGGACATTTGCATCATACAATGAAGTCCAAATGTAGTTAACCCATCTACTACCAGTGTACAATTATATATTACATGTATATGCGACTTACCTCCCGTGACATCGATCAATTCAGAAGTACCATTAAAAGAACACGCTTCATCTCGTACACGACTAGCATAAGGATCATATGGTTCTGTCAGAAAATGAGGCAAAACAAACAGTATTGAACCTATTCCAGCAAGAGTTGACCCTAAGAAATAAACGGATTATGAAAATAAAATACAAAAAATACAAAACGAGTGTTTAATTTTATGGAGGGTGGTCCAACCTACTTTGGGGACACTCTGTATTATGCAAATATAAATTTTAATACGCGCATATACAGTTTTGTTGTGGCTCATCATTGAAATAATTTGAATATATCTAAATGCATAAATAGTATGACCTCAAAAGCAAAGATTTTGTAAATAGTGATCTGCATTTTTGCCATTTTTATAGACCCCAACTTAAATTAACCATGTCAATGGCAAAAACATAACTATTCCTGTGCGAAGTTTTTGCCGAATTCTTTATTATTTCTCTGCCGACCTTAATCTTTTGAGTCTTTTTAATACTCATCGTCATGCAAACACCTCCTGATTTACCTATCCCTTCCAGTCCGACGTAAGATAATGAAATGTGAATGAAAATTAATGTACAGTACCACCCTGTAACTATTACACACACTGATTGTCAGAGCCTGGCAATAAGACAAAGTTCATTTAAAGGGCACTTATTACATACAGGTGTAGCACCCCAGGGGCAGTGCGCTCTTTAATTACTGATAGATGTTGGTAGCGTAGCGAATAAAATAGCACAACCTGACTCCCGGGGGCGTTACGGGTAATCCCCAGATGGCGCTCCCTCTCTGAAGCCGTCAAATGGGAAAAAGCGAACAGAATCATGAATTAATTTGAATTACAATAAGAATATAGTTTCTTTATTAACTAAAATTACATAATTTTGTTCGAAAATAATGATAAATCATGAGGATAAGTGTCAATTAAAACAGATCTAAGAGAATTACTGATGCGCTAATCAAATCTAAGGGGTGCAGATAAATGCGATGTCATGTTGCGACTTCTTAGCCGCTCTCAACCGCTCCTGGGGGAGAACTGGCAGCGCTGCTAGGTTGGATGATCGCTCCCAGTGCAGCTATCTTTCCTCTCGCTTGGCCGAGCAGGAGGGGTAGCGCAGAAAGGAAGCAACACACCAATGCCAGCCATGACTTGCGGAATGAAATCAATTAACATAAATTACATCGATCATTTTTCTTAAGAATATTTGAATGCTCAAGCCAGGACCTTACAGGTATATGAGAAGTTGAAATGAACTAATGATTTTTACATTTTGAAAATGACTTCACTTTAAAACATGAAATTTAGCATGAAATTACACAAATTGGGAAGAATTAAAAGATGACTAGCTTACCAAAACAATGATTTATCCAAATAATATCCAAATTATATCCAATTAATATGATTTAATCCATAAAATCAAGATAAAACAAAAGAATCAAAAAGCGCATCTTGTCCCTGCAAAATCCCAGCAGAAGAGACAGTTGGTTTGAACTGAGCATGGAACTAAAATTTCACTGGCATGAATCTATAAGCTAAAAATTATTACATGAAAAAACAAACTGAGAAATTCTATCAGGCTGCTACTGATAGATGTGAACTGTTAAAATATACAGGGCTTTACAATTAATGTACAAAATACAAGATAGCTATAGTTGATATCTGGGACAGGTCCAATTAATTGATAATATTTAAACATATTCCTTAATAGAATGAAATTATTACAAAGTGATTACAAATCTTATCTTTAATTGAAATAAAAGTAACGGCACAAAAATATTACAAATAGTTGGGTCGTTACACAGGGTACATACCGACTGCCATCCATCTTGTTCTATGACCAACTGCTCCCCAGTATGATACGATGATAAGTCCTGGCACTGATGCTATATCGTAAGATGCAGCGATCCATGATGACCAAGAGCTGGATAATTCAAATCGTTTCTCTATTGTTGAAATTCCTGTTGAAAGAAATCCATTGGAACACATAGATATAGAAAGACCTACTAAACAGTAGCATACCATATAACAGACGACTCCAGTACATGATTTAAAACAGTCTGGCTCACAAGGACCATATCCACATTTTAGATTGTCTGCTACATCGCCTTTTTGTTGTTGAGTTAGTGCAAAAGATACCTGAGAAGACTTAACGGGGTCTTCTTTTGATGATTGGTGTCCATTTCCCAATGAATCAGTTTTGAAACTGCTCTTCAATTCAGAACATCCTTCCTTGTTTTTGTCAGCATCATTTTCAATTTTAGCAACGTCTGGGCCACTGTTAAAATCGTATTCTCCTTTCTCAAGCATGTTTTATCGATGTCAATGTAAAGTATGAGCGTTCGCAAATGTCCGATTGTTTAATAATACATTGCGTGCTCTACATACCTAAGTAAGTATACTAATTACAAGTTTAATGCATATGTTTTGCATGATGTGTGATAACCGATGGACGATAATGACTAATAAAAATACACAAGCCGAAACGTATTTTTTTAAACTGTAAGCAGGTTAACTAGAGCGTTCTGATCAATATTATTGAAGGCTTGTATAATATATAAGAAGTTTATTTCGGTTTTACTTATTTAATTTAAGCGACCGAACTAACTCAACATTAATAAAGGAAATATTAAGCCCTGTGCTGTACAATATGTCGGTGCAAACATGGGTTTTCAAAAGCCCATGTCAAAATTAACATCATACAATTCAAACGGACAAAAACCAATACTTGAAAGGTTATTAAATGCTTCAAAGTACATCTTATCAAACGTTATTTGGTACCAAAAAAAGGAATTCGAAAGAGTATGGATTTCGAATAACATCCGGTGCAACAGATGAATTGTAATCTATAAGTTATTTTGTATTATACAGGGTGTCAAATAAGTCCCGTCCCCCCCCCCCCCTCTAGAGCCTAAACCAAGATAAATGGTACCAAGTGTGTTATATCATCAGAAAGGTCTTCCAAAGTTACGTTGATTGGCATTATATCTGACATATGTCAATTGGTCTCACAAATTTTTACATTGTATCAATTGAGGTGACCATAAGCCTAGAAACATGGCAATTTGGCGTATTTGGAAGGATTTTAAGAATCGGGTATAAGAAAAGGCAAAGGACCTAAAGATGACTACATATGTATATGGCAATGAATTTAACCAATTTCTGGATAGGGTTAGATGTGTAGAAAATGGAGGTGCAAGGAAAAATGGTGAAAACCTATTTGTAACAAGTGGAATGCGAAAAAGATTAACTTTTTGACGTATTTCTGAGGTTATATCCTTCTCATTTTGATGCAATAAAAGCTGCTTAAGGAGGGTACACTTACTATAAAGGACATCATGAAAATATAGGTGCATTTCATCCAAAATACTTGAGAGTTGGCGAGTTAACACAAATTTGGAGGATCTTTCCAATGGTATATCACACTATTAAAGTTTTAGCTGTAGCAGGGGGGACGGGACTAATTTGACACCCTGTACATGTGATTAAAATAATAAGTAATCGGATCAGTAGGGCCCGTTCATTATCCCTTGCATTCGTTCGACTTCGCTTCTTAAAAGAGTTTCTTCTTCATAACTAGACTCAAGGTACCCGTTCATGCCCTTATCACCGTACTACGGTAGTGTATCAATTTTCAAAATAATTAGCTTTGTTGTAGTTTGATGGCACACGTTTTGTAAGAAAACAAATTCTGTGAATATTATTAAAGATATAGATCTTAAAGGCAGAATCATACATACATGTAGTAAGTTATCTTCATTATCTTGACGAGATTTGTTTCAATTTTAGAATAGTTTGGGCTCATACCATTCTTTGTCATGTCTATTTATTCTTTAAAAATATCCAAAATGAATAAACATGAATTTATATAGATCTAGAATGATGTTATTTTACTTGTCATATTCTCTATTGAAATATTTCTAAAGAAATTATATACACAATGATTGAATCGGGGATAAACTACTTGGATGTCGACAATAAAAAGTACATGTCAATCGACGGTAAAATGTTTGCTAAATCATTTGTTGCATAATAAATATGCAATATTCAAAAATACATTTTCGTCTGCATGCGTGTTATCAACCTGACTGAAAACGAGGTCAAATGATGATGATACCACCCAGGACTAGCTGCGAATATCACTTTTTACATTATAGTTATTCAAGATGTATTGCATTCTTGACAAATCTTTAAGGTTGAACTATATTGTTTAAAAATTCATTTCAATGTGTGTATATCCGGGGATAGATGTCCATGATGAAATGGATATTAAGTAGATTTATTGATTTTACATTTTATTGCTTTAAGTTCATTTGCACGTCTGAATTCTCTTATTGTTTTCCTCATTTCTTTGCTAGTCATAGTAATCTGGTGTTGGTGTTAAAAGGCTTAGTTCTTTCGGAATATTACACGCATCTGGTGGAAATATTGTCAAAAGCACATCCATGACTTCTGATTTAAACAGGCCTCTTCCAGCGTCCATGACAGAATGAGGCACTTCACAATGACAAACGCCAGTGTTACCTTAAAGCAAACAAGTCATATTATAATGGCTAGAGGTCAAACGATTAAAAACGTTGATGATCAGATGCGTTGATCAAATTGCACCATTTACGCAATGAATTTAGTTTTACATTTTAATTGGAAAGTGTCATAAGAAAGACAAAGGCGAAATAAAGACCAGAAATCAGTTTGGTCGTTATACCCCTATTCGCTGGCTTGTTCACAATTTAAAGCTGAACTTATTGTGTACAAAACACATGTAGGCAATTCAATCCACTTTTTCTATTGATTCAAAAAATCAATGCCATGGTATCTTATTTGCTCCAAACCTACTGTACCGTTTCGTGTTGAATAACATGAAGACGGCGATCTTCAAAAGTTGATCAGTCATTGATTGCAAGTTACAACATTTTGTCAGTGAGGAAACATTTCGGGAAAACTCTTAAGAACTGGAAATCGGAGGTCAATATATTGAACTATACGCCAAAGATGTACTAGTTTTTGCACAAAAATTCAAAAACGAGCACAGTTTGTACTCACTGAGAAAAAAAGTTTCAAAAAATTTGAATCGGAGCGTAGCATGCGCAGTAATTCTTATTCCAAAAGTTCAAGTCCTTTAAGTTTCATTGCATTTTAATCTTGTAACAACAAAAGTAATTTCTTTCTTTTTTGGACAAATGTTTGTAAACAGGCTTCGAGATCAATTCATCATTAAGCACCATTATGCATTATGAGTCATTTTGGGTGATATGATCAATATGCACGGCTTACCAGAACACGTTGTTCTTGTGAGAGCAGTCCTGATCGAGGGCAGTGCATTGTAGTCATAAATCGTAAACATACTGTCGTTGTCAGTAGCGATACTTTTCAGTTCCTGCTCGTCCACATTACGCCCTACTCCTGTTCAAAATGATTAATGTATAATGGTTAAACATTGGGAAAGGCGTCCTTCATTGGACCAAAACTACAGTCATATTGGTATGATGTTACGTTGAAATCGAAATTCAATAACGTTTGGGTTTCAAAGCAGCAACTGTTCTTTGACAGTGGATATTAATGCTGGGTTTCAATGACTTAGCTTATACCATGGTCACATTTGCTGCAATTCATCGGCCGGCGCCCGGCCGATTGAGTATTTTGTTCAAAATTGATTACATTTCTGAACAAAATATTCAATCGGCCGGGCGCCGTAGTGAAAATCGGAGCAAATGTAAACAAGGCATTATGGCCTAGTCACATAGCCCGGCCGATGTCCGACATCGGTAGAGCTCGGTGGATTTTTTTGGTGCCATCGAGCTCTCCTCATCGGAAGCAGAGCTCGGTGACGTGAACGGACTCCGTCCGGACATCTTCAGGCGACCGATCGAACACCGGCCGGTGACCGTACGGAGTCTGTCTCAAAATGGTAGTTTTTTCTGCCGATGTGGCAGCAACTACCGGCCGGAGGTCGGCCGGACATCGGAAGGAATACGGCCGGTACCCGAGCAGGTAACAGGACACCGTGCGATCGCCGGCCGGGTTGTTAACGGGCTTTGAACAGTGACCAGCTCGGTCGGAGCTCGGCCACTGTCCGTTGAAAAACCTCGTCCTCTGGTTGTCTCAGATGCACGGGACACCGGCCGATACTCGGCCGTGCACCGACCGACGTGTTTTCCGATGTGGTTACGATGGGGCTGCGATGACATGATGAGGGAGCTCGGTGAGAGCCCGGTGAAATTTAACTCCGAAGTTAAAATTTCACCGAGCTACCACCGATGCGGTTTTAAGCAACAAACGCCACGGATGTCCGGCTGGTGTCCGGCCGGTGTTCGGCCGAGTTCGGTGAAAATTGCATCGCTGGCTCATCGTAACCTCATCGGCCGGGCTATGTGACTAGGCCATTACTTTATTTCTTATCCACTCACCTACTGCAAACATGTGTATTCCCTCTTTTTTAGCTCTCGATGCTTCAAGAGCTGTGAGCTTTGGATGGTTTGACTGCCCATCGGTTATAACGACGCCATACATTTCAGCCCCCGGTCGGGAAATCTTAAAAATAGATTTTTAAGAAAAATATAACTTTTGAATATAGAGCTCTGGGGATTACAGATTTTACGTAGTTTTATATGTGAAAGGGCGAAACTGGAGTATTCCTTTGAAATCATCTTAGAATAAGTTGAAATGTGATAATAATAAAAATGAAAAATAATATTTCATCAAATACTAGCTGAGGTACCACTCTCTTACCATTAGTTGTCGTCTCATTTCTTTTAGAGCTAAATCTGTTCTAGTTTTCCCCAACGTATATCTTATTTTTGATTCTAAAATCAAAAAGGCATTTTGATAAATATACACTGGACGGTTGTAAGCTAATAGATATTCGATCTTATTCGTTTTTTAAAACTATCAATACCATGGCATTGATTCACTGATTATACAAATTACAAGTGACACGCATCAATATTGGGGATGATAATATTGGGGATGATGGGGATGATATCTGCAGGTAATTGTAGAATAGGTAGAAATAACGAACCAACAACATGTCGGAACCTGACACTGAAGCCAAATTTTATACGACTTATACAGATAGTGTATTCAAATTTATTTAATGCGCACCTATAGCGTTTGCCATTTGTTCTCTTTCTGGATATGCCCCAAGATCAATGACGTCATACACATCATCGTTATATGGGACCACAGCAGCTCTTACGCCCTCTGGTGATAAAAACATTGTCCGTATAAGGCCTTGTAGAAACAGGGTCTGGGTTTTGAAATTCCATTTGCCCACACTTGCAGAACAGTCCAGAACGAATACAAACTCAATCTTGTTTCCTTTGCCTGTGTAAGTACAGTATACATGCATGATGCACATTTTAATTAGTGGGTTAGCTATTTAATAATAATATAGACTAAATATTGAGATTGCTCACTTTTATAATAGTGAGGACGAAGTTTCTCATATAGCCATTTGAAGAAGCAACACGGTTCAAACACCATTCCTTTTCATAAATCCATGTACTAAGAACTAATATTAACTATGTCTTATATCCTTTTTCATAATATAAAACAGGATAACCCCAATGGGACATCATTCGATATTTTGAGCATATCAAACAGAGTATAATATATTGCCATTTGTGATCTTTTGTCTCTGATTTGTTTATAAATACGTACCTTTAAATATTTTATTAAACGCTGCATTCAGTTGTTCCAAAGTGACATGCAGACCACATTTTTGGAAAAACAACATCATTTCCCGCCTGTTTAGTTTCCCACCAGTCTGTAACTCCTCGAATATCGCATCATATTCTTAAAAATGAAGCATAGCTTATGAGATACAAATATGTTTCAGAATTTAAGCACCGACGGGTCATGATGATTTGTGAGTGCCTTATGCACTAGGCGTTCATTTGCAGCTATATAAGTGGTCGGATTATATATCTAGTGCAGTCAGAATGTGGGTTTCGGCGTGCGTTCAGAGGGATTTTATGGGACATCATTTTTCATGTTAGTACTATGATTATACATATTTGTATGGATTATTAGATCTTAGTTTTTCAGCTTTTAGATTTTGTGGCCATTTTACCCCCCATGGGCTAAAATTTGGACCCCTACTATAAAATTGGGCAAGAACTCAAAAAATACTCAGTGGAATGTTTCTAAATTATTAAGTTATATTGGTATAGGCTAACTGAATATATGAAAAAAATTTCATGTCACATGGTTAAGTGGTTGCCATGGAAATGGATAAAACATGCCCTTCAGGTGTCAATTTTCAGGCCAATTTTTCAGGACTGACAGAGTCATTTCATGCATATTTTGTCACCAATGTGTTAGGAAGGGTTAAAATGTAAAGAGAAAACTTCTATAGTATATTAGCAACACTTGTATGTAAAGATCAGTCCACAAAACCTCAGATTTTGGCCTTGTATTGGTCCATGACTTATACAGGGGTCTATTTCATAGACTCGAGCTCCCACATTGGATGGATGCTATAACTTTTGAAATAATGGAGATACAGATCTCATTTTTTTAGATCTTCATAAATGGTTAGTTTTAAGTATTTTATTTTACTTTGGGAGCTGACATGTGATTGGTTGCCATGGTAACCAGGGTTCTAGGGAAATTCTGACCCCCACATTGGATGGATGCTATAACTTTTGAAATAAGGGAGATACATGTCTCATTATTTCAGATCTTAGACAATGATTGATTATAAATATTAAATTAGACTTTGGGAGCTGAAATTTGATTTGTTACCATGGTAACTAGAGTTTTATTGAAATTTAGACCTCCTCAATTGATAAATGCTTTAACGTTTGAATTTAAGCAGATACAGATATCATCATTTCAGATCTTAAAAATTAATGAGATTTGTGTATTGAATTAAACTTTGTAGCTTAGCATTTACTTGATTGTCATGGTAACCATGTTTCGTCGTCATGGTACCCTTTATTTTTTATTTCAGCCTTACCTTCATTTGAGAATGGTCAACATGTTATACCAAAATGCTCAAAATTATCATTTTGCTCTTAATTTCAGCAATTTATCCTGTATATCTGACAGTATAGCCTCATTCCATTCTACTAGTTCTCACACATATTCTGACTCCCAAATTGTTTTTACTCATCATTATCGTTTTCATCTTCCACAATTGCCTCTTAATTAAATATCAACAATTTCTATTGGAAAGAAGGATTCTTTAGACCATTCTTGTGTTAAGGATTTGTCAGGGAATTCACAGTTCATTCATGCAGTATTGGGCATAATGGTAGATCTGGGTTTAGGCTGGTGGGAATGTGTCCATACATAGGTTTGATAATTTACTTATCTTCAAATGTGAAAGAAAATGTCAACATCTTCATAAGTGAGGGCAGCACTGTTCTGTTTTGTTCTGTATCTCATGGGAAACAGCTCATCTCGTAATCTATCAGTGGCAGTTATTTTTCTATTTCTGCTGTATTTTTGCAGGTGAACAATTCAACTTTCGATTTTATGGTAGCGGGAATTCCTATATTGTTTCCTATTGAAGAAAACAACTTTAAGAATTGTTTGTTTTCCGTTTCAGTTGATCTACTTTTCCTTTGTTCAGAAAGGCACTGGAGGAATCTGATCCAGTAAACGCATTGAAGGCTAATACAGCTTCACACAGGACTTGGTCCTAGGTTTGCAGCTACAGGGGTTGAGCTTCTGACATCTAATGGGACAGAGTTCACATCAGTTGAGGTTCTTAAGGTTGTTTTCTTCATAATAGGAATCAATATAGAAATTCCTGACACAATATAATCCAAAGTTGAATTGTTCACCAGTAAAAGTACAGCAGAATTACAAAAATATATTTGTAACTTACATCAATAGATAACGATATGAGCTGTTTCATATAAGATATTCTCCAAAACAGAACAGTGCTACACTCACTTATGGAGGTGTTGACATTTCAACTCTTCCCATCTTTCAAGATTGGTCCTTTACTGCTTTCATAGCATCTAATATAATGCAATGAATTAAATGATGAACTCTTCCACCTTGTAATGATTGCTCATTATAAAATTTGAAGAGGACGGATGATAAAACTTATATTTGGAAGTGGAAACATTACCCCCTGTCTCCCAGGAGTTCACTGTATATAAACCTTGAGGGGATCCTCAGCTCAGGTGGTGTACTTTTGACATTTGATATGGCAATGGACCCAAATTTTAGGATCTGGTATGAGAATGCTCTCCAAATTATGACTTGAGAGGTATGGCAATGGTCAGATTTGGGAATGGTCGTGAAAAATATGTTGCCCCTCACTTGTTGTACATGTATGGCATTGATCTAGTATATCCTTAATGTGAGGTTGTTTTTGGTTGTTTTCCTCAATAATCTGCCTTCTTCTCGAGGCATTAGAAATTTTGAATGGCCATGTTTTCATATCTGGATATTTGGTATGGCACTGGTCCTATATTTGGGCATTTGGTATGGCTTTTGGGCATTATTTTGGTTGATATCGGAACACATTCAAATTTGACAGATTGGATGGGAACATATTGATATTTGAGGGTTCAGCCTAGGACCCCAGCCAAATCTTATATACAGTGAACCCACAGGGACCAGTCTTAACCCATTCTGCCAAGTCCAATACTGCATGAATGGACTATATCCCCTGAGGATCCTTATCTACAGAATGGTCAAAACAATCCTTCATTCCAACAGAAATTGATGTTAAGAGGAAATTGTGCTAAATGAAAACAGTAATGATGAGTACAAATGAACAAATTAGGAGTCAGAACTTTTTAAGAACTAGTAGTATGGAATAAGGCAATATTGTCAGACATACATGTATTGTTTACTAGAATTTGATATTTAATGAGCCAAACAATGTTTGCATCTCTAGTATTATTGAGTCATGAGCATGTAAATCATATAAAATAGAAAAAATCCCAAAATTAAGAATAAAATGGTAACTTTGAGCAATTTGGTATTTTATGTCATGTATTGACCTATCTAGAATAAAGGTGAATCTGAAAACGAAAACAGCAGTTACCATGACAATGAAACATGGTAACCATGGCAAACAAATAAATCATAGCTTCCAAAGTCTAATACAATACACACATATTATTATTATCTTATATCTGAAAAGATCTATATATCTTATCTGGCTGTATTTAAGAGTTATAGTGTTCATCAATTGTGGAGGTCTGAATTTCAACAAAACCCTGATTTCCATGGTAACCAATCAAATTTCAGCTCCCAAAGTCTAAATCAATACTTTAAATCAATCATTGTCAAAAATCTGAAAAAATGAGACATGAGTCTCCCTTATTTCAAAAGTTATAACATCGATCCAATGTGGGGGTCAGGATTTCCTTAAAACCCTGGTTACCATGGCAACCAATCATATACCAGCTCCAAACGTATATTAAAATACTTAAAACCAACCATTCATGAAGATCTGAAAAAATGAGACCTGTATCTCCCTTATTTCAAAAGTTATAGCATCCATCCAATGTGGGGGTCAGAATTTCCCTAAAACCCTGGTTACCATGGCAACCAATCACATGTCAGCTCCCAAAGTAAAATAAAATACTTAAAACTAACCATTTATGAAGATCTGAAAAAATGAGACCTGTATCTCCATTATTTCAAAAGTTATAGCATCCATCCAATGTGGGAGCTCGAGTCTATGAAATAGACCCCTGTATAAGTCATGGACCAATACAAGGCCAAAATCTGAGGTTTTGTGGACTGATCTTTACATACAAGTGTTGCTAATATACTATACAAGTTTTCTATTTACATTTTAACCCTTCCTAACACATTGGTGACAAAATATGCATGAAATGACTCTGTCAGTCCTGAAAAATTGGCCTGAAAATTGACACCTGAAGGGCATGTTTTATCCATTTCCATGGCAACCACTTAACCATGTGACATGAAATTTTTTTCATATATTCAGTTAGCCTATACCAATATAACTTAATAATTTGGAAACATTCCACTGAGTATTTTTTGAGTTCTTGCCCAATTTTATAGTAGGGGTCCAAATTTTAGCCCATGGGGGGTAAAATGGCCACAAAATCTAAAAGCTGAAAAACTAAGATCTAATAATTCATACAAATATGTATAATCATAGTAGTAACATGAAAAATTATGTCCCATAAAATCCCTCTGAACGCACGCCGAAACCCACATTCTGACTGCACTAATCACTTATACAAATAAGAACTGAAAAATTCCATTGAACACGAAATATTAGTAACACTTTTTACTCACCTCTTTTCTTATTCAAGAATTCTTGAATCTGCTTAAATTCAAAAGGTGTATCTGATACTTCTAGGCCATATCGCGTCTTTACTCGTCCAATCATATCCTTATATTCCTTCACGAATCTTCTCCATGACGAAGCATGTTGTAGTACAACCTTAAATGAAATACATCCTTTAGTTACAGTTCGTAATATCGCTTAATTTTGACAAACTGTTGAGGATTAATATTATACTCTTTGACGTAATCTAGAATGAAGAAAAATATGTTCTTCATCCCAAAGCATAATAAATGTTATTTACCTCAAATTATTGTTTCTCAAAATGCCTCTCGTGTTCAATTTATAGCTCACAGGTGAACAAATGTACCAAACTGGAAATCTCTCAGAAAAAGCAGCTTATGATGTATATATGGAATACCTGTCTTTTTAAAGACTTGATCGTATTTCTGACTGCAGTTCCTTTCAACCACTTCTGTATTGTAATTGTTGCCTTCTCTCTTCGATTTTTCTCTTCCATGTCTGCCTCGTACCGCCTAAGAATTTTTCATCAATTTTGAATTAATATACGCAAATAATTTCATCGCTCTCGGGAAGCCCCATACAAGTTGACCCGAAAATATAATTTCTTAATTTATAAATAGATGTGTACCCTTATATTTTCAAGTCTCATATTTCATTAAAGGGAGATTCTTGTTAATCAAGCAATGAAACATCCAAGAATGTGAACGATCCTATCTTAGTGTTCGCAAATTAATAGTTCGAAAAATGATGACGATGATTGAAATGATGATGTAAATATAAAACCGCAACGAGGTATTTGTAGGTTTCTTTGAAAAAGTAAAAAATACAGGGTGTTCAGGAAATAAAGATAATTATGTCACAACTTTTTATTTATTCATGGATTTCAATAAAATTTGCAGGGATTATAGATTCAACATATTTAAACTTACTTTTGGAGTTTCAGCTTCAAGCGATTTGATTTGTCATTTCTGTGGTTGGCATAGCAACGCGAGTAGCGCTACAGGCGGGGCACATGGAAAAACATCTCATATTGAATTTTTCAAAACAGAAAAACACGTATAAATAGTAAGGCATGTAGGTCCGATTCCCCGTGGTAGCATTAACATTGGTCTGGTATAAGTCATAAAATTAATATTTGAAACCCAACTATTATTCGAACTTATGATCGGACATAAGTATGATGTGTACGTCAATGTGATATCAATAAAGTAACATCATACTTATGTCCGATCATCAGTTCAAATGATAGTTGTATTTCAAATATTAATTGTATGACATGTACGAGACCAATGTTAATGCTACCAGAGGGAATCTGACCTGCAGACCTTACTATTTATGCATGTTTATCTGTTTTTAAAAGTTCGATATGGGATGTATATTTCTTAATTTTTCAAAGAAATCTACTTAATAATTCATTACGATTTATCTTTACATCGTAATTTCGATCACCGCCATCACTTTTCGAACGGGTTACGTTGAAATATCAAGACTTTATGCTATTCTCATACTTATAGAACTCAATAATTATATTATTGAAAAATTATTCTGCAAAATAAAGTCGAGCGTTGTTTAGGAAGTCTTCTTTAGAATGTCATCACACAGTCGTGTACAGGGTGGTCAATAAACGGCAACCCCTCCGCTATTTTCCTCACATCTTTGTTATTATAAAATTTGAATTACTCCCTGATATTTAGGACATTTGTACGGTAATTAGTTTCCTACCATCCTACCATATTCAATCAGATTGATAGTCACAATGTTACAGCACTTTAAACAACCTAATATACCCAAGTGGCCACTATTGCACTGTATAGGCAAACCTGCATGTGTCGTTCAAAATGTCCATACCTGACTTTCACCTCTAGGGATGTGCCAAAGATAGAGTGCACAAGTATGACCTCGGGACAATTACAGATCTTAAAAAGACGATAATCCATGTCATTCTGGCCTTACATGTACTTGCTGAAGAATGCAGTCAGGTCTTTGACAACTTGTGCAGGTGTGCCTACAGCGCGATGATGGCACACCTTGGGCATGTTGTTCAAGATGCTGTAACCTTGTGACAATATCGGCCTGATGGTCATGGAATGCTGTAGGCTGTTGGGAAATGAAATGATTCACAAATGTGCAAAATATCAGGGAGTTATTAATACCCTAAATTGATAAAGATACCCTAAGATGGTAAAAAGAAAATGCAGGGTAATCTTTTTTGAACATCCTGTATTTTGTCGGTCTATTTTTATTTGATTAATTTGTTTATTAAGAATACTATCCTGTAACATGATCAAATAATGCCAGCAATACTTACAGCACTAAATCTTTGTATTTCTCTTCAAGTAGTGGAGTTTGCCCTTTCGGTTGTACCCTTTGGATTTCACTTAAAGTCAAACAACGGTGTAAATAAATAATACGAATAATAAACATGATGATCGATTAATGTTTTACTAACTTTTATATAAATTGTCTTCTCTTAAATAGTATTTTTCCATCTAACTTATGCAATTTGCAATTCTATGCCTTTTAACATGCACCTTTTCCTCAACCTCTTCATTAGATTTTGATTCTCTTTTTGTTTTTCGAACATCCATATTTTCAATTCATTCTCCCAAATATATGGCTTTTCATCAACTTTTGGTTTTGGCTTGTTTGCTTTCTTTCTGAAAAGAAAATGACATTAATATTGGCGTCATTGGGCTTAGAATATTATATTGGGTGTCCCAAAATTGAGCCACTTTTGACAAGTATTATCTCGGTAACCGATAAACCAAATTCACCGAAGAATTGTAGCCCAACAGGTAGCATGTAGCAAGGTATAAACATATGAAAACGATCATGTAAATGTTGTGTGAGTACTAGGAAATTCAAGATAGCATGTCATTATAGCCCATACCGGAGCAACGCAATGAGAATTCAATAACGTTTTTACCAAAAAATTAGAAGCAATTTGACAAGTAATTTCTCAGCAATAGTTAAGCCAAATTCTACAGTATACCTGGGGTACTTTAGGGTATCATCTGCTAGTGCCATGAATATGTAAGAGATTGGTCTCAAATTATGTGACTGTGTATTTTAGAATTAAAGGCAGTATGTCAAAATAACCAATATCAATACTTATTAATCCATTTCCATGCAAAAATACTTTTCCGTGTGTATTCTAACAATATCACCTCCAATTAATTTGAGAATGTATTGGCTTTTGGATATTTGCTGGGATGAATGAAAAGAATTAATCAGACATCACTTGGCTCCCATCAAACGCAGTGAAGAACGAGCATGCGAAGATGATAGCTGGTACAAACACTATATAGAAGTCTCATATCAGTGCTCTGGTATGGGAATTTTTATAGTTTTACAACTTGCTAATAATACTCCTAGGCTACTTTGTACAAATTCAGTGAATTTTGTTTATCAGTTGCCGAGATAATACTTATCAAAAAGTGGCTCATTTTTAGGACACCTGATATATCTATTCGCCGTGGCGTGATTGTGTTTAGAATATTACATGTATAATGTATCCATTCACCAATGTTAATGGCGTAAGGGGTTTAATGATTTAAGCCTTGGACTCCGTGCAATGTGTGCTAAATCATTCCATTGAAGGTGTTGTTTCCAAATCTTTAGTTTAGTCTATGTTTATGTTTTCTAAAAAATCACCAAAAATATTCAAATTCACACACCTTGCCTCTTTGTGTGAATTTAGAATATAACACGTATGTATCCATTCGCCAATGTTGATGGCGTAATGAGCTTAAGAATATAACACGTATGTATTCATTCGCCACTAATGTTGATGGCGTAATGAGCTTAAGAATATAACACGTAGTATTCATTCGCCACTAATGTTGATGGCGTAATGAGCTTAAGAATATAACACGTATGTATTCATTCGCCACTAATGTTGATGGCGTAATGAGCTTAAGAATATAACACGTATGTATTCATTCGCCACTAATGTTGATGGCGTAATGAGCTTAAGAATATAACACGTATGTATTCATTCGCCAATGTTAATGGCGTAATGAGGCGTGTTTTGTCATTATCGAACATCGATTGACAAGACATGATCTGACGGACTGATTGACGACAGCACCGTGAAGAATTTTAAACCGTTTATTTGTCTGTTTATTTTGACAATATTTATTGTTTCAATATTAAAGTTAGCCTTGCCCAAGTCGGTATTTTTTTACTAATCTGATCTTGAATTATTACCGGCGGTCATAATAGAAATCAAAGTAAAAGAGACTGACTTGGGCAAGGCTATATTAAAGTGAGATATCAATTATGTGCATTCAGAATTAATAATTGTTCGAAGACATTTTGGAGGCTCGGTTCAATAGCATATCAGGGTTAATTAGAAAATGTTATGTCGGTTGCAATGATAATGGTAATCAATGGCAAATATTGTAAAATTGTGCAACAATTGTTTTCATTAATAATCAAATAATGATTGTATTATATTCCGGGTGACACAAAAAATAACACCCACCCACATAATGTTTCATAACTTTTTTTTCTGAAAAAATTCTGACTTCTTATTTCGCACATCAAAACTACAGTCCATTTTGCAGTTCAACAAGTTTCAGATGACCAACTCACTTAGATATGCACATTTATGAGCGTTACAAAATGTGTCGTCTATTCCTTTGGTGGCACAACTGGATCTTACACAAAAATGGCACCCACATTTTGTAACATAATTTTGGAAATAAGTTATAATGATTTTGTCAACGACAACTAGTGTTTACTTGAATGGACTTCATTTTCCTGAAAGTACAAGACTTAGTCATTAGTCTTTACAAAGTTATGCTACAAAAGCTGGGTGGCATTATTGTGCAGAATCGATTTGTATCTGCAAAGGAATACAGTAGATGGCATTTAGAGCAAATGTTATAACGCTTATAAAATTTGACCCACTTGGGCTACACATCGGAAATTTTTGGAGGTGCTATCGTATTATGTCTTCTTTAGATGTGCTAAAGGACACGCCTACGTGTTAATAGACAAACAAGTAATGCAATATAAGGTTGGGGTCATTTTTTGTGTCACCCTGTAGTACTTATACACTTGATTTTTGTCTTTATATACATGTAACATATATGAACTGTGGTAAATTACGTAAATGATGTTTACTGATTTGAAAATATATATTTCAAACTTCAACGTGGTAGTTTACGTAATATAAACTCTTTATCGTAGATTGTCACAGTTATATCCAGGAGGCTTAATATATAAACTTGTATATTGCAAATACGGAGTTGGGATTAATATTCATAAGACTTCCTCTCCATTGGTACACAGTTTCTTACCTTGCGACGTATCGAATGCCCAATTTATGATTGAACACATACTTTGTAGGACTCAATTCCATCCACTGGTCAAATGGTCGATCCTTTTCATAAAACACACCCTCAAAGTCTAAAAGAAATACAAATCTATTGAAATTCTTAATAGGCTTTCGTATTACGTTTCACAGAAATGAATAACTTCACACTGCATAGTCTAAACCAAACATGCCTAGAAAATATATCAATTTTTGTCAACAGTTCACATAAGATAATATAAAAACCATGCTAGAGTGTTCCACAGAGTTACCGCATTTCCCGAAAAGTCTTTAGTATTGACTTTGTTTTTCCCCTAAAAGGGGAAAATGATTGCCTAAATTAGAACTTTTAATGAAGACCGGGTAAAATCGAACTCCCTACGTAGGTATGGACCACAGTATATTTAAAATAAAAGCACCCACAAACTCAACCTGCTATTTGCACAAAAAACTTGATGGCTCGGGTTAGATGAAAATGGTAGAATGGATGCCTGCCAAATAAGTACCAGTAGGCGAGACATGTATAGAACATGTCTGCATGAGAGTTAAAAGTCAGATCCAGTCAATCTCAAAATACACATTTATTTGCAATTAATTTCAAATCTTTGCAAATATTACAATCAATTTCCAAAAAGTCATCATCTATATAATGTAAATATAATGCTAATGTGTGACAAGGCTTTTTTGTTATTTGTGTTAAAATTATAAAATAAAGTGTTGGCAAAAGCTAACAAATTGCAGCATACCCTGAAAAATAAGTATATTTTGTATATAATCAGTGAAGGTATTACTCCATTTCAATTACATACTCGTTTCGACAGTCTATTCATTAATTTGTTAACTAATTGTATTTAAAGAGGTAAGTTATTCCTCGATGATGGTGAGAGGGTTAAATAGTGTTTGTTTGTGCGCTGGATCATAGTTAGGGTGTTTGGGATTTGTTGTCATTACAACTGATTGTGTTTACTTTCTAATACTCGTTTGGTCTTTTGTGAAAAGTTCAGTCAGTACTTACCCTTTTTTCTTTTCATCTTGGTCGGATGCAGGAATGCTGATATTTCAGAACATTGACTCCGGGTTGCTTGGCTCGCTCTTGAATTGAGACTCTTGAATGTTAATGAAAATATGTATTAGCGTTTCTGTTCATGATAGTACTTGATTTCAAAATAAACGCAGATCAGTGGTCACACATGTATTTGAATAAAACTTCCAGACAAGAATTGACATTTCGACTTGTCCATTTTAAAAGTGATTACTCCATTTTTTAACTCCATTAAGTGATTGTATCCATCACAAACAGACACTTTTTTGGCGAAAATACCTAGTTTGATATCGCCGTGTCTTCCAGGACAGGGCAAAAAAAGAAAAAGCATCTAACAAAAAATATGTTTGCTTACTACTTTTGAAAAGCATTCTCCCAAATCAGCAGAGGACATCGGACTCGGGGTACTCCTTGATCTTCTAGATGTCGACCTCGTAGATCCATTCATCGAGGGAGACATGCCCTTTCTGCTTGACTTTAGCGTTCGATACGATGTTGCTGATGATGTTGGACGACTTCTACTTGACGATGGAATAGAACTTTGCCTCGAGTAGCTCTGGAATGATTCCGAACCCCAACTATTGCTAAGTGAAAGGCGATTGATATCAGGCAATTCTTTATTCGTATGTTTTTGTCTGATAGAGGTTACCATCTTCTTATCATTTTCGAGCAGAGTCAAATCATTCATGTTTGTCGATGCGTTGTGTAAATATTCCTCACTTGCAGTAGCACGTTCCATTTCTCTTACTCCCACCTCATCTTTCGAGCGAGGAGTTATAATCATATTTTTGCTCTTGATATATGCTTCTTTCTTCATTGTTTCTCTTCTCCCCATTTCGTTTTAAGTTATATCCGATTTAATTAAAATTAAGAAATTCATCAAATTGCACGAATGAAATCTTGAGATCAGTAATACGGAACCTCTCTCACTTTGTTTCTTGAATAGTATGCTTGTTCATGAATTCAAAACATATGACGCCTGATCTCCGAGACAGACAAATTAATATATAAAGGATATAGTATTTATCTCCATAATACATTTCCAATTAATTCTAAATTATTTATGATGGCACTATAAAGTTCGAGTGGGTACAGTATTCCTTGCAGGCGAAACAAATACCTAGCATCGCACAGGAAACAGTGAATATAGACGTCAATATACAAATACCAACTGCCAATGAGGCCAAACTTGCAAATTATATATAGCAATGCGAGAAGATCAGAGTAATCAATAATTCATCAAAAATCATTAAATTATTAGACACATACTGGGAAAGTGTTGAGACATTGAATACTCCAACATACAATTCAGAAAACGGTTTTTAAATTTTGATTATTGCGGCTTCATTTGATTGCCTGTAAAACAGATGTGAAATAATATCAGGAACATGAACGGACATTTTGGTACATTTTAAACGTACATTGGTAAAAAAAAAACTTTTCAAACTTAATATGATTCACCGAAGGACGTGTTATCAGTTCGTCCTGAGTATAAAATGAGCCAGCCAAAGAAAGTATTCGGATATTGTGCGGTTGTTTTGTCCATTTTTTAAATAAGTTGATGCTAAAACTCGTAGGTATGTCACAGTGTCTGTAATAACTTGTCAATATTATGTCAGAGAAAACATTAAAGATCATTTCCTTTGTACATTATTAAATTGCATGAGTATATCAATTATATAGGTATGCGAAATGAATATGTTGCCAATGTAGTTTTACTATTACTGAGTTATGAAGCTTTATTACCCCAAAAATATTGATCAAGGGTGCGTGTCAGTGTACTATACATGTATACCTGTAATTATTGAGTTATTATATAACTTTTGTTATATTCATTCCACTCAGTGTTAAAATAGGCTGTTACATTGTAGATATAAAGACATGCAATCGAGAGTTAATATTAAATCGTTTTTAATATATTATTAAGCGACATCTCATGATCGCTACAAAATATTAGTGTGAACTTTAAAAGTAATTGTCTTTATATTCACCCTAGATCCAGGGAACCATTAGGAAAGGTGATTTCTCGAAAGTATTCACACTTAGAGCTAGCTATAATTTATAAACATTTTTAAGAGAAGTTGGTTTTGGCGGAAAATTGCTTATAACTACTAATCACCCCAATACGATATCTAATGATCTGGATCTCAAGAATAAGATATAGCAAGAGCCGTTCGGAGGGCATTATGATATACGTACTGGTGAATAAAACCATGGAATATTTTTGATATTGATAAAATATATTTTTGTCCCGCCCAATCGCGCTCATTAAAATCGTATTCACCTCCCAATCCTGCTCACGAAAATGGTATTCACCTCCCGGGAATTTTTGTCAAACAAAGCTTTCTAATTTGTTCAGTTGGATCGATATGATGTTGTATTGTGAGAAACGATATTTTCGAAACAAAGTTGAAGATAGAGATTTTGAAACATAAAAAGTATGTTCAAAGCTATGTAAGCCTATTAAACTTAAACATAGGAGGCAAAATGTAATTTCAAAATGCCATAAACTAAGTGATATTTTGTAGACTAAATATATAGTTTTGTTTCATACAAAAATAAGGTATGTATTTTGAACTAATAAATTCATGAAGAGAGTCATGAATATCAAGTCATTTACTGGTCGGGATTAAATACGTGTTTATTCCTCGTAACAATTGATATTTCCCTCTTGCTCTCTAGGTCCTCAGGAAATATCATATTGTCCCTCGGAATAAAACCCATATTGAACCCAGCCCATAAACCCATAAACCTCTGTTTATGAGACAGGAAATGGCAATATTACATCAATATTCTCAAAGAAGGCTCTCTTCTTTTTTATTGAACAATACCAGTATTTAGTAGGACTCGCCTTTTGATCGATATTATACTGAACACTGCTACTCAAACGTTATGGAATATTCTATGTTTTAGAATGTTTTAAACTCAATAATTTGCATTGCATCCCATTTATAGCCCAGTTGAGATACTTAGGATTGTATTGGGTAATATTTCACCCACGTGAAACCCAACTTTATTTTGATAAGATTAATTTTGAATCCGAGACCTGCCCCGAACACAGCCGTAGATGGCGTATTGACTAGTTTGAGGCTGCGTAATGACTAGCTTGACTACTGTATAGTTCAATGAGGCTTCACAAAACTCAATATATCTTGTAAAGGACAAGGGCTAATTAAGATTTCCTCTGGATTTTAAGATATACGTTTTATATTCAGTTTATAGGGGTCAACTGTCTGCATGGTTGAGTCATTGTTAGTTTATTTCCACACCACAGAGATGTTTTCGTATGTAGAATCTGTGTATATCTGCATTGGAGACAATGCAGGGCTTGGTAATAGCATTTGTCGGCAAATCATTTTGATTTACATGTATAAAAATTACATACAAGAACAAACGTTGACACTTAGTTAGTTTTGTGTGACTAACTCTATAATAGATGTCACTATCATTCACAGCAATCCTGAGTTGAAATAAGGGTACTGTTTGGTGTAAAGTGAAAATCAATTTGTGATGGTCCCTGCTCATGCGCCTGTCTATTTAGTATAAAGTAAAACAAACTTCCGGATAATTACAAAGGCACAAATGCTATCTTTCAATATAGGGAAGTCTCGGGGATTGTTTATATCATATCATGTATAGTATACACACACGGATGTTGTAGAGGAATAATATGCATAATCAAAAGGTAAGAAACGTTAACACAGTGTGATACACATATTTTAAGTAAGTTAAATCCATTGGAATTAAGATGACTTGAATATTGGGGACTTCATCAAACTATTAGGTTAGGTTAAGATCCTAGTGCTTCTCAGAGGTTAAATAGCTTAAAGACAGAGCCTCCACTATAAAAGCAGCTTGACCAGTAAATATGGAGTCATTCTAAATTTGAAAATATTAGGAATATGAAAAATTCTAATCAAGAGGAATAATTTTGATTTTCTGTTAGTTGTAGCCAACAGATCACCATAAAAATTGTCACAGATGTTTATAAATACATTCTCCTTGAAATCTATTAATCAATTATTGCAATTATGCATTACTTTTTTATAAATCCTTATTTGAAAATTTGTAATTTTTTTAATTAAGAGGAGTGGCCTAATTCAAATTACAACCAATGAGGTGAGGTATTCAGGGTCACATGATGTAAAGTTTGTTTGTAAATCTTTCAAAAGCACATGTTATAAGTACCATTTCAATAAAACATAATTCATACTACTGTTAATCATAAGAAATGTGTCATTTACTTACCTACATATGGTATATTAAAGATACGACTCCAAAGGCATTATATAATTACAAAATCCAATGTATTTGCTTGATGTAAAAATCTTCAAGATAACTGTATACTGTTCCAAAGACTTGAGATTACTACAATGTACTTGGCCATGGTTCACTTGGCTAACATTGATATAAGAAACTCATTTTCTAGAGTTTGATGATTTTACAAAAGTTTCTTTTTGCTCAAACTTGCTTTTACGAGTACTTTCGGCAAGTCAGTGTGAAGATAGCTCTGTCTTTAATTTATTGTTTCATATCCTGTTAGTTCAATCTTGAACATCATCACTCTATTTTTCTGATGGTTGAGACATGTTCACTGTATAATGACTGTGCAAGAATGAGGTCTCCTGAACAACACAAGGACAAATTCACTATTTTTGATGTTCCATTTGTCCAAAAACCTGTTTACAAAGGGTTTTTACCTTAGAGAAACTTTATAAGAATGGGTCTCATATGGAACAACCCTAGGAAATGGGACAATTCATTATCTCTTACCTTTTGCATATGGTTACATAGATATAAAAGATCATCAATTTCAAATTTGGAGACACCCTGGTACAACATGGTAATAGAGGTTGAAGAGTGCAGAATTATTGCATAAATGAAGGGCATGACTTAGTGCAACCCTTTGTGGTAGGTAGGGACCAGATGAAAGAACCAATACAAGTTTTCAATTTGTACAGAATTTCCCATACATTTCAAGCTTTTGTGCTGGTATCTACATTTAATTCTTGAAATGACCCCAAAAGCAATTGCTTTATGATATATATCAAATTTAGATGTTAGGGATTATTAGAACATGAATCAATTTACCTAAAGGAGACCTACATTTACTTTACATATATTAACTGGAAAATCTATGTAGCAAGCATAACAAAATGTATGAAGACTCTTGGTTAAAAAAATGTTGGTCAATTGCTATCATTCAGTTCATGTTCACTGACTGTAAAGTATGAAATTATAACATGTGCTTTTGTTATGTTTATAAACATAAATATTATCCCATAAAGCATCACTATTAGCTGATTGGATAAGGATTTGATTGACAAGCCTAATGGATGTGACTTGCCTTATAAGGTCTAATGAGCAACCAGGTGGTTCAGAAAGTCTGTCTTTAAATCGGAGCTATGTATTTAAAGATATTATATAATAATGATTCCTTTGGGACGGGTTACGGGGTTACAAACATATTTTGCTAATTAACATGAATTAACTAACATAAGTATTGAGTTTCAGTTATTGTTTTGGTCTAACATCTTAATACTTTGTATTAGCCTATGTTTATCAACTTTGAGTTGAGATGCAGTCAGTTTACTCAATTAGCTAAATTGGTACACAAACTGATCATACATGTGTTTCTCTAGGTTACCAGAGTGCCAGTCTGACGAAACATAAGAAAGAGAAGTAGCACAAATAATCTGATATAAGGAGACAGGCTTCAGAGGTTGGATTCAGTGGATGAATATTCATATTGACTAAATAACGTCGGGACTTTTGGTAAAAAAAGCTGCGTACCTAAACATGGATGTTTCAGTACTGTATTGTGTTTTTATGACGGGGGTTGTGGTGCTAGATGTACATAAAACAATGGCTGATATAAGTACATTTTACACAGACAACGATCTACAAATGTCATTGGCAGTATCTCATATTGCTCAAAAAAGTAAGAAGGAGATGCAACATGAAATTCTTACATTATTAGGGCTACATCATAGACCAAAGCCACTCAATCATGGCAAAGACAAGTCAGCTCCTCAGTTCATGCTGGATCTGTATGAATCAATGCACGGCGATGACGACGAGGATGAAACGAAAGATATTAATGAGGCGGATGCGAATCAGGGGAAATTACAACACTTCAATGTAACGAGAGAAAATATTCAGTTCATAAACCATGCGGACATGATTATGAGTTTTGTGAATCATGGTAGGTATATGTACTTTAAAGAATACTTTTTCAATTAACATGTAGGTAAGGCAGACCTATTTGAATGGGTTCAGGTTCGCCGATGAATTCGAATCTGGTGCAGGAGCACTCCCTTCAAAAGCATGGTAATACGAAATCCATAGTTGAACCAGGTGTTGACAGTAAAAATCAAGCTTTGTGTCAACTACTGAGAACGTTTTTCAACCCCAAGATTTCAATACACAAGTAGTCGTGGGGGTGATTTGAAAAATCAGCCCCACATTTATGGGGGGGGGGTATTTATGGGGGGGGTATAAAGATAACTGTCAAATTCAAATCTGAGCATGCTTAATACGGTATTAAATTAGTAGTAAGATTTGCCATAGTTTTGCGGGGAGTGTAGGATGGTTTATCGGTATATGACATCATGTATAATTGGGTGCGAAAGTCGTCAAATATGCTACTTTAACCATTTGATAATTTTTGTTCTTCCCAACTTATTGATATATTTTCTGTATGGCTACCTTCCCTATTCGACTATTTGACTTTTGGCATTATTTGCCCAATGAATATATCAGACTCTTAGACAAACTTTTCACTCATCAAAATGTTCAGTGAAATAAGAGCTGTATTTATCAAAGAACTATGTCGTTCTTAAGTGGGTATAGTATATCGCTTCTTCTCAAACATCATAGTTTATTTGGGAAGAAATCATATCTGTTTACTTTATGATTAAACGTACTGAATTACAAATTGGGAAAATGAAATATGGATTTTCTAATCATAAGTTCAAAAAGAGAAACCACAATTAACATTATTTTGAAAAAGTTTGACAAAGTCTAGTGAAAATACTCCAATGAACTGTGAAATACATAAACTTGCCTCAACTTTAAATGACTAACCACAGTATGTTAACAACTTTAATTTACTGTATTCATTTCCAATGTTGGTTTTGTGTATAAAAACGTTCATGTTGGTCGTTGCGGTTGATAGCGCTTTCTGTATAGGTCGACTACCGTAGGCATATGTTTTGTAAGATAATGGCTAACAGTGTAAATGGTACTTAAATTAATAATATCCGGTTTTCTCATATACAATTTAAGTTTTGTTGCGATAACATCTTGGTTAAAGTTACTTCATCGTATTATTCCTTCAGATCAGACATTCCACATTGGTTACAACGACGGACTAAAATCCCTATAAGGAGGGTGAAGGGAATAGAAATACCTAATTGTCATCTGTGAAGAGCGCAATTATGTTTCAAGATTCTGGGTCCATTTGTTTTCAGAAACCTTTCCTACATCACTGGTGATCCGCTCGATTACGCTGGTTACCGAAACGGTTCGTCGACGGTACGATTTTTCTTTTTTCCTTATTTCACGCGTTGTAGGTAGAATCCCCACGACATTTTTTCACATAAACGTGTATCAGAATCATATGTTTTAGCTCAGAAGATCACAGAGTCGTCGATTTAATTCCTCACTTAAGTTAAAGAAACGGTATGGGTTAAACGTGCAGATCTTAACTGTTTTCCGAAATACCGTTTCTGTAACCTAAGTGAATTCTGTTGTCTTCTGAACTATTTGTTCACAAATATGTACATTTTCTTACACATATGATGCTGATATACGTTTTTGATAAAAATGTCGTGGGAATTCTGCCTAAAACGTGTGAAATAAGGAAAAAAGAAAAATCGTACCTTGGACGTTCCGACATTTTGTTACCGAAACGAACCGTTTCGGTAACCAGCGTAATCGAGTGGATCACCAGTGTACATCAATTAGATAGTGTCCACGGAAATCTACTTTATTCTTTCGAGTTGAACCCTTTGGAAGAATCGTTCCAATAAGCACGTATGAAAGATATTACTTGATGTTTCCCAAATCAACTTGTTATATTGAAACAGGGTGGATAGAAGTATAACGCCTTGGCTAATCTTGTAAAATAAATACTGCATAACAGTTTAGTCTAGTTTGACTTGCAGCAGAAAGCTTTTCCATGAAATGAGTTTACCATCTCAGCACTCTAAGTACCTAACAAGTAGGCTAACCCCATCTCTCTTGACCCGCAAAATGTCAGTTCTAATTAAGATAACAGTTACCACCGCCAGATACACGCGGTCTGTTTTGATCACGTGGTAGGGGTCTTCTCAAAGATACGGATAGTATTTCAAATGAAAGGAAAGATTTAAGCGCTATCTTTCTTTCGATGTAAGTTTTAATTTCAACGAGGTTCAGCCACTGTTGAATATTTGCATTTGCTAACCCCCCTATCACACCAAACTCGTTCTTACCCGTTCTTGCCAGTCCTACGAAAACGTCGTAAAACGGGCTCAATCTGGCTGTGGTCGGGGAATATGTCTGAAATAATTAGCTTCTTCGTTCTTAAACAGTCTTCAATACGTCCATCTCGTTCGCAGTTCGTTCTGGTCGCACCACGTCGGTGTGCAACGCCGTAGAACTCGTCCCTTAGTCTAGAAGGTCATCATGACCTGATAACAGAACGGTATGGTCGCAATCGAATTTTGAATCGATTCAAAATTCTAAAATCCCATTCCCGTCTGAGAACGTTCATAAAGTTCGTAAACAGACCTTAGAAAGTTGCAGCTACGTTCATTCCGTTCGCACACAGTTTAAAACCAGTTTTGAAGAACGCAGTGGCAACTTGTTTGGTGTGATAGCTATATTTTTGCTAACTCGTTCATTAGCAGTGTTAAATACGTTCTTAATCAGTTTAAACCCGTTTGCAATGAGTTCAACCTCGTTCTCAACACGTCCTCAGACAGTTCAACTCGTTGTTAAAACGTCCCTAGTAGGATTGAAGTACGACGGTTCCGTTCGTAGTACGTCCAGCTCGTCGTTAGTACGTTGTCACTCGTTCTAATTGTAGAACGTGACGACCACGAGAACATTTTGAGCATTGTCTAAGTTCTAGAGGACCTACCCGTTCGAGTACGTTCGATGGAGTTTGTAAATAGATCCCAAACGGTTCTTAGTACGTCCAGTCCGTTCGTACACAGTTGAAGCCCGTTTTCGAGAACGTAGTGAGAACTAGTTTGGTTTGATAGTAGGGTAAAGAGTGTTCCTTACCTTATCGAGTGTGTGCAGGAGTATTGGGTTGCAGCATTTGAAAATAATACGAAAATAAATTTAAAAAAAATCTTTAACATTATAGATTGATTTAATGATTGGTTTAAAGACAAAAGCTTTTTAAGCCCTGAACTTAAAGTCTTTATTAGACAACCCCATATATAATGCCCGGCATAATTAAACCTTTTCGAAAATCAAATGTTCAGATATATGCCTAAAACTCATGCTCTTGCGTAACTTCTCAGCTAGGGAGTTGTTTTGACTATTTCAATATTTTTTTATTTTGATCAGGCTATTATGAAGCATTCTTTGAATCTAAAACTCAAAGGAAACAAAGGGAATAACCTTAATGTAATTTATTTTAAATACTGTATAATATGTTTTAAACGCAGATTAAGCTGCCGACTGAAGGTTTAATCTACTATTTTTATGATCCAACTCATTCAAAGATGAATAGAATAGTTGCATGTACTATTCATATTTAAACGAGTTGGCCATAAAGTGAAGGTTTAACCGTCAGCCCGCAGTTGAATTCGTGAATGCTACCTTACTCTTGTTAAATATACTTCTTTTAAGTACCACCCATTATTAACCGTCTAATATACTTTGCCAACTGTGCTAACATTTTATGAAACTCTAGATACTAGATTTAGAGTATATGTTTACGGGTAAATGATTTGCTTTACCGTTCCAGTGAAGCATGATCATCGGGTCAGACATGCGACGGACGAGCGATTCTATTTTGACTTCAGTGAAGTTACAGTTCAAGAGGAAATTACTGGAGCAGAACTGAGATTGTTCAAACAGCCCTCTTTAGTAAACAAATCAGAGTACTACATGCTGCTGGTATACAGGGTAATCCATGGGAGATCTGATGAGTAAGCATAATTTATTAGAATTACGAGATATTGTCATATTTTGTAAGTACACTCAGAATTGCTAAACTTTTTGGGTGTAACTCAGTTTCACTCATGTGGTCTATATCTGTCAAGATCATTTGTGTTTTCTTACAGAGATCGGGAACTAAAACTTGAGTTTAACAAGACTATAAGTGACACCTACGAAGGCTGGATTGACCTAAACATCACAGGGGCTGCAATATCATGGCAGGTTTTTCCACACACCAATATGGGTCTATTATTGCGCATATTTGATGATAAAGGTAAGAGAACGGCTTTGTCATTCTGAACTCGAAGACATTTTATGAATGTTCAACCATATAACATTGACTACGAGTATTTCCGAGACCGCATTTGTACTTCATGTTGTAATTACTCAGATGCAAGTAAGTAGTTACCAGTTTTGCCACCAGGTGGCTAGTTCGGGGGAAATAACATGACAGGAATACAAAGTTCCCTTAAACTTGAATATTCATCAGTTTTAATATGTCCAGTAAAAAAAATATTATCTGCCCAACACAAGAGATTTCACTTTTTGTGATTTTACAACATGGGGTCTATGGGAATCTCCCCGGCCTGGAAGTCACATTTTCGAAGAAAATTTAATTTTCGAAGTTAATAAACTCTTTTCGAAATTACATTTCTAGATGTAATTTTACATGTAGACTCCAAATATTTTTAATGACGTAAATCAAGATTATTTCTCCTCGGAACTCGTCTATTGTAGTCATATACTGGATTGATACCTGATTTTAGGTGATGAAGTAAAACCACATTCTATGGGGATAGTAGGCAGAAGTGGGGATGAAGACAAACAAGGCTTTGCTGTTGCATTTTTTAAAACGCCGACAGAATTGCATTCTCGTCGTACACGTTCGGTTAAAAAACGACAACGCCAGGAAAAAGACGCTGCTCCTGAGGTCTCATACGCCGATGAACCTTGGAATTTTGCAAAGCAACCACGTAAGTTTTCCTTTGATTTCAAAATTGATAGCTTTGATTATATTCGTTTAAGTCAACCATGCTCATTACGATTTCTCATGCCACATCTATGTTCACCATTTAACAAACATTTATATTTACATTATAGTCATGATTTATTAGAACGGGTATTTTGAAATGATCAGGTAACAAACCATCATATCATTTACGTTGTTCTAAATATCGAATCTTTGTGGGGTCAAAATGTTGAGCTTTTAAAATTGAAAATTCACAATTTTTTTCTTCAATTATATAGTAATACAGTGGAGGTCGGATACAAGACTATATATGAATCTATGCACTCTCCTCCAAGAGTTTGGCGGCCTGAACAAAACCTACTGAGGTATTTGTATATATGCGAAATGCTTAAGATGAACTCACTTCTTTTCAGATCGGAGTCAAAGATCATGTCAAAGAAAACGCCTCTATGTTAGTTTCCGTTCATTAGGATGGCAGGTAATCGATTTCTGCTATAGTTAAGTGTTTCATGTCTCCATTCTTCAGATGGTCGGGTGACATATGTCGTCAGGCCTGTCGAATTATCCGTCCGTCATATGTATCCGATTAAAGTTGTCGTTCTATCAAATTGAGGGACAAATCTTCTCATTTCAGTCGCAATACACTCCTTGGCTTCATGCATACATGTTTTTGGTAACATATTTAAGTCAAATACTTGATTTTGTTACTTCACAAATCTAATTAATTTTCAGGATTGGATCATAGCACCTGATGGCTATGCAGCTTTCTATTGTAACGGAGATTGTTCATTTCCTATGAACGCTCACATGAACGCTACAAATCACGCAATTGTGCAGACATTAGTTCATTTAATGGACCCGTTCAAGATACCGAAACCATGTTGTGCCCCAACTAGACTGTCTGCTATATCAGTGCTATACTTTGACGATAATTCCAACGTTATTCTAAAGAAATATAGAAATATGGTTGTAAGGGCATGTGGTTGCCACTAGATAACCCAGTAGCAAATCGATGGAATAGATGTTTACAATTATACACGACTGTATATATTTTCTGCAACTGAAAAGTGATCTAATGTCTAAATGATATCTGGGAAAACAGTTTTGTATACTAAAAGATGTCGCTGTAAAACATATTGATCAGAAAACTGATTACAGGGCGAATACCTGATCTACTACAAAAAAATAAAAAATATATTTTGATATTGAAGAAACGTATTTTGGTTAGATAAAATTATTTTAGATATGTGAAGCCAATATATGGTTTAAATAGTGTTTTTCTTTAATTCTAGCTTGGTGTTGAGCACCTGAGAGCTCACATGATATAGCTATCCGCTGTCATCTAAATGACCTATATCATGGCAGTCATATTCCTGAACTTAGTGAGACAAATGACTCCGCTAGGTACACAAAAAGCAGACAAACGCATTTATAATGTTTTAGATTGTTTTATTTAGGTAATTGTTTATTATAAAACGTATATTTACAGTTTAATGTGGTACAGTGTAATAAGCCCTTAACGACGTGTCGTGGTTAATGATAGTATTTAATGTAAAAATAGTAATAACTTCAATAACTATATTCAATGTACAAAACCAACAATCAAATGCAATCTAAACTAAAAACAGTATTCAAATATGTAGCTAATAAAACATTGGGAATATTTCAGTTTAACTGCTACAGAATCCAAGACTCCACGATTTGTATTTTACTAACGCGATGACAACACATTGCATCGGTGAAGTTATTTGGCACTCAAAGATACACGAAACCATTTATATTCGTGTTACATAAATTAAGTATACATACGTTACCGATACATCTAGTTACACTAGAAATGAAGTAATTTCAATATGGTTTCCTGAAAGCTATTTTGTTTTTCCCTTTTTTGTCAAAACTGTTTCATTTCTTAGGAATTCACCGTAATGCAGTCTTACGAAAATATTCAGACACCAACTCACAATAAACAAAAAAGAGGACACTGGAAGTAGAATGGTAGGTGCACGTATCATCTTGCACAATAAACTATCATGTGTATTAAATCGT